CAAGATGTACTGCTGTGATGGTAATGATGCTCAGAAGACTCTTCTTGCGGAAAGTGGAGAGCCTTTGACCAAATTGACCCAATGGAATCTTAATTTTGGTGATGGAGGTCGTCCATTCTCAATCACCGAAAATCGTCAATTGAATATAATTAGAGATACTTTGAAACAAGAATATACTGATTTTTTGAATGAAAATAAAATCGATTTTATTATCAGTCCTGCTTACAATAATGTTGCACCTAGACCAGAAGAAATTTATAATTGGTCTTACACTTCCCTTTTCAATATCTTAGATTTACCTACTTTAGCTTTCCAAACTGGATTGTTTCAAGATCCTAAAGTCGATAAATGGGATGATAGTCATAGCACCTATGAATTTAGAAGCGACTTAGAGAAATTAGAATTGGATAATTATATTCCAGAAAATTTCACTGGCGCACCTATTGGTTTACAATTGTCCGGTAGAAGATACTTTGATGAAGAAGTTGTGGCTGCTGGTAAATCTATTACTAAAGCTTTAGGAGCTGACTTATACAAAGTCTATTAATAATAGATATATGTATATATATATATATAATAAATCTATTTAGTGTAAATAAATATATACTTATATGAATGATGTAGTATGATAGCCAAGAGCATTCTGTTTGACCTGTTAGATACTTATTATTCAACTGCAAAAAAATCCTCTTGGAGAAGGACTTCGAGTTCAATAGAATTGGAAAATCCGAATGAATAACTAAGATGGAGCTTCGCTTAGTTATTGGTATAGAATTACTCTTGTTGCTTTGCCAGGAGAGCTATTTAGTGTGAATATGCTATTTTCAATAAAACCAATTTTTCTCATCTATCTTGTCCTTCATTTTTCTTTATTTTTTATAATATTTTATCTTTATTATACCAAACCAACACGAAATATTCATGTTGCATATTTTTTTTACCATTTTTGTTTTTTTACCATAGTGAATATAACATGTATAGCCATTAGGGTGTATGTTTTGATTCTGAGCCCTTTTTTAGCTTTTCTTTTTTTTTTTTTTTTTAAATGGTAAAATCTCTTTGTAAAGCGTGTCATCTTTATGCAAGGACAATGCTAATCTTCTCTGTATTGTTAAGATTGACGAATGTACTATCCGAAGATAGTACTTTTAGCCCAAAAAAACATTTAAGCTTCAAAAATTATTTTATAAAATGTACTTTCTAAAAGCTAAGCCCACCATTTTGTTCATAAAATGGGCGTGTGGCGTAGTTGGTAGCGCGTTCGCTTAGCATGCGAAAGGTCTTGGGTTCGACTCCCAACTCGTCCAGTTATTTTTTGAAGACCCTAGTACATTCAACTAATAGTGTTCTCCATGTTTTTTTTATTTTTGGTATTTAATACTTTGTCTAAGGAGATTTCACGGAGAAATAATTTGTTAAGCTCTGTCGAAGGAAAACTTGAGAAGTAAAAGGGCTGGAAATGTCACTTAAATTACATATATAAAACGGAAATACCAAAAGATGATCCCAAATGTGTTTAATATCCCGTGATCTTCTGAAGCTGCTCATATACATAAGCCAATCCTTGAGCCCATAAGAGATATGTCTGGTGATTTTTGGCGTAGCTATATAAAAACATAAAAACGTCTTTTGTTTACAAAATTTTATAATGTCTCAGACAAAGACCCTCCCCCCGTTGAAGATCATGTCCAAAATTTTTAAAAAAAAATTACATCTTACGAACAGAACGCCCATTGTTTTAAGTTCGTTTCAACTCTACAAAGTTTTTTTGTTAGAGGTGTAGATACTGAATCTGTTTGCTGGATGCAAGAGAGGACTTTTAGTTGGAAATCAACCAATCCTCCCGACATATTTCAAAAGTATTGCCGTTAGAAATACAGAAAATGTCCTTGTTGTTGATTATGGCTTGTTTTGGCTTGAAGAAAATGTCGTGATAATATCCTGATTAGAAAAGTTTCAATTCTAGTGATAAAAGAAAAAGATGTAAACCATCGAATTTCATATATATATATTTGGATGCGAATTGTTGCAAAAAACATCATAATTCAATTTTTTCGAAAAATTAATTAAAGTTCACTTTTACAAAAAGGATAAACTCAAAACAAAGTAATATACGGTATTGACCTTGTATCAATCTGCTTAATGTTAAAATTTCAACCAAATGATTATAAATGTACTTTGTACTAATCTCCGAAGTAATGAAATGGGGAACTCTTTGCATTTTTGATAGTTTTTGACAATCTTTAAGGACTATTTCCATCAGGATAAGCTTCTGGATCTTGGTATGATTCATACATTTTATCAGGATATGTCTTAATCTTAGATTGTATTATCTTATCAGCGAGTTAGTCGAGTGTGGTAAGTGGCGTGCGCATACAAAAAAGTGGGGTACCAAATTTTCTTCGAGGTCTGGTGATTGCATCGACTTTAAATTTAACAGACTATCAGCTTTATTCTGGAAAAGTACCAACTTAATTGCTTCAATCTTAATAATCTAGTCATGTCTTGTTGCGGAAGTCATTCATGTGGTGGTGACCATTCGGAAGAATCAAATAGTGGAATTTTTGTTGTGACTAATGTTTCCCAACATATATTTTCAGACCGTTCTCTCTTTAAATCAATTGAAACTTTTGAAAAACCCAAAGAAGTGGTCTTGGGTAACGATGGAAAAGTGAATGCGGAGGCTTCTGGAAGTGTCGTCCTTTCGTTGGCATGCGGTTCTGAATTGACATTGGATGATTGCCTTTATGCTCCTGATGCCGAAAAAAGTTTTGTCTCTATGGCTCAAGCCATGAAAGACTCTGGTATTAACTTTCTGTTAGGTGGTGATGGAATTTACATTAGTCCAGATGATAAGAAATTAGGCTCAATTGCTGATAACGGATTGTTTGTAGTGGATTTAGCTTAATACTAATGGCGCTTTATTATAGTTCAATATATGGTCCCCCGTCTAGCTTGTTATACTTACACGCAATGTAGTTATCTTTGGATTTTCCAACTAATGCACTGAATGATAAGAACCATGCCTATATGGTATCTCCTAGGGTGGCCTATAGGGAACTTCAAATTTTTATAGATTTAAGAGGTGAAGTAGCTGTTTCATTTTCTGTTTTGGGTGCCAATATACTTAAGGTAATTCCATATTTCGTATTGTCAATCTAAGCACTTATACATTTCTTCATGTCATTGAATTCATTTTTCCAAATATTGACAAGTATCTGATTTTGGCTCCGAGATTCATAAATCTCTAACAATATAGAGTGTATTTTGCTGCAAAAAAAGAAAAAAAACAAGAACAACATCTGAAAGCACTTTGAGGGCCCCATAAATATAAATTTCCTAATTTCAGAGAAATTGCGGTAGAGTCCAAATCTATTTGGATCGTACAATAACTAAGTATTTTGTATATATATCTGTTGTCAGGCTTCAAAGTTTGGTATAGTTTTTGCTTATTAACTCACCCACATTTTCTTTCAGATATAACATGAATACAAGGATCTTAATTCCTGCGTTTCATAATATATATTTCATATATGCTTGTTCCATCACCACAATCAAAGAGTTTTTTTCTTTTCATAGCATAATATTGCCGATCAAGTAAATTTGCAAAGCTTCCTCTAAACTACTAAACATTCAAATGGATGATGACATTTAAGAAATAAAAAATTCAGAGGGTCACAGCTCGCCTCAATTTCTACGGTTAATGCCCAGTAGATAATTTTCATTCCATTCTATTAGAAAAGACATATAAAATGAAATGATGATCTGGAAATGGGAAAATTCCTTTCCATATATGATTTGTAGTCGGAAATTAAAGAAAAGTTCTAACCAAAAGCTTAGTTTTATGAGTAATGATACACTAATAAATTTTGAATTTTGAATTTATATGGCGATAATAAAGAGAGAAATCCATTTTCATGATTCAACGGGTAAGGACTCCAGGAGAGTCTTAAAGGTGGTCGAAAATCGATAAAATATTTTTGATTAAGAAGGATTTTTTTTTCTTTTTTTCTTTTTTTTCTAAGTACAAAAAAATATTTTTTTTTATTCAATATTGAATACCTGATTCCCGAATTATAATAAAATAAAAATTATATGCTAATATATACCTTTCTTACATTTTTTTCTAAAAATTCTTTAATTTTTTGCAGATAAAATATAATACATCAAACTAGTAAAATACCTGTAACGTGTGTAATTGGGGGCAACCTGGCCGAGTGGTCTAAGGCGCCAGGGTAAGGTCACCTTACCATACTTTCCTGGTCTCTTCGGAGGCGCGAGTTCGAACCTCGCGGTTGTCACTAATTTTTTTTAATCCTCTTTTCACTAGAAAAACTTCAAGCAACTGTCGCATTAACTCAGCGAATTGGTTTGTCTAGATTTTTTTTTTAATTCTTCTCTCTGAAGTCTAGAGAATTGATTACATCGTTTACCAACAATGGCCCCATTCAATGATGATGATCTAGCAGATTATGACAATTCCGCAGGTGAAGAAGAATTTATTGAAGACAGTTTGAATGACGAAGAGTATGATAAATTGTATGAGACTTTACCAAAATTAAAGGAATTAATCGCTTCTTATAACAATTCCATAAATGAAATGGCATTAAAGGAGGCCTTATATTTCAATTATTATGAGTTAAGTGATGCCATAGAGGAGTTAAAGTCCAAGTTTCCAAAGAAGAAAGGTATGTTTTTTTTTTTCAATCTTCAAATTTTCTCTTTATTCCGTCATTGACTTATAGTTTGTCTATTAATTGCCCGGAAGAAACTGAGCAAAGAGGTCTTTGATTTTTCGAAATTTTGAAATCGTTTTGTTTCCCGTTAACAAGAGTTCTAGGATCCTAATATATATATTTCTTTATAGAAGATTCAGCAGAGTCGAAGCCACTTTCAAAGTTACAAAAACTCGCTCAAGAGAGAGCTAGAATGAAACAAGAGAAAGACAACTCAAATAAACTAGAGGAGAAACCCCAACGCATATCTAAATTGGCATCTCTAGCGAAGTCTAGAGCGCAGAAGAAGTCAGAGGAACAGGTAGCCGAAAATAATAATAATATGTCCTTGGGAATATTAGAGAATCTTCAAATTAATTCAAAGGGAAAGGACTCATTAGAGAAGAAAGTTCTAGAAAGAAAGCCTCTCGAGAAGATAGCTAACATTCGCAAATCCAATATCAAACCTGTTAACAGCTTGAACAAGAATCAAGATACTAAGTTGAATGAACATCTCGAAGTTAATACGAATGACGAACGAGGTTCTTCTTCGATAATAGAAAAACCAGAGAAAATAACACCAGAGGCTCCTCTAATTGTATATGATCTATCTCTTGATGACAACAACGTTTTAAAATACCCTCATAACTCAATTTCTGCTTTTCTTTTCCATCAAAACGAAAATCAAAACGATCAGGAAAATCACGTACCTCAAAATAGGAATAAACTTAAGAGACTGGCAGGATCAATTTTTTGTCCTCTTACTAACATTGAATTGAATATAGAAAATGTTAAAAAAGCTAAAAATAATTTCGAAGAGCCAAGTCCTGATGACAAAATTCTCAATGCCCAAAAAACTGCATTCGAAGAAGGAATGAATGACTTGAAGATTTCTGACTCAAATAAGAAGGAGACTGACCAAAAGGAAAAATTACCCCCAAAGCCAACTAAACCTTTCAAGAAGATCAACATAGAAAATGAACTTTCCACCAACAAGGCCTACAGCAAAGCCCACAAATCGTTTGTGGTCATTGGCCATGTCGATGCTGGTAAATCTACTTTAATGGGTCGTCTATTGTATGATTTAGGTGTTGTGGATGCGAAAACCATCAACAAATTAATGAGAGAAGCTGAAAAATCAGGCAAGGGATCTTTCGCTCTTGCATGGGTTATGGATCAAACATCTGAAGAAAGATCTCGTGGTGTTACTGTCGATATTTGTGCTACCGAATTCGAAACAAACAATACTATATTTACTGCTATTGATGCACCTGGTCATAAAGATTTTGTTCCGCAAATGATAGGAGGTGTGACTCAAGCGGATATTGCTTTATTAATCGTTGATTCGATCAATGGAGAATTTGAAGCAGGTTTTGCTATGGATGGTCAAACCAAAGAACATACATTATTATGTAAAAACTTAGGGATTGAAAAAATTTGTGTCGCTATCAATAAGTTAGATAAAGAGCACTGGTCTGAAGAAAGATTTATGGATATTCAAAATCAATTGAAGAGCTTTTTAGTTTCTGATGTTGGATTTGACTCTGATAATGTATTCTTCATCCCTATCTCGGGATTGACTGGTAACAATGTTGTAAAAGCTGACCAATCAGTTAAAGAATTAGGCTGGTACAAAGGTCCAACTCTTATTGAGTATTTAGAAAAGGTTAAAATCTCAACGAGTGACTTGACCAAGGATCCTGTTAGTGTTGTTACTGCTGAAGAGTTTGGTTTGGCTATAAATGATATCTATGATATCTCAAGTTCTGAATTTGCTGTCAAAGGTAGAATTCTTTCTGGATTTATACAACCCGGTGAGACGGTAGAGGTATCACCGACTAAAGAATACCTACAGGTTCAAAGTGTCAAGGTTAGAGGTCAAAATGTTAATATAGCAGTTAAAGGTGAAACAACCACAATTTCATTCAAGACTAACCAATTGACTAACAAATCTACAGATGACATCAGTATAGGTGACTTGATTCTGAAGGTTGGTTCTCTGGTTGCTTCAGTGAATAAACTTACAGCTAGAATTAATTTATTCAATATGAATAAACCATTATTGGTTGGAACACCTTTTGTCTTATTTAGAAATAATACTTATGTTCCTGCAAGAATTTCTAAAATTTTAGCAATTGACGATGATAAGAAAAAGAAGAAGAAGATGCACTTAGTATCGAAACAAAAAGCTTTGGTTGAAATTGAGATAAAGGGCGATAGACTTTTACCATTAAGTAAATTTGATGACAGCAAAATGTTAGGTAGAATAGTCATAAGAAGGGAAGGATCTACTATTGGAGCGGGTGCTGTTGTTGATTTATAATAGACCAATGAAAAATTTGATAGAAGTCTCTTAATAATTCTGTATTTATTTAGGATATTCAAATAAGCATTATATAGATATACTACTTAATTAGAATGAGATGTAGTCAACGAATAAAAGGAGGAAACCCAAAATAAAGCAAGTGAGAATGATTAGGTTTGCACCTTTTTTATTTCTCGTAGTGGCTTTATTTAAATTCTGATTACCCATCTTTAAATCAACCTCTACCTGGGATTGATTATCGAGAAGATTGGTTATTTGATCAGATTGTGTTTCTAGCTGGTAAGTCAATTCTGCCTGTAAACTGACTATATCGATCATAGAATTATGGAGTTTCTCAACTTGTTTGAGTTGGTTAGTTTTCAATGCTAGAAATTCCTGATTCTCAGAGTCCAATTCTTGAATTTGTTGTTGGGATAACTCTTGTAGCCCCGAAAATGATGAATTTTGTTCTTGGAGTTCAATCTCATTATATGAATTCTCAAAACTTGGGGGTACATCATTGCTATAGTTCAAGTCTAGATCATCCTCAAGATTTTGAAAGTTAAGAAGATTTAATTGTTTTTCTCTTTCATAACGTTTGCGTTGCATTGACTCAAATTTTTTGTTAACCGAGTTGGCTACTTCATTCAAAAGTTTTAAAATCAGGGTTCTATGTATCCCAATTGTTGTAAGAAACAACTCGTCATCATCAAAATCGGCACCACCAAAGATTCCGTTGAATAAACTCTTTGATTTATTCGACTCAACTGCTTCCTGTCTTTTTTTTTCATACGTTTGTAAAAGTTTTAACTTTTCATACAATTCATGAATTTTAAACTTGAAATCTTCATCAACTTTGTTCTTATCATTTAACGTTAAAGATCTGTTCGACCTCAGATGGTTCGAATAATCATCATTAGTAGACAAATATGTAGACTTTATGCTTACCAAAAACTCACTTAAAACGACTAGATGTGAATAGAGCTCTTTGGTCTCTTTTATGAAAGTGTCATTAATAGTAAATCTTTCATGAACTCGTTTTTGGTGCTGCAATTGACGAGTCTTGTTTTGGTTCTGGTCTTTTTCAATCGAATGCCCTATTTCATGCTGGACAATATCGACATATTTCTTAAATGTAGGAGTGAGATCAGTCATGTCGATGAGTCAGGCATAAAAGTTTTGATGATGAATTTAGTCCAGTTTGTCATTTTTCAGCTCTGAGTTTTTGATTTTTTTTTTTAGACTGCGATCTCGATCTTAAACAGCAAAACTACAACTTATAAGATTATTTATAATAAATGATACCATAACATGTTTTATACATTAGAGGGTTGAAAATTTAAAAGTTAGATCGTAAAGAATATGAAAGAATAGAAGAAACATCCAGAGGAGATTACCCAGTTAAATATTGAAGGCATTTAGTCACTTCAATGGCATCACTGATAGGCTTAACTTCGACAGTTTTAGAATCGTAAATTATATTCCATCTACCAGTGAAATGTTTCCCATTAATATTTTCAACTGCTTCATTATGTATTTTTCTATCTTGAGGACTACCTTTAACATATCTTAAGTAGTCAGGAGCACCGGGAGGAGGATTCCAAATATTATCGGCGACTATGACGGTACCAGGGCGAATCAAGTTTAACGACTCCAAAACTCTGAAATCAGGAACGTATTGAACCCACCAATGATCAATGAAAACAAAATCAACCGAAACGTAGTCACCAGTTTTTCTAGTCAACTCCGATTCAAAACTAACCAAATTATGATGGGCTTTACCCACAATGATACGAATCTTATGACTCAAACCAGCCAAGTCTATAAGTTTACGAGCGATATCCGCAAATTTCTCGCTATATTCAAAAGTATAAAATGTAGCATTCGAATCCTCCTTTATTGAATTTGCAAACAATATAGCAGAATAACCAATGTAGCCACCAATTTCAACCAATATTTTAGGCTTCTCCTTTTCAATAATATCGGTAATCATTTTCCCCTTTACCTTACCAATGTTCATAAGAAAGCTTTGAGTCAGGGAAAATTCATCGATTTTCTCCAAAACCTTAATGGGATTACCTTTCAATTGGTTCAATTCATTTTCCGGAAGCGAAAAGATGAAATCAATTAGCTGTTCTTCCCTTCCGTCATCAAAAAATGTTGTATCCTTTCCCATCTTGCCGTAAATTTGATAGCAATTAATAATAAATCCTATACCAATATCTGGAAATCTCAAGTATGTCCTTACGAGAAAAAAATTACCTTTTTATATTGATTTCTTAGAAAGACAATGTAGTTCAAGATTCTGCTCTCAAAAACCCAGTATCAATTATGGTTTGATCTTTTTATATGCAATTGCCGTATCGGGCTATCCCTATTTGCGAACCCTTTTTACAAGTTATTACGTGGAGATATCTCAGTGGACCAGCCGTGTCCACACCCGTGGACCATGAAGAGCACCGACATCGAAGAACTGCTTCCTGTTGTTGTTGCAAAACCAGTGCTTAGCTTTCCACTGCTAACAAGGTCCCTAAAATGCTTTAAGTTGGTTAAAAATGTCGCTTTTTGCAATCGCGACATCCAAAGTCGATAAAATGTCTCTCTCTTTCTATTTTTTTTTTCATCTTTACGTCTGCTTAGTGTTTTAGGCTGTACTTCAAACACTCGAAATGGGATCAGCGGAAGGAAACGAATCCAGTCCAGATGATAAGAGGTCAAGTAGGCTTTCTCGGTTGAAAAGACTCAAGGCAAAAAAGGCAGAAAGTGAAAGAAACAATAGAAAAGATCTTTTTGATGATTACAAAAAACAAAAATTACAATCAATCAATAGGAAAAAAATAGAAAAGTTGAAAGAGAATGCCGAAGAAGAAGTGAATAAACTTGACCATAAAGAGCGTGGTGAGGATTATGAACGACAGAGGAATTTGGATTGGTCCATAAAGGACTGGGAGGAATGGGAAAAGAAAACAGGAAAGCAAAGACCCGGACAAGTTGGATTTGACAATTGGAGTCAACTTGCAGCCAGTTCTTATGAAAAAGAGATAAGTAAGCTTCAAGTGGACAAGGATGACTATAATGAAAAGAAGCAGATGCTCATGAGAAAATATAACATCACCGAACCAAGAGATGTCAGGAACATCATTGACTTGAAGAGTGAAGTAAAGTCCTCAGACATTGATAAGTTGGTTCAAAACATCAATGAAACAAACGACAGAAGAATGAAAAGACGCAGAGACCATGATAGTGAGCATGACGTTTCCAGTTACATCAACGAGAAGAACAAGCAGTTCAACATGAAACTCAACAGACAATACGATAAGGATTGAAGTCTATACTTTTAATTTTGTAATATAGTGTACTATATATGTATTTTCATTACTGATGTACGGATGTAAAAAAACTGAAGGTTACCCGCCCGTCAATTTTCTCAAAATTTTGTTCGAAAAAAACAACTAAAAAACTCACATTATGTTTGAGCGGTTAGTGTTATCGAAACAGTCCGTCAACTACTTTAATTACATTCATTTCACTTCTCCTATAGTATTTGCTTCGAGAATAGAAGTCTTACTTTGTTTGAATTGATTGGTTTTTTTTTTTTCCTATTTATTTTTAATTCGTTTCTTCGCTTTTTCTTTTTCGTTTTATCTATAAAATTTCAATTTTTTTATTCGTTGAAAAACACATAAAATAGAGACAGTATGGTTAAAGAAGAAGAAGAGAGAGAGATCCGTGATGATGTTTCTGAAAATCCATCAGAAGGTGAAGGTGACGATGCATCAGAAGACTCCTCTGAAGAAGAAGACGATGAAAATGATGAAGAAGCCATACAGAAAGTTCGTGAAGGCTTCATCGTAGATGATGACGAAGATGACGTGGATGGCAAGAAAAAAAAGAGAAAACATAAAAAGAGAAAGAGAGATAAAGAACGTACCCAAGATGGCGAGCATGATGATGCTTTGGATGAAGATGATTTAGAATTATTATTGGAAAATTCTGGTGCCAGACCGGCTTCAAAATCAAAGGGTAAATTCAAGCGTCTTAAAAGAGCTCATGTTGAAGATGAAGATAATGACGTCGAAGAAACTGGGCAAAGCAGAAGTAAAAGAAAAGAAGGTTTAACTGATATTTTTTCAGATGAAGATAATGATGAAGATGAAGGTGATGCTGAAGAAGCTTCAAGAGAAGACCCTGGCAGAAATATTTTAGATGAGTTTGAAGATTTCATCGAAGATGATGAATTTTCTGACGATAATGAAGGTCGTCAACAAAAAGAAGTGCAGCGTAGAGAAAGAGCCAAGAAGACTGGTCCAAGATTAGATACTTCAAAATTATCAACTGTCGATAGAGAAAGTTTGCAACAGTTATACGAAGTCTTTGGTAATGGTGGTGAATATGAATGGGCTTTGGAAGCTCAAGAAATTGAAGATGAAGGTAATGGTGAATTAGAACCTACTGCTTTAGATGAAGTTTTCGAATATTCAGAATTGAAGGAACGTATGCTAACAGAAGAAGATAATTTAATTCGTATCATTGATATTCCAGAGAGATTTCAAAAATATCGTGCGAATCTCAATTATATTGATTTAGAAGGTGATGAATTAATAAGGGAGCAAGAATGGATCAGTAATATACTTTTTAAAGAGAAAAAGAGTTCCTTCGATGGTATATTAGAACAACCTTTTAAAGAAGCAGTTGCAAAAGTAGTGGAATTCGTCTCAAAAGATGCTTATGAGGTTCCTTTCATTTGGGCTCATCGTCGTGATTTCCTCTTATTTTCCGAAAATATTAATAACCCGGATGGAACAACTAGTAATTACGTTCACAAACTTTTATTTGAAGATGACTTATGGCGTATAGTGCATTTGGATATAGAGTATCACTCTTTATATGAAAAGAGATTGAATACTGAAAAATTGATTGAACAATTGCAGTTAGACGATGATTTGGTTAAAGACGTGAAATATTTGGACTCAATGGTTGCTATCCAAGATTTACACGATTACTTGAGCTTCAATTACTCGGCTCAAATTAAAGAACTTTCTAATAAGGCTTCCAATGAGGAAGATGACGAAGAGAACAAGTCAGGTAGAAAGCATCATAAATTTGCTATTTTTGAAAGGTTGAGAGAAAATATTTTATATGATGTTGTGAAAGCCTACGGTATTACTGCTAAGGAATTTGGTGAAAATGTTCAAGATCAAAGTTCTAAGAATTTTGATGTTCCTTACAGAATCCATGCTACTGACGACCCTCTTGAATCTCCTGATGACTTAATAGAAAAATTCATTGAAGATGATGAAATATTATTTAAAGACCCAAAGAATGCTTTGAATGCAGTCAGAAAGACTTTTTCTGAAGAAATTTTCCACAATCCAAAAATCAGACATGAAGTAAGACAAACATACAACAACTATGTGTCGATCAGTGTCGCTTTAACGGAAAAGGGAAGAAGTTCTATTGAAAACCATAGTCCATATGCTGATATTAAATATGCTATTGATCGTTCTCCATCGGACTTGGTTCGTCAACCTGATATCTTATTAAGAATGCTTGAGGCTGAATCTTTAGGTTTAATCGTCATCAAAGTTCAAACTAAAGACTACGAAAGCTGGTATCAATCTATCTTTAATTGTTTAAAATCTGATGGATCGTCTGAAATATCAGAACAATGGAATAAAGAAAGAGAACTTGCTTTAAACATGGCTTTCAAAAGATTAACCAGTATGGTTGCTTTAAACACAAAAGAAGCATTACGTCGTGAATGTGAACGTTTGATTACAAGTGATGTTCGCAGAGGATTCAATGCTAAAGTGAATCAAGCTGCTTTCACTCCAATTGGATACGATAAAGGAACTAAACCAAATGTTTTTGCTTTGTCCATTGGTAAAGGTGATTTTGATAACGCAGTAGTTGGTATTTTTATCAAAGAAAATGGAAAGGTCTCAGACTCATTTAAGTCTGAAAGTAATCCTATTAGAGATCGTGAAAGTGAAGAAAGCTTTATGGGTCAACTTACAGAATTTTTTGACAAAAAATTTCGTAGTTATAGACCAGATGTCATTGTGGTTTCAGGTTTAAATGCTACTGCTAAAAAACTATTCGATGTTATAACAAACTTCGTTTCCAGAAATAAAATCACTATAAATACTGATGAATTGCGAGATGCTGCTTCTTTTGCGGATGTCTTAGTTCCAGTAATTTGGGGTCAAGATGAAACTGCAAGATTATTCCAAAACTCAGAAAGAGCTACCGTCGAACTTTCCGATAAACCACCTTTAGTAAAATATTGTGTGGGATTAGCAAGATATGTTCAAAGTCCTTTATTGGAGTATGTCTCTTTGGGAGATGATGTATTATCATTGTCCTTTTATGAACACCAAAAATTACTTCCTACTGACTTGATTCAGAATGCTTTAGAGTCTGTTTTTGTTGATGTTGTTAATATGGTAGGTGTGGAAATTAATGAAGCTCTTCGTAACCCTTATGTTGCTCAGTTGTTGCAATATGTTGCTGGTTTAGGACCTCGTAAAGCTTCTGGTCTTTTAAGAAATATTAACTCCAAGCTAGGAACCTTATCTAATAGAAGTGATCTTATTGAAAATGAACTTTCGACTGCTAATATATTTATAAATTGTTCTTCCTTTTTGAATCTTACATATGACGAAAGCTTATCATTAAGAGATGGCGGAATGGAGATTTTAGACTCAACCAGAATCCATCCTGAAGATTATGATTTGGCTAGAAAAATGGCCGCAGATGCTCTTGATTTTGATGAAGAAGACATGGCACACATAGAAGAACAAGGTGGTATCATCTATCAATTAATTCAAGAAGGTGTTAATAAGGTGGATGATTTGAATTTGACTGCTTATGGTAAAGAGCTTGAATCCAAATTTGGCAAACGTAAATATGCTACTTTACAAAGTATAAAAGAAGAACTTGTGAATAATTTCGAAGAATTAAGAAGATCATTTCATATTTTAGATAGCGCTGAAGTATTTCAAATGTTAACTGGAGAAACACCAGAAACTTTTGGCAGAGGAATCATAGTTCCGGTGACTGTTAACAAAGTCGGTAAAAACTTCCGTGATCAAGACTCCCAGATACGATATTTGAGAGTCACTACATCGTCCTTGGTCACTGGTGTTGTCGAAGAAAATTTTATCCCTCGTAAAGCTGATTATTTACAAGGCCTGGTCGTCCAAGCTGTCATTCTTGATGCATTTTATGATTCATTTTCAGCCACCTTCAGTTTATTAGACACTGATATTAAGAGGGCATCTGCTCCAAAATTCCGTAAAGATCCGTTGAAATGGGACTTTGAAGCCGAAGAAGCTGATAGACAAAGAGAAATCGCTAAAGAGAGAGCTAAGCTAGCCAAAACAAGAAATATTCAACATCCTTTGTTCCACAACTTTTCCCATAAACAAGCAGAAGAATTTTTGGCCCCACAATCAGTTGGTGATTGTGTACTTCGTCCTTCATCAAAGGGTCCTGAGTATTTATCAGTTACTTGGAAGGTTGCCAACAATCTTTTCCAACATCTTAGTATTCATGAATCATCAGGTAGCATGGGTAAGAAATATACAGTTGAACGTCAAGTCTATGCTGATTTGGATCAATTGATTTTCCAACATGTTCAAGCCATTGCCAAGCACGTCAATGAAATGTGTCGTCACCCCAAATTCCGTGAAGGTACATTATCAGAAGTTAATGAGTGGTTAGAATCATATACCAAAGCTAATCCTAAAAACAGTGCCTACGTCTTTTGTTACGATCATAAAGCACCAGGTTGGTTTTTATTATTATTTAAAGTAAATGTTAATACTCCAATTGTTACATGGCATGTCAAGACTGAACGTGATGGTTACAGATTGAAAGGGTTCTCTTATCCTAATATGCTTCGATTATGTAATGGGTTCAAGCAAACTTTCAAGAGCCATCTTAAAGACAGTTCTAGATCATCAAGAATGCCACCTCAACCTCAAGTTAGCTCCTATGAGTCATATGGCTACTGAGCTAAGTTTATTTTTTAGAAAAGCAAATGAACATTACAAACTTTGGTTGGTTTTCAAAAATTCTGTATATTTTAGTCATTTTCATCTTTTTTTCATTAAAAAAAAAAACTGAAGTACTTCATTGTGTATATTAAAACTAATTTTAAATATTTTTTGCAATTGAAAATGTAAGACTATGGGCTCAAATTCAATTTATTTGCCATTCTCATTTTTGATCTAAAGCTATCTCCGTCAACGTAACAACCCATTAACCATCTATCCCCGTTATTCGAATCAGAGAATGCTTCTCTAGAATGAAGAACTCGTCTATTATCAAAAATGACACAATTTCCCTCCTTCATTTTCAATTTCAATTGATTCCTAGGATCGTTGACAATTTCCTCGAATAATTCAAGTCCTCTTAAGAAGTTCTCCCACAAGCGTCTAGTATGCTGTGAATAAGTTGACATTTGAAATGGTGCCTGAAATGGCGGAGAATAATTAACAGCTAAAATTTTATTTTTGCCAGTGGCAAGATCAACATCAAAAGGGTCTTCCACAATAACAGGTCTATTGAAATAGTAATATTCATCATTGTTATTGTAATGATATGATATAGGGACTTCTTTCAAAGCTTCGTACGCAGTTATATCAATATCCCTGATGATATCAGCCGCTAAAAATGAATCTGAAAAGATATTTTCACCACCTAGAGTCGAGTTCTTAATAAAATGTAACAATTGCAACCCGGGTGGAGACTCATAATACAATAAATCCATATGCAAGGGTAAAAAGGTTGCCGTATTTGCGATGTTTTTTGCTTCTTTTTCATTCCTTACGTCAAATAAGTCACCATAAAATGTTCTTTTAATGTAGCCAAATCTCGTTGCTAACTTGGATACAGGCCACCTTGACACATTCTTTTCAGTGATTTGCTTCATTTCTGTTTCTTCGGAAGGATCAGGTACATTTTCAATAAAACTCAATCCATACTTGTTAAGATCATTGACGACTTTATTAAAGCTTTTGTTATTGGAAGAAAAATATTCTGCATAATCAGAGAATAGGCTATTGAAATCAAACGAAAGATCTTCATTATTCCAAAGTTTTCTATTGATCATTGTATTTTCATGTACAACCAGACTGCTAGAATGATTTTTGAGAAAACTTTCCTTATAACTAGATTCATGTAAAGATCCATCGTTTTCTTTCCAAACAATATCAAGATGGTTCTCACCAGTCTCGGGATTTCTTCTCACATGTGGAACTTCAGCTATCTTCAAGCTATTTGAAATTGAAGAGGTGGTGAATGTTTTCTGTTTGGATGATATATTAACTGATTTAGGAGATGTACAAGAATCTCTAAGGAACACAGTATTGAAGTTTGAGCTCAATCCATTTCCAAACTCAACGGACACATAATTGTCATTAAATTGCTTTACTGTTAAGCATCTTTTAAACTGACAATTGGTTATTACCGGCCTTATGCAATTGATCCTCGTCCTAATCATGGTAAGGAACTTTTTGAAAAAAGAAGACCCCAACGTTAATTTGTGGGGATATATTCTCTCTTTTTATTCTAAATTATGGGGTAATCTCGACGAATCAGTTTCGGGTCAAAAAAATCATGCGATGAAAAAATTATGACAACCGCGAGGTTCGAACTCGCGCCTCCGAAGAGACCAGGAAAGTATGGTAAGGTGACCTTACCCTGGCGCCTTAGACCACTCGGCCAGGTTGCCCTGTTGTGCCAAAATATAGAATAAAGGTATATAAGATTTGTAAAATGTCAGAAAAGAGGATAAGCAACAAAATATTTTTCGGCTCAAAAGGCTCAAAAGAAGCAACTTCTATTAGTTGTTTTCTTGTAGCGAGACAGGAGTAGCTCTTTTGATTTATTTTTGCCTTACTAGCTCTCAAAATAGAGTTAAATTACGTTGTCTATGTATAAATTTTAAATGGCTGCAAACTCTCGCACTTCGAAATTTAATGATCACCTTTATTCTTGAAAAAATGTGTGCCGTTGCTCAAGTGCTTTATTGACGTAATGCTGACTTTAGCTTGGGATATCCTGAGGTCCTTGCTTGGCAAACCATTAAAATGAAGGACTTGCTTTCCTTATCTTTCTCTTTAAACAAGAAGGATATTTGTAAAGTTTAAGAGACGTATATGGTTGGATATGAGGAAAAGGTTTGGGTAAGCCCATAATGCATCGGTGTATTTAATGTTAGAGTATTGGTTTAGGGAATTACTAAACTGAAAACTTTCCGATAATAACTAATTAAGCTAAGAGCAAGAACCTTATTGCTTTTGAGATCTTCGATATCTTCTTCATCTTATAACTTTCAAATTATTTACTAGATCCTATTAAACTCACAACCTTTTAATGAACCAAGAGTTTTTTATTTTCTACTGTGCATGTTAAAGTACTATTCTCTATCCATGCCCTTTATATTTTTTCTATATAATTAGTACCTAGCAAAGTATAGAGCCATATAAGAAAAGAAGTGTCATCAAAGAATGGTTTCCATTCAATTATCTTTTAGGATATTTTCTATATCTTGGTAAGTGGATATTTAGTGAAAATACGAACTTTTTTGAACAAAAAGCTATAAAAGAGGACTTATTTTAAGTCGTCTTTCACTGAAAAGAGTGGCAACTTCCCAATGCTTGTATTGCTTTTGTAACAACCCTATTCAGGACTAAACATACGCCTCCTAATTTTTAGGATAAAGGAATAATGGCCCACAAAGAGTTAGAAAGAATACCCCCTTGCGCTGCAAAAAATAAGAGTCATACAGTTATTTGCAGCATCAATAGTTTCACTATACTTGACTCATTGAGGTGCATATATACCACAATAAATTATGGTTTCAGAGCAGATGAAGGATAAGATAAAAGAAAGTATTTTTCTTGAACTACCTCTTCACCATTATACGAAGCTGAATGTCAAACAGGTATGTCCAGCATATACAACGAAGTATTTTACACGCAAGATATAATTAGCAAGTTTATATTCACCGTAGCTTTTAGCTAATATATATATTTAAAATCCAAGATTTGATCACCTGTTCGTTCTTTAATTGGATCTTCTTTCTGTCCCATTAATATTTGTTCTTTTTCGTTATTCAATTGTCGAAGTCTGATAGTATTTAGGACTACAGTGATTACTGCCACACATAAACATCCAAGCGATACTGAGTGACCGACAACCATGTGGGAGTAAGCGAGCCCAGCGAAGACACCTGATAAGTTCCCAAAAGTTTGATTCATTGAGATTGTCAAAGTTCTTCTATAATAAGGATCAGTATTATTTGAAGTCCAAGTGATGTTAAGACCTGCCACTGTGTATAAGCTTACAGATGATAGAAAACAACCGAAGTACTTAACTGAATCATTCTTAGATCCAAGGATAATCGAGTAGCCAATTAATCCCACAAGGGCACTAACTAAAATGAAAGGACCTCTTAACTTCATACGATCACTGATTATGGATATAGTAAGCACCGAAATAGAAGAAACAGCATAAACAGGAATAGTTAAATATTGAGTCTTCAATTTATCAAATCCAAGACCACTAGATAAGATAGTTGGAAGGAAATTAGAGAAACCATATAAAATCATATCACCACAAAATTGAATAATCATACTATAATAGGTTCTTATATCCAAAACTGCAATCCTAACATCTTTCCAGTTGAATTGAGAAGCACCAGTGAGTAACTCTCTTTGCTTTTTTCTATGAAGAATAATTTCCCTTTCTTCTTCAGTGAAGAATTTAGCAGTAGCAGGATCGTCTGGGAGAAAGAACGCTAGCAAAGGAGTACAAGCAAGAGTTATGATTCCTTCTAATAAGAAAATAAATCTGTAACCTTCTAATGCGGAAGTTTTAACTTGAACGAACCCATAACTGATTAAACCACCTACTGCTCCAGATAACGCAGCACAAGATAGTAAAATGGCCATTCTTAGTCCAATCTCTTCTTTCGTATAGCATGCAATCCCTGTTATATAGACAGCAAGCAGCGGCCAAAAGAAGGATTCTAAAGCCCCCAAGATCAACCGCAGAAGTATTAACAGCCAATAAGATGAAACAAAGGTCATTCCAATACACGTAAGACTCCAGCCAGCAACTGCCACAGTCAATAATCTTGATGGCCGTAATTTCTTCAAAAGCATGGTTCCGGGTATTTCAAATATAATATATGTCACATAAAATATCGAGATCGACAATGAAAATTGTGAATCAGTAATATTGATAGATTCCACCAATCCAGCTGGCCCACTATTACCAATATTTGATCTATCAAGTGCTGCAAAGAAATAGAATAAGCCTAAGATAGGTAGAACATATAAATCCAATTTTCTAACTGCACTTTTCTCGACTTCTGGATCTACATAAAAGTTATGTAGTTCCTGAAGGACTTCATCAACGTCTGTAACATCTGATTGCTGTTCTACTTTGACTTCTGATTTTGTCTTTTCCTGTTGCCCTTGGGTTGGATCTCTAGTTGTCATTTGTCCTGGTTTGATAAATTGATGTCAACAACCGAATCTTCAATTCTTATACAATTAACTAGGGGATTTCACGTCCAATAATGACTAACCTTGTAAGTCACCCTGAACACTTCGTCAGCTGGAGAAATACATCTTCTTATATACATTAGCTTTATCAACCATTCCGCTTTTGCAAAAAACTATTGAATGCTACACGAACAGCTCTACTCCTCTTATCTTTGACGTTTATCTCCCTGCACCACGTCGGATGATTAGCACAAAAATACCGAAGTGAATTTTTTCACTAAATCCTTCCAGTTTTTTTTTTTTTTTTTTTTTTATCTTTGCTTATGTTTTTCCGGCTGGTATACTCGATCTCCTATATCTATTGGCTTCTATTAGGAGTACGGCCCACCTCAGCAGACCGTCATTGCCTTTTTGGTATATACTACGATATCTCTTGTAATGGTTTGAAGATGAGAAGTGGAGCACGGCTAATCGCGCGACAAATGCCGATCTGCCAAAACCAGGGGAAATACGCTAAAAATTATCAGATTAGGAAAACGGAATGGACCAACCAACTCCAGCTATCTGTGACCCAAGGCCACATCCATAATCCTTAGCCTCTAAGTCCTTAGATAGTAGGCCATGATTGTTTCATAAGACCCTTGTGGAATTCCAGAACTTTTCAAGGCTGAAAAGCAAAAAAAAAGAACCTTGCTGCTCCTTTATACATTGCTGCAAAAAGTTAATTTTTCCTATTTTTACTATCAGGGATACCAAAAATACTAAGAAGAAATTAATTATTAGATTTCTAGACATATACACATAAATAAAATTAAACTATAAGGTGAATAATCCAGTTCTTTTTTTACCAAATGGATACAGAACTAAAGCAGCTGCGAAAACACCCACCGTTATTCCGATTGATACTTCCACCATTGAAGCACCAAAACTTAAAGATGTAATTTGACTTTCTTGATGATGGCCTGAAGAAGTAGAGTTGGTTATTTCGTTTGCAGTATTGACTCCAGACAACAATGTGCTTTGACTAGCTATCCCCGAAGGAACCTGGAGGAATATTCCTGGTAGCATCACACTTACAGCCATTCCTTTTCCTATTCTGGAGTACATATTACCCAAGATACCAATCACAAATGATCCTATGGCTGCAGAAAATTCAGTTACATCATTAAAATGTTTACCGGCAAAATAGTTTACAAGGTATCCAATACAGGAGATGAAAACCATGGCTGGGAGTTGAGTGAATCTTGCTTGATTTATAAGTCCTAAACAAACAGAGAAAAGTGGAATAAATAAAATTCTCCATTTATCATCAATATTATGTCCAGGGCTGCACTTCGCCTGATTAGTGCCGTCTTTATCAACCCAACCATATAAAGCAGATCCCAATGTAATACCAAATCCCAAAAATAAAGAATAAATAATAGCATAGAACATTCTTACTGAACCCGCAACCAAGTTTCTTGATTGCAATTCTAAAGATCCACAAAGAATAATATAACCCGGCAATATTAATGCTAAGGATCCCTGAGCAATTGCACCAAAACAGAAAAGTTCACCTCCTCTAATGGAACCAATAGCTCGTGCCACAAATGAAACAACAATTGAAGCACTAACTTCAAACACTGACGAATAAAGATTAGAGATTGAAGATATAATATACTGGAGATATCCAATGCAAAGTCCCAAACCAAAGGAAATTGGAACATCCATCCAATTACCGCTAAATGCAAAGGGTGATACGGATGCTGATCCTAACCCGTATAAAAATACACAGATCCAGGGATTGAATCTGTTTTTTCTTCTTAATAATTCTTCCAAGTCACCAGCAGCTTGTTCAACACTAACAAGATCATGAATAACCCTTTTGTAAATGGCATGAGTATCTGCAAGTTTGGATAAATTAACCCCCTGATTACATTTGACTAAATGTATTTCTGAAGTTCTAGTTGATGCATCCGAAAAGGCAACAATCATACAACCGGGAAAATAGATAAACTGACCATCTATTTCTAAAACTTTACTAGTCATTACCATATATTCCTCTAAACGATGAGTTGGTGCCCCATATTTCATTAATGCTTTACACATTCTTAAAATAAATCTTTGTCTTTGAAGGATATCAGCAATATGAACCGTGATACGCAATTGTCTGGCTTGTTCTTTTTTACGGGATTTGATCTTGGAAGATATCTTTGGAAGCTTTTTCTTTGGCGGTAATTTTGGTTTGGCATTCAAAAATGAAGGTAATCCTTCCTGCGTAGGTTCTTTTTCTAACTCGGCACTTGAAGTCGATTCTCTATTAGTATTGGGTGAAAAAGAAGTATCTGATATATTACTATTAAATGTAGTATTCAATTTCGTAATATCGACTGGACTAGTTGGGCTTGTAGGTCCAAGAGTACTCAAGTTGTCGTTGATCGATGTTCTACTACTTTCCGCCGGCAGTTTATCCATTAAAGGTCGACTTTGCTGTTGAGGAAATGCTTGTCCTTGAGTTTGGTATAGCTTTAAAATTGAAGATAAGACACCAGCTTTAAACTGAGGTAACTTTGTTTCTTCATCCGAATCATCTAAATTTTGAAGGTTCATATTTCTTACATTATTATCAAATGAGTTATTTTTCGAAGAAACTGAATCATTTTGGTTTTGGTCAGAGTTATTGTCCTTTTCAATGAAAAACGAAGTGGAATTAGCCAGTGCTGGCAGGGTTGGCAGAATTGGCAGCACCGGTAAACTATGATCATTGAGGTAGTCTAAGTTCTTTGGGTTTTTGAAGAAATCTGCAGCTTCTGGTATATGACTTAAAATCATGCTTTGAGCTTCTTTATTGTAAGAAGAAAAATCCAATTTTTTCATTTCAATACTATCGGGGCTATCCATGGCACCACCTACTACTTGTTCTTCATCTAGAGGTTTCGCCCTTGAATTTCTATTACTTGCACCCGGCGTGAGACCACCGCTTGTACCAGTACTATAGTTTAAAACTTTCCCAATAAAACCATCTGAATGAGCAGAGTTACGATCATGCTTATCGTAAATATCATCAATTTTACTGGGCTCTGCCAAACTTAATTTTTTCCAAATTTTCTTAAGATGGCCATCTATGGATTCTGGTTTATCAAATGAAGATTGGGAATCAGTGACTGAAGCCTGGCTGCTTTTTATTTCGTCATTTGCAAATGGATTATTCTTCTCCTGGATATTTTTATGGAAGTTAAAAAATCGACTGCCTATGGATTGCCTCAAGGACAGTCTGGTACTTTTAGAAGAATTTGATTCTACATTCGAAATAGAGCGTTCAGTTGGTGGTTTGAAATTTGATAGTTGGCTATCAGTCAGTTGGGATAGCCTTACTGGGTCATCGTCTTCATTTTGATCAGACTCGTCAGAGCTATCGGTGTCAAAGGCTTGAGGACCTTGACGATGGTGAGTGGGTTCATCAAAGTCACTTTCATCAGAAAAATCATCAGCAGGATCATTATCAAAGGCATCAAACAGACGATTCCTGACATCAGCTTCGCAAGCGTCAAATCTGAAAGTTGGTAGAGAATAGTCATTACTTAAATCGATACTGTCTCTTACTTCGCCTAAAGTACCCGACGAAAGCTTTCGAGGAAGTTCCAGTATTGCGGCCGCTTTGATTGAAGATTTTGAATCCGAACGTGCTAGTGATTTATTTGATGGCTTTCTAATCAAGTTTTTCCCAACTTTGGTAATGGGATGAGGTGAAGAGTCCTTAGCATTTTGCTGTCTAACATATGATAAATCTATCTTGGGTAAATTAATGTTTGTTCTGTGATTGACACTGGATGCATCATCATCGTCATCAGATGAACCACCACTTTTTATAGAAGACATTTTCCCAACTATCTCTCACGTACCAGATGTAGTCTGTCTGGAAGCAAAAAGAGTGGTGATGATGCTTTGATTTTTCAACACGGTTTTTCTTCCCTGGGAGTAAAAGAAATGAGTCAAACAAAGAACAACAGCAAAGAATGGAATCAGAAAACGTATCAATACAAATGTCACGGAATCGTTAGTAAAATAGTCAAACTAAATAGGTCTAAAAAAGAAAACGAAAAATAAAAATTAGCTAAAGTACATTATTATCTTTAGAAAGATGCGTAAATAATTTGCAGTTTCATAAATAAGCCGCCAGTTTGCTTTTTTTCCCTTTATCTTAAGCTATTTGTATTCCTGCCGATATTGCAACACTTATCGCTTACAGTTTGGGGCATAGTTAAGCTTCAATTTAAGCTTGCAAAAAAACTCATTTTTTTTTTTTAGCGTAGAGGAAAAGTGCTGCATTTCCTTTTTTCCATTTTTTTTTTTTTGGCAAAGACAGCAAGGCAGCAAAGAAGCAAATGAAATTGAATTTAAGTTTCATAATAGTGTCCTTGCTTCAACGATCCACAAGCTAATCTGTATAGATTGGGCAGCATGGATCTCTGATAGAATTTTGTACTCCCAATTAGTGTCAATTCGTGTTGACAAGTAATAAGCTCGTCCAGACGACGAGGGAATGAAAATAGGCTCAGTACAGATATATCTAGGGACTTACACGTTTCACTGCCAACAATAGGAAAGGTAACAAGGGCTTGCAAAATTCTATTTTTGATAATTGATCCGAATCAGGGCTAACTTACAAGTCTTATCTTTGATATTTGTACTATTCTTCACGCTGACTATTTATTCTAGAATTAGTCTTACAAAAATTTCATTATAAAGTAGACTGTCTTTTATTTTTTTTGTTTTTCGATTTGAAATTCCTAATACTCTATTGTTGCCTATTGTCACGTAATGAGCAGACAAGGCAAAGACAAAGTTTTAACTCGAGATATGTAGCCTAAAATTGTATTTCTTAGTTGTCCAGTTCTGGAACCGGTCGTAGTGGTACAGAATACTTTCCAACTTACAACATTGAGGTTCCTTGCATGAAAAAACCTGAGTAAGTATCAATTATTTGCAACCTAAATTTCTCTATATACACTAAACTACACACTTTCTTCCCATTGGACTCCACACCAGTCTTCAATGTAGCCAACGTGATTTTCATCGAAATTTTCTTCGGGTATGTAATCTTCGATATCAGTACAAACAATGATGGTCCCCCATGACATACCATTCAAGATATCATTGATCGCTATGTTATTGGAATCTTCAAGTTGTTCTAAATTCATAATAGTTTGTGGCATTAATTGTAATTCGAATTGTCTCTTGGATGATGGATTGTATCCAGGATTAGGAACATTAAAGTCTTTACCTTCTTCTATGATGAATTTTTTGGCAACTTCGTCTTTACCATTATAAAGTAATGGTTTACCTCCCAAGTCGTATCGAAGAATTTGCGAAGGATTGTGTTTGACAACGTTTGTAAAATTTTCAAAGTACTTATCATCCAACATATTAGAAATTTTTTTGGCCTGTGGATTCAAAGTGGCCGAAGACGAAGAAGATACTGAAGATGAACGACCTTTTTTATCCGAACTTGAACCTTCATCCATTTCCATTTCTTCAACTAAATGTTTATATTTTTCTAATTCTGGTTCCAAAGTGACTTTTTTAAACTTCTCTTGATCAACGTAGATAAAATACCCTTGATAAGATGGTAAAGTTATTGGGTCTTTACTTTTAATCTTGCTCACTTTATTATCTGCCTTGAGGGCACTTGCTTGTGCATAAGTTTTTTTATCATTTGTCTTCTTATCTTCTTTTTTACTTTCTTCATCATTTGATTTTGCAGGAGCAGTAAAGGGACTACTTTTATTTTCAAATGGATTGGACGAAGAAGATCCAAATGGATTACTACCGAAGGGATTACCACTGCCTGAATTCGAATTATTGAACAAGTCTTTTGTCAATTCAATATTTAATTTTTTTTGATTGTCAATCTTTAATTTTTCATCAAGTTGCTTTCGAACTTCTTCCTCTTGTTCAGCTTTTATTTGAGCAATTTTTTTAGGATCCTTATTAATTCCTCTTATACATTTAACAGAGCCTTTCTTCTTAGAACACTGTCCAGTATTTTTACAGGCAAATATGTAAATGACTCGATCGTACAATTTCCCGTCAATTGGAGCAAATGCTTGCATTAAAAGAGCCATTTTCTTATCACAATTGTCGCAAGTTAAACTAGCTGGATCGGGCTGAGAGTCTGGATGCAACCAGATTGGTTTAGATCCAATGAATGTATCTTCAATGGTCGGTTGACTTTCTTCATCGTCTTCATCGCTTTCTATAACGTCGTCTACGAAACCCAAGTAGACATCAGTTTTTTCATTTTCATCAAACAAATCTTCTTCATCCGAAGAGTATTCATCATGTGAGGATGACATTCTGACTTTGGCTAATTGACAAATCTTCTGCTTGTATGAAATTTTTTATTCTCAAGTTTTTTTTTTTTTTTTTTTTTTCAGTTTTACACTCATCACAACTTCCTAAATATATACATGTACGGGTTTTTATTTTGCTATATACAATTTATGAAGACAATTTATACAAGTTTGTTAGAACGTCCTCCAGTTCTACAAATACCTTTGATGTTTTACTTCTTCGAATACTTCAATCTTATCACCCTCTTCAAACTTATCCCACCTTTCGAAGGCTAAACCACACTCAGTACCCTTTTTGGCCTCATTTATATCATCTTTAGCATGTTTCAATGATGAAAGAGTACCAGTATAAATAACTTCGTCATTTCTAATAACTCTTATATTTGAAGATCTCTTAAGATTACCATTGTTAACTTTACAGCCGGCAATTTTAGATTTACTCTTGTTCTTACCCATAATAACGAATACACCTTTTATATCAATCTCTGCAACTGTCTTTATTTCAATATGGGGTTTCAATTTTGATGTAAGCTCTTCAGTTATTTCTTCGATCAATCTATAAATAATGTTATGTTCAGCAATTGAAACTCCTAACCTTTCAGCTTTGAAGCTTATCTGTTTTGGAGTTTTAATATTGAAGCAAACGATTTTTGCATCCAAGGCCTTAGCAGTGTCTATATCTGAATCAGTTGGTAATCCAGCACCATGCGAAATAACCAATGCCTTAACTTCATCATTTCCTAGACCATCAACACTTTCTTTGATAGCTTCAGCAGAACCAAAGACATCGGATTTAATAATATATTTAACTTGAGTACATTTTGTTTCCGTACTTTCTGTTGGTAATTCTTCGACATTGATACCTGCTAATTTCAACTCATTCAATTTCTCTTGTCTTTGTAATTCCTTGATTTCTTCTTGTCTCTTGGCGTTGATTATTTCAATATCTTGCCCAGCTTGTATTTGTTTTTCACGAGTAATTCTATTTTCAATCACTTTTTTAGCAACCTTTTCGTTCTTAGCCTCCAATATTTGATCACCAGCTTCTGGTAAGTCTTTCCATCCCCAGATTCTGACAGGAGTCGACGGACCAGCTGTTTTCACCATTTTACCATTCTCGTCCTTCATACCCCTAACTTTACAATATGTTTTACCAGCAACCAAAAAGCTACCAACTTTTATAGTACCTCTACGAACTAAAATGGTTGATATGTTTCCCATACCTTTCTCAACTTGAGATTCGATAACCCAACCTTCAGCAGGTATTCCTTGAGGCTCGGCCTGAAATTCACTTAACTCACTTAAAGTGATCACAGCTTCTTCCAATTTATCCATATTCATACCAGTTTTACCTGATACCCTCACGGTTTGAGTTTCACCACCATAGTCTTCAATATCGATTTCATAACGAGCGAGATCACTCAAGACCTTGTCAACATTAACACCTTGTTTATCACACTTATTAATGGCCACAATAATTGGGACTCCTGATTTTTTGGCATGCTTGATTGCCTCAAGAGTTTGAGGCATAACTGAATCATCGGCTGCGACCACTAAAATGACAATGTCGGTAATAATTGCTCCTCTTTCTCTCATTTTCAAAAATGCAGCATGTCCTGGTGTATCCAAGAAAGTAATGTTCTTCTTCGATATTGGTGTGGTGACTGAAAAAGCACCAATATGCTGAGTGATACCTCCATGTTCTTGATTCACAATGGAAGATTTCCTCAAATAGTCTAAAATGGTAGTTTTACCATGATCCACATGCCCCATGATAGTTACCACTGGAGGCCTTGGTTTCAATTTCGATGAATCTTCAGGTGCTGGGAATAAATCAAGACCGGCGTCATCATTCATTGTGATTTCAAAACCGAATTCATCCGCAATTAAAGATGCATTTTCTTTATCAAGAATATAATTGTGGGTCATTCCTTCAAACCCCAAAGACTCTAGTTTCTTTATGAATTCATTCAAGGGGATTCTTAGGATAGAAGCAAGATTAGAAACTGTTATGAATGTTGGAATTTGAATTTGAATTTTTTCAAGTCTTACCTTCTTGTCTTTTCTATGATTAATTGGAGGTTTGAAAGATTTAGTATTGCTTTTAGTTGAATGATCAGGTCTATTATTTGTGAAAGGACGAGATTCTGCGTTTTGGCTCGTTCTGGATTTTGCTATGTTATTCGAGGAGGGTCGAGATTCTGCATTTTTATTCGATCTAGGGTTTTGTAATGTAGCCTTGTTTTTATTCGACCCGTTCTTATCCTGGGTCTGTTGTTGTTGTTGTCGTCTGTCATGAAAAGGTCTTTTTCCTGGGCTATTGGATTCTGGTTTAGCAAATTGTTGAGCGAAACGATTGTTTTGCATCTTCGAAGACAGCTGTGCATTCTGAGCCACGGGAGTCAGAGGTTTAGCTTTTTGCTGAGTAGGGACTTCCTTCTTGAATTTAGAAATACCACCACCTACTCTGGGTAAATTTTTCAAAAAATCACTATATGCTCTTTTAGTACAATGTAAGTTGCCCGGGTTGAAAGTACATCCTTTATAAAGACTCTGGCAGTACAGAGGAATGCACCTGGAGCTCCTTCCTATCATTGTTAACTGATTATGAAATACCCAAGCTTGGAAAGCGAATCTATTGGGCACTAAGTACAGTAAAATTTTTTTTTGATCAAAATGTAACTTTTTTGTGCGCAGCCAATTTTTTTGGTGCAAAAGTTGGAGTAAGTAAAAGGTAATGAAGTTATAATGCTAAAAATTTGAAATTATAGATAAATACATAAAGACATATATATATATACATATCTATATAAACGTGATATGAATGAAAATAAAGAGAAAGCAAAAAAATTGAAAAGGACTTGACGGACGTGAATGATGAAAAAAGCTTATTTTTATTTTAAATTTGAATCATTAGAATAAATTTGAGTAGATCATTATTTTAATTAGAATAACTATAATCCCCATTTGATGTAACCATTCCTCGTCTTTTACTATCATTCAAACGAAGAACCAACGAGTCGATATCTCTGAAGTTACGGTCATCACAAGCAAAATTACGGTGTCTATTGGAAACAATATGGTCATCAAAATGATCATATTTGATACGACAATTTTCACAGTAACCCGGATTTAAATCACGATCTTGATTATGATGATGAGATCTGGAACTTTCTGGTTTTTGTTTTTGTTTTTTGACAAAGATACGTCTCTTCAAATTATTGATATTTTTAGAAGGGACGGCAGATACCATTGGACCTAATCCATTACCTTGCTGTTGAGCAGCTGCATTACTATTAAGAGTAGAATCCATAGAGCATTGGACTGCATTAGATGCACCATTATAACCGGATGCAGCAACTTCATAATACTTTGAATTTGAATTCAGATTTGAATTGTAGTTTGAATGCTGAAATGGTTGAACACATGACGAATTACGAATTAAGGGAGCAGGAGGAGCTTTGAAATCATATTTGGAGGTTGAAATAGTATCGTGAGCTTTAGTTTCTTCATTGAATACATCTGAATCTTTAGGTTTTTGATAATCATCTTTATCCTCAATTCTGTCAGTACTAGTACTGGTACCCGTAAAACCAGACGAATCAAGTTGAATACCTTCTTTTGCATGATTCATTATATCGGTGGTAACTTTTTTCAATAAATCACGGTACTCTTTAGTGGCACTAAATTTCTGTAACCTACGTAATTTTTTACGGTCAGAATTTTCTGAAGGATCAGGAATAAAGGGACATTTACCATCCAAAGTATTTTGAATCATAGGATAACTATCATTTGACCATTCTCTAATTGCAATAGGTCTAACATTTTGAGATAAATCGTAAACGTACAAATAATTCTTATCAAGATAATGAAGATCATCTCTTCTTGCATTTGGATCACGATCAGTAGAACCAAAAACTTTTTCTTCGTGTAATAAATTTGATAAATTACCCTTTGAATTTGAAATTGGAGAATCATTAGCACCTAAATTTTTCAAAAAACGGAATACTTTATCATAATCCCATACTTTAATTTTATGATGAACTGCTTTTGCAAAAACGTCTGCACTTGGATATTCAAATTTAGGATTAAAAGGCCGTCTACTAATAATGATACGAACTTCTATATCGAAAAATTCACTTATTGTACAACCAACTGTTTTCAAAGCTTTAGAAGCTCTTTTCATTTCCGAATATTGAGTTGGATTAGTAGAATCGAACCCTTGTTTATCAAAATAGATGATAGATTCTTTCATGATTTTGCGCCATGATATTTGCCAATTGCGTAATTCTTCACCCACCAATCTAGTAGATTTAGTATTGGAAGTTGATTTTTCTTGATGATGTTGATTCTGAGAAACAGAATTAGAAGTTTGATTGACATTTTGATTATGCTGAAGTCGAATTTGATATCTATTATTATTATTATTATTATTATTATTATTATTATTATGAGTATGATTATGATTGAAGTTATGATTATGAAGATTATTATTAGGCTGTGGCAAGCTTGGTTTATTCAAAGCAATAGACGAAGCTTGAGTATGATCAATTTTATTCAATTTTGTTTTTTTAAACGTTGGAGAGGGTATATTCCCACTAGTTTCTTTTAACGGAAGTCGATTATTCGACGATGACACACCATTTGATGGTTGTCCAACGGATTCCTGGAGACCCAGTCTCTTCTTACTAATCATTGAATCCATTGGAATGAGTATTGCATGCTATGAAAATGATTTATCAAATTACTTGAATAAAAACAACAACAAATCCAGCGGTAATCTATAAACGAAAAAGTCTTTGCAATACCAACAAGGAGCTATTTCGCAACTGGAATAGAGTTAAGTCAACGAACCAGGCCAGACGTTACGGACACTCTGAAGTATATATGAAATCAGAAGGCTATTTGAAGTCAAAATCGTGCTGGTTGATAGTATCTTTCAAAAAAATTTTCTTCCAGTAAAGCGTAGTAGATTTACCAATACGCGTTTTGTTTATATGAAGAAACGATTTGCCAGGGCGCGCGCACGTGACCAGAACACCCATGCACCAAAGAAAAGAAGGTCCTGGGAGTAACACTATCAGAAAAGACTAGCAGATAACCCAGGGAGTATATACTGGTTATAGAGAGCAAAGCATGCTTCAACTGAGACACATATCCAAGGTACTTTCGCAAGGGTTGGGCAGCAGCAACTCCAGGACGTCGCCGCTCTCGATATCGCTTCTTTCGAGCAACGGATTACCATTAAGTACGGTGAGAGTACCGAATCAAGAGAAAGAACATTTAACTAATGACAACTTGAAGATATACTCATTATTGGCACTTAACCAGTTGCGCCAGCAGAACGACGACGAGTGGGGGTTATTGGAGCTAGACGAGAACTTGAAGGTGGTGATTTCGAAATTGGAATTGAAAAATTACATAAATAAAGAACAAATTGAAGATAAAAGGGAAGAGGGATTATACGTTGTTATATTTTACGATAGCATGTTCTCAGATGCCGAAGCCAAATTAAGATTGGATAATTTATGTAGTGCGTTGAGTCAGGGATTAGAAGGGTATCGAGGGTGAACTACAATGGGTAAATCATTTATATCGGTATTAAAAGTATGAGAAATAAAAGAATACCAAAAGAATAAAGAGATCAATTTGTAGTAATACTAAATAATAATAATAAAAGTAGTGGTAGTAATATAAAGATAAAGATCAAAAGAACAGAAATTAGTGATAACTATGTATATGACGTTAAAGCAAACCAAAGATAAAAAAGATAGCAAAACAAAAAGAAGGTATCTGTAAATGAAAATGAAAAGACGTTAAAATAAAGAAGGGAAAAATCATAAACTTGTGCTAGTAATGAGTCTTAGGACTCACCGATGACGAATAAGATAATAACAAACCAGAGAGAGACAAAAAACCAAAAAAAAACAAAAAAAAATTAAAAGGATAAATGCACATTTCTATATTATTTTGTAACAACCATGTCATCAGCTTCTTCTTCTTCTTCTTCGTCATCGTCATCATCTTCGATATCGTCCATTAAGCTTTCTTCATCGTAGCTTTCTTCTTCTTCACTATCGTACCAAAAGTCTTCGTCGACTGGTTCTTGTTCCAAATCTTTATTAGCAGAACCACCATTGCCATAAGCATGCAACTCCAGTTCTGGCATCACGAAATCCTCTGGAATGTCGGTTTTGGACCGTTCAACTTCTTGTAAAACCTTCTTTTTATAAGCTTCTGGGTTCTTACGTAATTCCACCGAAGCATCGATATTGGCCGGCGAAGAAACATTGGGGTCTTCCAAAAGACTAATGATTGAAATCAAAACACTCTCCACGGTTTGCGCAGGAGACCAAGTCTCTGAATCTGGTTCATCCGAAGTTGGGTCTCCACCCTGGTGTAAAATGGAAATACATAAACGACCATCTCGGTAAACGTTTGGGTGGTAAATTGCCGGGGTGAAACGGAAGGTGGGTGGAACAAAGGGGAAATCCGATGGGAATCTCATTTGACCTTTGAAATAACCCCCATGATACATCGAGTCTTTATTCAATACCATAATCCCAATATTCCAAAGGAAAATGTTATCATCATCAAGTTCGATATGGAACGATGGAATCCCCTTTTTGGGATCGGTCAAGTCTTTAAATTGTCGTGACAAAATGGCAGCAGCGGTCTTGGAACTCATCATGAACTACTTTCAAATAACTTGTATTATATTCCAGTCTTAGAAATGTATTTGTATTTCCAATCTTTTGTATGATGTTAATTTTTTTTTTCTTCGTTCTTTTTGGGGTGTACTCTATTTGTATTTGTCAGGTCTTCTGATCAATGAGGAAAGTACAGAGTGCAAACAGCAAAGCTTGGTTACAGTGACAGACCAAGAAACAACGGAAAGGTATAGCTCAACAAAACGGTATATGTTGTTAGTTGAAGCTATTAGAAGAAAACACTAATAAAAAGAAAATGAAATGAAGAGGTTACCGATTAGTGAGTAAAGCTTTTCTTTTTCTCACTGCTTTTTTGGCATGAAATTGTGCGGTGAATCAGAATTCCAAATAAAGCTTGATAAGCATACAATAGATATATATATAATAGATATATATATATAATAGATGATATATATATAATAGATGATATATATATGATAGATGATATATATATATATAATACAAGTGTATGGTGTATGGTGTATGTATGTAGGTATGGACAGAGCAACTTATAGACGAAGGGTTGAACAATTTAACAACAAGATTTAAATACCCTAACAAAATACAAAGAATATCTATTATAAGCTAATTTACCTTTGAATACGGTTAAATTATTTCGTCATTTAGTAGTGCCTAATTGTTCAAAATAGCAAAATCTGACGAATGAAGCTGGTAAGGAGACAGAGACTGGAGCGGAGGGGGAGCATCAAAGGTAGGCGAGAGGTACGGGTGTTGCCTTTGGTGTCCCCTTTGGCCAAAAAAAAACAGCCAAAACCCCCGGAGATCACCATGAGGTGGTAAATTGATCGATAACTTCAATCAATTGGAGCCGCTAGTATTAGACATGGATATCGAAGAGCAGTTAGAAAGAGCCGAGCAATCGCCTGACCCATCGCTTGTTGGGTCGTCCATTAGGTCCGCCGACGATTCGGCGCACAATAACTACATTCATCCCAGTAAAACCAAACCCAAGAAGAAGAAGAGTGCAAGTAAGAAGAAGTTGATGAATAGTTCAATTGGGAGTTCTTTGGATGATTTGATCAGCGAGGGGGCGTTGTTGGGGTCCGAAGAGGACTTCACCAAGTTCTTGGATGATGACGGTAACGTGAAGGACGATGCTAGGTACGTCAAGGAGAAGGAACAAGCTGAAGCAGAAAAGTCTTCTCCTTTGAAGGCGGTGATCAATTCAAACGATTTCCAAGGGAAGGACGACGAGGAGGTGAAAGAGGAAGCAAAAGATGAAAAGGAGGTGAAAGAGGAAGCAAAAGATGAAAAGGAGGTGAAAGAGGAAGCAAAAGATGAAAAGGAGGTTAATGAGGAAGCAAAAGATGAAAAGGAGGTAAAAGAGGAAGCAAAAGATGAAAAGGAGGTTAAAGAGGAAGCAAAAGATGAAAAGGAAGTCAAAGAGGAAGCAAAAGATGAAGAAAAAGAGGTAAAACAAGGTAATAGCTTTTATCAACAAGAAGACTACTCCACGCCCAACTTATCTGAATACCAACTTGATAATCAAATCAGTAACCATCAAGAACTATTAGATAATGTCAAGTCTCACGACCACCACCGGTTGCCAACTTCCAATGATCGGGAAATTTCAAAATCAAATGAGGTTTTCAAAAGGTCTCCCGAGCCTGCTCATGTTGCACCTTTGCATACCGAACAAAGAAGACCTTCTTCTAGATCAAGATCAAGAGGCCCTAGATCGTCGTCTCTCATTGATAAATCCTCTGATCGTTCAAGATCTTCAACCAGAAATCCTCATTTGGCTCGTGGGGACTCTTATAAAAATACTCATGACATTGAACCTTCTACTTATGAATTGCCGGCTGATTTGGAAGTTCCAAATGAAGAAGTCGAACAAGATGAAGATAGAAGAACTAGACAATCTAAACCAACAATGGGGGAGTCAATTGCTGCCGCTGAAGCTGCAAAAGCTTCGTCTGATTCTCAAGATTTCCATTCGGATGTCTCGTCAACTAGAGATCCTTCCTTAGTTACCACTGGTGATTATACGAATTTCAATGCTGATAGACCGGATGTCAATATAAATTCTTCAAATAATTTATATTCAACTAGATCGGAAAGTTCAACTAATTATTTACGTTCAATCTCAAGATCAAAATCAAGACAACCAAAACAATTAGAAAAAAACGATTTGGTTAACCAACACAATATCATTCATGAAAAAAATGATGCTGATTCAACCAATTTGGCTCAAGAAGGGGCTTTGATTTCAGAAGACCCTTATGAAAGAATTACCGGATTAGATAACATGGTTGAAAAAGTGGTTAACGATGGTCAAAATACCGTTGATTCAAAAGATTTGCAAAACTCTGAAAAAAATGATAATTCGAAAGAAGAAAAAAACAAGAAAGAAGTTGACGTTTCAAAAGAGTTAACCGGTACCGCTATCGAATCCAAAGATACAAAAAATAATGATGATCCTGTAGCTACAGAACCATCGGAAAAATCAGTTGGAAATAAAACTGAAAGCTTAGATGCCACTGATGACACTAATGCTAAAAATTTACCAATGGATCAAAATGATGTTCCACTTGCTGCCAAGAATTCTCTTGCTGGTGAAGCAGCTGAAGCAGTTTCTTCAACTGCTATAGTAAATGATGAATCTGACAACAAAGTTGATGAATCTGACACTAAAAAAGTTGATGAATCTGAGGAACTCAAAGATGAACCGGAATTTAAAGAGACGGAAGAGAATGCACAATCCAAAGAGGTTGATGCAGAAAAAGTAAGTGATGTTCCTGCAGAAACAAAGGTTGAAGAAACTGAAAAGCAGATACTCGATGAAGAAGCACCAAGTTTGTCTACAAAAGATATCAAATCTGAAAGTACCCCAGAAGAATCAAAAGAGATTAAAGATCCAGAAAAAGTGGAAGATGATGTCAATGTGGATTCTGCTCCAGGCGATCAAAAGGAGACTGATCCGGCCATTTCCAACTCCCAAACTGTTACTGCCGACGAAATTAAAGTCAACGATAAAACCGAAGGCGTGGCTGATCAAGTTGCTGCTGCCGACATTGAACCATCAGAGGTATCTAGTAAAGAACCTGAAGTTACAAAAGATGAAACTGAAGCAACCGTAGGTGAAGGAAAGAAGGCCAATGTTGATGCTCATACCGAAGCTAATGATGACGGAAAGGAGTCCGAAGCTAAGGATATTGAAGCTAAAGATATTGAAGCTAAAGATATTGAAGCTAAGGATACCGAATCTAAGGATATTGAAGCTAAAGATACCGAATCTAAGGATACCGAATCTAAGGATACCGAATCTAAGGATACCGAATCTAAGGATACCGAATCTAAGGATACCGAATCTAAGGATACCGAATCTAAGGATACCGAATCTAAGGATACCGAATCTAAGGATACCGAATCTAAGGATACCGAATCTAAGGATACCGAATATAAGGATACCGAATCTAAGGATACCGAATCTAAGGATACCAAATCTAAGGATATTGAATCCAAGGATATCGAAACAAAAGATGAATCAAAAGAAGAAAAAGATGAGACCAAGGATGAAACCAAGGAGATCGCAGCAGAAGCTAAGCCCGAAACCAAAGCCGCCGATGATGACCTAGACTTTGACGTTTCTCCAGAAGAAATCCGCAAACATTTAGAAAGCCAGCCAGTCTACATCTTCACCTCTTTCGCCGGTGGAATGCAAATAATCCCAAGAACCAACCGCTTGGCCACCATTCTCCAAGCAAACAGCGTCAAATTCGAATACCGTGATTTGGGTACCGACGAATCAGCCAAAAAAATCTGGAAAAGAAGTGCCAATGGCAGAACCTTGCCTGGTGTGGTTAGAGGAGATGATCTCATTGGTAATTGGGAAGAAATCGATGAAGCCAATGAAGAATATAAGTTGAGAGAATTACTCTACGAGACTTTGTAAGTCCGTCCTGCAATTCCAGCTTCCTGCTCTACTATTTATTTATAGCTCTTTACTTATTTATTAAGACTATGGTTCTGATAGTCTGCTAACATTAATAAATATATTTAGTTAGACTCGTATAGTTATGTACAGGAAACATATAACGTTAAAAAAAAAAAAAAAAAAAAAACGGAATGAAAAATGCGAAATACTCAACAATACTGTGTCCTTCTTTAGTAATTTAGTATGATCCACGTAATTTTTGAAAAATTATTAGATTTAACCTCTTTTAATTCTTCGGTTTCATTCACATCAACCAATTCCCCTAACTATTCTTGATCGTTTTGAGAGCTTTCACGCTTTACTGATTTGCTTTTAAACTTTTAAACCAACTTACGAAGGTGAACATTCTTTTATAGAATATTTTGATTTAGTAATACTAATTTCGATACCCTTCTTCCTGCTGCTTTTATCAGAACTTTCCTAGTAAAAGCATTGCCATTTTGTTATTACTGCTGTTGTTACACGTCAGTTCTTTGTACTGCCTTTTTTTTCCAAGTTTCCCGCTATGGCCACTCCAGCTGAAATTATTGCCGCCCGTGTCAACGGTACCTATTTAGGCGATTCGATTGATTCTTCTTCTGATTCTAACTCTAATTTTGAATTAAATGGGGTTAATGGATCTGATAATCAACCTTCTACTGGTTCTTCTGCTGCTAATCCTCCTTCCATTGCTGACGAATCGGCTTTTCCAACTTTGGGTGGTAAGAAATCTTCTAATGGTTCTTCTGCTTCTGCTCCTTCTTGGGGTCCTGGTATTAAAAATTCTGTTTCTAATAACGCTATGTCTGGTTCTGGCTTAAAAGCCGGATCGCCTGTTGCTGCTATTGGTATTAACAATGGTAAATTCAAGGCTTCTACCATTCAAGATGCTTTTTCATTAGACGCTGAAGATCAATTGAATGTTGCTAGACCAGAATTTATTAAAATCTTAACTAATGTTAAAGCTGAAACAAATACTAACATTGAATGTACTACTTCTCAACATACTAAAAAGAGAACTTTCTTGATTACCGGTAAGCCTGAACAAGTTAAACAAGCTAAAAGAATTGTTATCAAAAAATTAACTAAACCAATTTCTGTCGCTTTTACCATTCCTGCTGCCGTTAGATTTAGAATTATTGGTCAACAAGGCCGTACTATTAAGTCAATAATTCAAGAAAATGAAGTCAAAATTGATGTTGGTAATCCTCAAGATACTGAATCTAATAGTGACGACGATGATGATGCTTTTGCTCAAACCGTTAATGTTACTATTGAAGGGGATGTTGAAGGTTGTAAACATGCTAAGGCTCAAATCTTAGCCATTGTTAAAGAAGAAACAAAGAATTTATCCACTAGAGTCACTATCGATGATCTTGTCAAACCATTTGTTTCTAAAGCTATCTCTCCAGTCATTGCTAAATACCCTGATTTGGATATCTCAGCTCCAAGCTACAAATCTTCGTCATCAAAGATTGTTATTGTCGGTGATAGAGAAGAGGCTTTAGAAGCAAAAGATGAAATCAAGGATATTGTTTCTACTCTTTCTACTAAGATAGTTACTGAAGAAGTTCCAATTCCAAAAGTTAAGCACCAATTCTTACCTGTTGATTCTGTATTGGAAGAACACAATGTTTTGATTCAATTACCTCGTCATAGTGAATCTAGTGTTAAATTCATTGGTGAAAAGAAAAAATTGGCTTTTGCAAAAGAAAGTGCCAGAAAAACTACTTCTCAATATAATGTTGAAGTTTTAGATATGGCTAAAGCCCATAAAGGAAATTTACCTCATGTCAAATCTGTTGCTGCTTTATTAAGCAAGAATGGTTCTTTTGAAAAAATTTCTAACGAACATGATGTTAGTGTTAATGCACCATCTGTCAAATCCTTGAAAGATTCTTCAATTGCTTCAATTCCAATTGAAATTGTTGTTAAAGGTAATGATGTTGAAAAAACAAAAGCTACTAAAAAATCTATTGTCACCTTGGTTAACAAAATTACTCCAGAACAAACTAAGGTTATTTCTGATATCGATCAATTCTTGATCAACCAAATTCCAAAAACAATTGATGAAGTTGCCTTTGCCAATAACATTTCTTATGTTGTATTAGGTAAAAACATTACTCTTTTCTCAAACGAAGAATCTGAAGAAACTGATTTCGATTTTGTTGATACTACTCAATCATCTGAAGGTTTCAACAAAGTTGATGAAGCTCTCAACAAGTTGAGAGAATTAGCTGCTAATTTGGAATCTCTCACTTTATCCATTCCAAGTGATGAACAATCTAATATCTCTGGTCCAAGAAATACTACCTTGAATGCTGTATTATCATCTGTTGAACCAAACTCCGTGACAATTAAGTTGCATTCTAATGAATCCGGGGAATCAGCAGATGAAGTTTTCATTCACGGTATTAAATCGGAAGTTAATAAGATCAAGAAAGATATTGAATCCATTTTATCTGATGCCAAAGAATATAAAGATGGTTTCAAGACTACCTTTGAAGTTCCATCCTCTGTTTTATCTAGAATTATCGGTAAAGGTGGTAGTAATGTTCAATCTTTGAAGGAAAAATATGGTGTCAAAATTGATGTTACTGATGAAAATAAAGATGCTGGTAATGATAAATCAATTAAATCAGAAATCACCATCACTGGTGCTAAGAAGAATGCTGAAGAAGCTAAGTCCGATATTCTTTTTTCTTCTAAAAGATTTGCTGATGAATCTTTGGAAAGATTAAGAATCGAAAATCAATATCATAGAAGAATCATTGGTCCAAACTTTAGCTATATTAATAGATTGCAAGATAAGTATAATGTTAAAATCAGATTCCCTTCTGCTGATAATACTCCATCAACTTTTGCTGATGCTCCAAAATCAAAGGATGAAGTCACCATCAAAGGACCATCCAAAGGTGTTGCTAAAGCTGTTGAAGAATTAAAGGAATTGCATCAATTCGAAAAAGAAAACGGGTTCAAGCAAACCATTCAAGTTCCAACTAAGGCCGTTCCAAGAGTCATCGGTAAATCCGGTGAAACCATCAGAGATATAGCTGATGGTAGTGGTGTTGAATATAGATTCAATAGATCCAACAACTCTGAAGAAGAACTTGGTTATGCTGAACTTGAATTGACTGGTTCTAAATCTGCTTTGAAAGAAGCTGCCAAAAAAATTAATGACATTGTTGACGAAATTGAAAATTTCGTCTCCATCTCAATTAATGTTAATCCAAAATATCACCGTGACTTAATCGGTCAAGGTGGTTCAGTCATGAGAGAAATAATTTCCAAAGCTGGGGGTGCTGATGTTCCAAGAAATAGATATTATAAATTATTAACCATTCCAAATGAAGGATCAGGCTCTGATGAAGTCACTTCTCAAGGTGACAAAGCCATTGTTAATAAGATTATCGAACAAATCAAAGACATTGTTGCTCTCAAAGAAGCTAGCATTATTGTTGAATATGAATTACCTAAAGAAAAACATAGATTAATCATTGGTCCAGGTGGCTCCATCCGTTCAGAATTACAAAAGACTTATGAAACCTCTATTGATATTCCAAGACCAAACGATCAAAGTACAATTGTTAAATTGTCTGGTTTACCAGACAAAATCGAAGCTTTGAAGGCCAAGTTAGATGAAATCACCAAAGATGATTGGAATGTATCCATTGATGTTCCTGAACGTTATCATTCCTTAGTATCTGAAAAAGGTGCCATCTTCAAAAAATTGAAAAATGATTACAAAGTTGAAGTTCAGCATGGTACTTTAACTAGACTTGCTTCTAAATTATCTGGTTCTGCAAGTCCAAATCCTCCAGAAGAAGCACACCCAGAAAATAATGAGAAGACTAAGTTCACTATTTCATCTCTTGCTGAAGGTGAAATTTCTGAGACTGTTATTCCATGGAGATTAAAAGGTGAAGAAAAAGATACTAAAAAAGCAGCAGAACTTATCAACCAACGTTTAGAAAATGCTAAAAATGCTAGTGCTGCTGCTTGGTTCTATTCTGCTAATCCTTCCTCCTTCACCAAGGTTGTTGGGCCATTAGGTTCTGTAGTTAATGATATTAGATCAAAAACCAATACTTTCATTACTGTTCCAAGATCCAATGAAAAGAATTCTAATTTCATTTATTTAGTTGGTTCTCCAGATAACTTGAAACTCGCTGAAGAATCAATCAAAAGTTTGCTTTGAGTTTATTGTATATAGTACATAAAAAATTTTGAATTGAGGTTTGATTTCCATCAAAATAAAAGTATATAAAAAAGTGTTTGCATTTGATACATAAAACTGATTCGATATGACATTTAGTTGAAGAAGTTGTAGCTTGGGAAACAATTATTCTCCTCTGTATCTCTCTAAGGCTCTTTCTCTAGCAAAAGAATGATCGACAATTGGTCTGGGATAGTCATTTTTTTCAGCGACGTCCTCAAATCCATGATCATAAGGGTTATGTATTCCTTTCGAATCGTCGATCTCTCTCAATTCCGGAACCCATTCTCTAATATAGTCACCATTCTTATCAAACTTCTCAGATTGGGTCCAAGGGTTAAAAATTCTAAAGTAAGGTTGCGGATCAACTCCTACACCTGAACTGAAACCCCAGCCACCGTTATTGGAAGCAAAGTCTCCATCGATTAGGTGCTCTAAGAAGTAACGTTCACCCCACCTCCAATCGATTAAAAGATGCTTACTTAAAAAACTAGCAACCACCATTCTTGGTCTATTATGAAGATACCCAGTCTCATTCAATTGTCTCATGGCGGCATCAACGATTGGATAACCTGTTTTCCCTTCACACCATTTTTGATAATGTTCAAGATTATATTCCCATTCAATATCGTCGTATTCAACTTGGAAAGGCTTAAACATACAAATATGAGGCCAGTTTGCCATAACATGTTTGTAAAAATCTCTCCACGAAACCTGTCTAATCCATTCAGTTATTCCCGAAGGACCTTTTGCTAAAGAGGAAACCAAGTTATTTTCTAAAATGAGTCTTATACAGGTTCTTGAAGAGACAGTACCCGAAGCCAAGTGACGACTCATATGAGAGGTTGCATCGGTGCTAATTTCATTTCTCAAATCATCATACAGTTTAATTGTTTTAGACTTTATATAATCCAATAACTGCTTTTCAGCATTATGTTCACCAACACTCCAGGTCTTATCGAAAAATTCCAGACTTTTAGCATTTAGTTTATAAAAATCACTTTTTGGTTCTGGAATTTTCGATTCAAATAATTTTTCCAAACCCTTAGTTGAGGAGTTGGCCTCTGGCTGAGGGTAGTTGGGGAAAGGATCATCCAAAGACTCCAAGTAAGCAACCCAGGCACGATACCAGGGAGTGAAAACGGCATACTGAGTTCCTTTGGACTTTGTAGCCAATTCACCTGGTTTCACCACACAAGTATCATGGAAAGGTTGGAAAGAGATCTTGTTTTCCAATAAGGACTTTGTCAAGTCAATGAACTGTCTCAATTCATCAACCTCATACTCTATATTGGCAAACAAGTGAGAAATCTCATAATCTTTTAAAAATTTCAATATAGAAGAATTGATATCTTTCTTTTTATCGACATTTAGCGTATACAAGGGAATATTCTTCTTCTTCAAATCCTGTTTGACAATTTCAAGAGATTTCAATCTGTACCTCAATTGGAATGGACTCACTGAATGAGAACGGAAATCTTCTTCGGAATAGACAAATAAACTAATAAGCGGAACCTCTGATTCTTGGGCCAACTCGCTAGCTTGAGATAATGCAAAATTATCTCCAAGCCTAAAGTCTCTAGTGAACAAATGAGCAACATTCTTACCGGTTTTGATCTTTTCTCTTTCTGTTTGGGTGTCTTCCAAGGTCTTTTTCAAGATATGGAAAGGTTTATTTTCGTCTTTCTTATACTTATTGTTGACTGTGCTTTTTGTCATTGTAGGAGGGTAGAAGGGACTTGAAAAAGACGCAAGTCTTTCCAACTTTGGTTTCTTCGAGGGTGCCATACTTCTATTGTAACTGTTACTAATCAATCCCCAGCTGAAGGTTCAGGATATCCAAAGAGTGCTATATATATATATGTCTGCGAAAAGCTTGCTTGCTAAATTCGATACAGGTTTGACCGAATAAGCGAGCAAGCATAAAAGCTTCACTTACCTTAATGTTTAGTCTTACTGCGGAGTATATCGTTGCTTCGTATTTGACACTCTTGTTAAGTGAAACAAGTAGATGGCCTTGGTTATCATAATTGGTAATGGGGTTGAAGCAGATGGTTTTGGATCTGATGGAGCGATTAATCAAGTCCGGAGAAAAAGTGAGGATACACTTTTTTCATTTGAGATTGATTGACTGACACAGGGAAAAGGTTTTCATTGACAAGTTAAGTTGTGCTGAGCCGAAAGTAAGGTCTTAAAGAGAAGGAGAAATAGCGATTTACACATCAAGTAATTATTTAAAGGTTTTATTGTTAAGGCGGCTGTTTAATGAATAATAGCTCTTGGGAATTAACTATCATTGGCTTGGACCAAATTGATTTCAATAGTAGGCAAGAATCCTAACATGGAGTGGCGGCTTGTTCCTAGTGACACTCCGGAAAGCCCAGGTGATAGATTTGTGACACGTTTGATCCAGCAATATTCTAAAGAAAGAGATACTATAAACAACACTGCTATTCAGTTGATGCAAGATATGGAGAAGCACATTGCAGAAGCCATTGAGCGGATGAACAAAGAAAAGGAAATGACGATGTCATATATTAAGAAGGTTTCTGATTTGGATGAACAAATGAAAGTTCGTATGACAGAAGTACTCGCCAATAAAGATGATATTGTAAAAGCCATTAATGAAAATGAGGAACTTCAGCGAATGGCTTTAGAAGCTCATAAACTTTCGAGTCCAGCAAATATATATCTGGGTCCGGTAGTCAGAGACTTAGCACCAATAGATAGAAACTTAATATCCATGGATAGAATTTTAGCACCAATGGAAAGAGAGTCAAATTCAAATAGCGTAGATACGAATTTGAACAAAGATCTTGCAAATGGAGACTCAAATTTGGAGAATGCATTTCTGGTTCCAGGAGCCCATTCAACAAATGAGAATTTGAACGGAGATTCGATTACTGATAAAAATCTTGAAAATACAGATCCAATCCCAGCTTACAGAGATTTTACTCTACCAAGGCTAGTTTCAAGACCCGAAAGCAGAGCCGATGTGCCAGAGAATGGCAATATAACGAATGATACTGTAACCAAAGAATCGACACCTACAAATAGAGATTTGACTCCTGCAAATAGAGATTTGACTCCTGAAAATAGAGATTTGACACCTGCAAATAGAGGTTTGACACCTGCAAAAAGAGAAATTACTCCAGAGAATACAACGTTGAACAGAAACTCAATTCCAGATAATCCAAGCCCGAAAGATAGAACTCCGGTCTCGAATAAGATAAAGATAGTTACTTCAAATATAGGTTCCACTTCACCAAAAAGAGATTCTAATTCGAAGGTTTTAAACTTTAAACCAGCTCCTGCTTTTAAGGGAGCAGGGCGTGATAAATACGGATACACACCAAACTTCATATTTTGGCTTTATTATATTGATAACCATGAAGAAGAACTTTTAACCAAATATGGAAGTATCAACGATGCGCTAAGAGAATTGACAATCAGAGAAGCCAGAGAGTATCTTGAACAGGAGTTTCTGGCGAATATCCCTTTGGACTGGGTATCGTTTCGAGCTAAGTTTATCGATAGGTATCTCCCACCAAATTATGGTCAAATTCTAAGACGGAAAGTACTCAGACATAGACAAGGGGCGTACTCGATTAATGAGTACAATGGACACTTTAATGATACTGTTGATGAGTATCATATGTATCTATCGGTGATGGGTCCGCACAATATACGTGGCCCAATGGAGATTTCACCCAAGATGCAGATTGAGATTTATATGAATGGTCTTGATAATAGATTGAGATACTTTATGCCTGAAGAATTCGAAGAGTATTCATTACATGAGTTACAATCCATGGCTGAGAATCGTGCAGAATTGTTAATTAGCAAGAGAGGTAATAAGCGAGGACGCAATGTAGAAACTCCAAGGAGGAAAGATAAAAGACCAAAACCGATTAGCTTTAGACCAAAGGAATTGGAAAGACCATCGAATAATGATAATGGTCGGGATTTCATATCGAGAAACTCCAATGAGAAAGATTTAATGGAAGAAGATTTTGGCGAAAGAGATTTATTTGACAGTATTCAGGTTGGCAGAGATACGATAGGTGAAGATTTCAGTGGGAAAGACTTATTTGAAAGATTACAGGTTGACCGAGACTCTGGCAAACACAAAAGTGATAGTCGAAATGATAGTAGGACTAAGGTAGTTGAACGAAGAAATAGGAAATGACCAAAAAATGCTGGATTGACCCCTGAGTGAATATATTTGAGATGACATTACTGGAGTAGTTCTTCCAGAGTACTAAATCACTAATTCCAACGAGGCTAGTGGTTTCATTGGGATCTAATAACGTGCATCATAGAAGATCAATTACGAGTCAAGCCGTAAACACAGCGAGACATCCTAATACAGTATAAAGTAGACTTGCAAGTAGTTCAGAAGTTCAGATATATACGTTTCGCAGTAACATCATTGTAACTTGTCTTCAATATAGGTATAATTCATGTAGCATGCAAGGTAAAAAGAAATTTCTATAAGTGTAAAAAATCGAATGAACATTTGTACGTAAAAAACACCCAATTTTGTTAAAACTGATTCAATTTCAGCTATTTTAACAGTGAATAATACGGAGAGGTTTCAAACGTTGAAATTGAAGTAATAAGTTTTTTTTTTTTTTTTGACATATAAAAATATATATTTTATAGCTATTTACTGATATATACCTAGATTGGGAAAGACTATATTTAGTCAAAAAACCCATATTGAATTCATTTGTGGGATAGAGATGGTTGGTGTTGATTGGAAGGAGTTCCAAGGAACTATTTAGTTTAAGCTAGAGATTGAGTGCCGTAATACAATAAGATACCAATTTTTTCGCAGCCTTTCTGCATAACGCAGGAAGTCTTTCTGACTCCTGCTTCTGCGATAGTCGAAAGTCCTGATCTTTCAAAAGGATCAAAAGCTTTTTTTGAAGCACTAAACTCCTAGATGCTGAAAATGATGTTTTCATAACAAACCAAAACTTGCAGTAAAATGTCTACGGCCATATCCAGCATAAAGCATGATTACCCGTCCGATCAATAATTATTAAGCTGCTGAGAGCGATGCTGAGTACGTTAGTGGGAGACCATAATGGAAACCATCGTGCTGTAGACTCTTCTTTTTGCTTTTTGATTTACATTTTTGATTTACCTTTTTGATTTACATTCTTTTATTTACAACTAATCATAGACCAACGAAATGGTTAGCGTATTTCACCAATTGCTGCTTGTACCAATTCTCAATTCTTGTATTTCTCAATTCTTGTATTGGTCAATTCTTGGATTTGTTCATCAACTGCTTGTTCGTACTTTTGCAAGAACTCCATGCAAGGCATCGGGCAAGCCATGAAATACCATAAGGCTTTATTCCAATTGATCTAATTCTGATTGTTGCGGCCGTTTAATCATGGATTTAATTAGATTCTTGCAACCACAATTTTGTGTTTTCCTGTTTCGGACAATCAAAACCCAAGATGTTTGGGTGTCTTGTCACGTGAGGTGACGAAACCCCGGTTCTTCTTCATTATTTTTTCGCATTCAATCAGCGAACGTTGAACTTACATTTTCCCAAGGCCTACTCAAATTGCCTTAATTAACAAAGAGGGCCCTGCAACAATCCACACTTTTCCCACTGCTGCATTCCAAGACAATTGCCAATGGTCCCAGTGGTTCCAGGGGTTCCAGTGCCAACTGAGGAGTTCTGCTTGTCACTGTGGCTGCTTCAATTGCATTAAAGAATACCTTGAAAGCAAATGAATCTTTTTTTTTGTAGCGAGTGAAAAAGAAATGGCAGCTCATCGCCGTATTGCAAGAACAGCAATACGGGGGTGCTGCCGGGTAAGAATTGTATTGTGTGCACGTGACGTGTTTCCAGATGTGTAAGGCGTTCGAAGAAGATCCGACCGTGGCTTTAGGTGAATCGTTTTTCCGGTGTCGCAAGGTTGGAAAATAACTACGGTGTTTTTGCAGGCAATTTTTTTTTTTTTTTTTTTTTTTTTTTTTTTTTTTGGTTCATTTGTTCATAGTAAAAGTGACTCTTATAAATGAATAATTGATATATATTCTAGGTTATTTTCTTCATTTTAAGTTTGGAGAACAACTATTTTCATTTACAAAACTTAGCAATGGGGTTTAGTAAGTTTTATAAGCAGCAGACGGTGTCCGAAAAGACATCTTCACCAGATGCAACCGGATTTAATGATGCAGCATCATTAAACTATAGTGATCAAGAATCAGCTACTGCTATGGTTCAAGTTGATAAAAACACCAAAGAGATTGGATTTATTTCAGCCACATTTCTTATTTTCAACAGATGTTTGGGTGCTGGTGTTTTCGTTACTACTTCAACTATTTATGAATTTTCTGGATCGGTCGGGGCCTTTTTTTTGATTTTTGCTGCTGGATCTATAATTGCATTCACCGGGTTATTGGTTTATATGGAATTAGGTTCTGCCATTCCAAGAAATGGTGGAGAAAAAAATTATTTGGAATATATTTATAGAAAACCAAAGTTTTTCGTTACTGCAATGTACGCTAGTTATGTTTTCTTTTTAGGTTGGGCAGCTGGTAATTCAGTTGTTGTTGGTGAGTATTTATTGAATGCTGCTGGTGTTGAGGTTGGTACTTGGAATGCCAGAGGTATTGGTTTAGGAGTTATTACTTTTTGTTTTTTAATTAATGGGTTAAACGTTAAAGCTGGATTATTTATTGCTAATGTTTTGGGAGTTTTCAAACTTGGAATTGTTCTTTTCATTGCGGTTACCGGTTGGGTTGCCCTTGGTGGTGGTATTAAAACAAATGACTTTAAAGATCCTCATAATTTTGTTGATGCTTTTAAAGGTACTGATCCAAGTGGATACGGGATTGTTAATGCTTTATATAATGTCATTTGGTCTTATATTGGTTATTCAAATGCTAATTATGCCTTGGGTGAAGTTAAAAATCCAGTTAAACTTTTAAAAGTCGCTGCTCCTTCTGCTTTTATCTTATTGGCAATTCTTTATATCTTTGTTAATATTGCTTATTTTGCCGTTGTTCCAGCTGAAGAAATTGCCTCCTCTGGTAGAATTGTTGCAGCTTCGTTTTTCAAATATGCTTTTGGTCGTACCGCCGAAAAAGCTGCTTCTGTCTTTGTTGCCCTTTCTGCTTTGGGGAATGTCATGTCAGTTATCTTTTCTCAAGGTAGAATTGTTCAATCTTTAGGTAGAGAAGGTATTTTACCATTTTCAAGATTTTGGGCTACTTCAAAACCTTTCAAATCTCCTTTTATTGGTTTGGCTCAACATTGGATTGTTTGTATCGTCACAATTACTGCTCCTCCTGCTGGTGATGGATTTAACCTTGTTCTTAATTTAGTTTCTTATCCATTAAATATTGTTAATGCTGCTATCTCTGGTGGGTTATTGTATTTACAGTACAAGAAAATTAGAGGTTTAGAAGCTTGGAATCCTCCAATTAAAGCAAGTATCCCAATTACTCTTTTCTTCTTTTTATCAAGTCTTTATTTAGTAGCTGCTCCTTATATTCCTCCTACTGGTGGACAAAGTGTTTATCAAGATTTACCTTATTGGATTCATCCAGTTGTCACCTGGTTGATTTTCGCTATTGGGGTTATTTATTGGATTGCTTGGACTAAAGTGTTACCATATTGGGGTGGTTATACTTTGGTTGCTAAAGAAATCTTGGGTGATGATGGTTTTTGGAGAAATAAATTTTATAAGATCTCAAAGGATGGTGCTGCTCATGACATTGCCAGTGAAGATGAGAATGTTGAACGTGATTCAGACGTCACTCTCGAAAATACTAATTCATACAAATAATTCATTTTGAGTTCATTAATTTGATTTTTTGCATTCATGTTCTACTTCACTTCTTCTCACTTTATTTAATTACTTTTATATTTTTTTCCCCTCTCTACTTTCAATTCCTTAACGATTTTGAAAGTCATTATGTATAATAATTCAACATTTTAGGCATTTTAGATATTATATTGTTACATTTGTAGGTTATCTTTGAGTTGCAGCTAAAATCAATAATTTTTTGGTGTGCGGGTGTTTATATTTTCCTCTCACACGACTTTTCGTATGGATTTTTTTTTTTTTTTTCTTCTTCGAACGAAAGATGATAATTTTTCAATATCACTAGAACAATATCACTAGAACATTGCTTTATTAGTACTGCTTACCAATAAGACTTTGAGATGCCCGTGAAAGCCATACCTAAGACTTCGTTAGCACGTAACGGTGTTGGAGCATTCGTTGTTCCATGTCATAGAGTGACAGTTCAATACTGTAATTGGGGTGGATCATCGAATGGAGTTCGTGAATTATTAAAATCCGGGAAATTGAATAAAGTAGCATCAACCAAACCACAAATTGTTTTTGACATAGTTAAAAGAAGTGGACACCCGCAATTAAAGTTCCATTATAATAATGACGTTGTTAAGGATGTTGATGTTCGTAATTTGAAAGACTCAGAAGTTTTAAAGAAATTACATGAGCATTCACAAAGTAGTGGGAATCCATTATACAAGTATAATCATAAAGTTAAGTCTGTTAATGAGTCTGTTAGAGGTATCTGGTCTCCATTACATGTTTTCAAAGAAAACAGACATAAAATTTGATTATATCAGTTTATTCATTTCAGTTGAAAATTGATTCAATTTTAATTCAACTCTTGTACATTACATTAACAATAGTTTCATTCGTTGTAAATAGCATTCAATACATATATTATTGATAATAGTGAATCCTAATGTAATTTTTTAAAACTTATGCAAAATATTTTCAAAATTTGAGAATTATTGGACCAACAAGAATTATTTACTTTAAGTGTTTCCGTTAACAGAGTAATAATTACAGTACATTACTGAATGTATGTGGTATTACGTACTAGGCAAGGTTTCCAGATGACTTAGGTATGATAACTGTATTGAAAGACGTAATCATAGGGAACTAAGAGTGACCGAAGAATCGAGCGACCGGATTGTAGAGATGTAGGAAGAGAGAAGCAACTGAGAAGAATCGTAGAGATGACCGTGCTAGTAGATTATTCCGATCTACTGAATTGTACGTCTACTGAATTGTACGTCTACTGAATTGTACGTCTACTGTACTGATCTACTAAATTTACTGAACTGATCTGATGAACTAATTGACTAATATATATTTTGATACTCTGCCTGCCCATCTATGTACCGAACCATTGATACTTCTACACATACTGACATAAATTGTTGATCCACGATAGTGATGGTGAAGTAGTGATGAAGTAGTGATGAAGTAGTGATGAAGTAGTGATGAAGTAGTGATGAAGTAGTGATGAAGTAGTGATGAAGTAGTGATGAAGTAGTGATGGTGAAGTAGTGATGAAGTAGTGATGAAGTAGTGATGGTGAAGCGATGTATATTTGCAACTGTTGGAGTCTCTGTTGGCTGCCATTTACAGTCGAGCAGCCGGGCGGTACGGAGGTCCACGACCCAGCAGAAAACAGCAACAGCAGCCGGATAAGGCCCAGGGCCGCCCCTGGAGGGAAACCCAGCGCGCACACGGTTACTGGAAACAGACAACCCCCCAAGGATCTCCCTCCTTCTCTTTCCGTTCTCGTCAAAGAGAAAGAAATAAGCAAAGCATGGATTCCCTGATGATGATTCATGAAAAACTTTTCATAACTACTTCATGAAGTTATAGGTTCTTCTCTTCATTAACCAAGTCAAGTCTTCATTTATTATGGGTTATAAACAGTATCAACAAGTGTTGAATTTTGCAGCACCAACTAAGCAAAAAACAAAGAAAACCGCATCCAAAAAATCCACTAGTAGTGGTGACGCATTAGAGGATAAACCAATTAAAAGAAGAACCAAAACTGGATGTTTTACTTGTCGTAGAAGAAAGAAGAAGTGTGATATGGATAAAGAAGATGGGAAATGCCAGGCATGTATAAGGAACTTTTTGGACTGTTCGTGGCCCGATTCGTGTGAGAAGAAGAAGGAAGAAGCCATCAAGGTTGAATCACCAATTTCAATTACTTCCTCTCCAGAATTAGTCAATGCTGAAGAAGAAGAAGTTAAATCTGATGTTACTAAAGGTGCTCATGCTTATCCATCTCCTATACTGTCTCCTCGTGCTGATACAAGGAAGTTGGCAGTTACCGATATAAACTTTTTATTATTACCTCCATCATCAACCAATGATTATAAGGTTTCCAAACCTAAGTCAGTTAAAAAGGAACAAAAAGAAGTTAAAGAATCTAAAACTCACTTTATTGTTACTTCATTCAATAGCGAAAATGAATTGTGCCAAATTCATGCTAAATAGTTTTAGTTCTTTTCACGTTTATGTCTTTTCACGGAGGTTGGGTTCATTTCATTCATTAACATTTTACTATTTATATATTTTCCTTTTTCAATTCTTGCATACGTATAGATTAATACCTTATTATCGAATATTTCTAACCTGTAATGAATCGTACGAGTGTCTCAAAAACTGTGGGTAGGCTTGATTGCAAAAAATGACGAATGTTCCAGTAGCCACACCCAGACCACTATATAAACAGGTTGGTTATCGTGGATACTTTCAATCAATCTACATTATCAATCTACAATGACTTCAAATCAAAGATATGGTGATTTCGATACCCACTTTCTCAAAGGTTTAGACGAAGTGGGTTCGGATGGTGTGCTTTCTATCAATAAATCCTCGAGAGATATAAGCCATTTCCCTGAATTTTTACCTACTTGGGATCCAAGTGAGAAATATCCTCCACTAAAATTTTTTAATTATGAAGATGTTGGTAAGAAAGCCGATCCTTCATTTCCAAACTTGTTTGCTAAGGATATTGAATATAAGAGAAAAAATATAACCCCTAAATTAGGTACTGAAATCCACGGGATCCAACTTTCTCAATTAGATGATCAGGGTAAGAATGAATTGGCCTTGTATGTTGCTCAAAGAGGTGTTGTTGTTTTCAGAGATCAAGACTTTAATCAGCATGGTCCCGGGTTTGCAGTTGATTATGGTAAATATTTTGGTCCATTACATATCCATCCAACTTCTGGAGCTCCAAGAGGTCATCCGCAACTACACATTACTTACAGACGTCCCGATCCAACTGAATTTTCAAGAGTGTTTGCCACCAGAAACCAGGCAGTGAATTGGCATAGTGATGTAAGCTACGAACTTCAACCTCCCGGATACACCTTCTTTAGTGTTCTAGAAGGACCAGAATCAGGCGGTGACACTATCTTTGCTGATACCGTTGAAGCTTACAAAAGATTATCACCAGAATTCCAAAAAAGGTTAGCTGGCTTACACGTCTTACATACTTCTCAAGATCAAGCGTCTAATTCGAAGACTCAAGGAGGCATTGAAAGAAGAAAACCGGTCTCAAATATCCACCCTTTGATTAGAACTCACCCAGTAACTGGGGAAAAATCAATATATTTAAACAGACCGTTTTCAAGAAAGATTGTTGAATTGAAAGAAGAAGAATCCGACTATTTACTCAAATTCTTATACTCTCATATCGAACAAGCCCATGACCTACAATTAAGAGCTCGATGGGAACCAAATACCGTTGTTGTCTGGGACAATAGAAGATCGGTACATTCTGCCATCATTGATTGGAATACCCCTGTTCATCGTCACGCCTTCAGAATCACTTCTCAGGCTGAAAGACCAGTTGAAGACTTGAAAGATTTAAATAAGCCTGAAGATACCATTGCAGATATCGAACACGCATTGAATAAATCTTTCCAATAAATAATTATTGTATACAAACCTCTCTCTCTTCAAATATCAATCCGATAATTGTTTTTACATCGATGATTAATGTAGTATTCAATCCATTATCTGGCCCAATCGGATATGATCTTCCCCACACACTGAAGGGATGATTCATTTGCTTTAAACAGCAAAGTTTAAAAGTTAAGATTGTGGCTCTTTGTTGTGATTTTTTTTAATGGTTGCAACAACTTTGAGAATTGGTTGCAATAAGCACGTGACCGCCGCTATCAGCATAGCTTCGGCTCGCAGCCACTGCTAGGCTCGGTTCGGACGCCATTCAAATAACTATACCTGTAAAACTGTGGTGTTACCTGACTTTAGCATCCGAATATCAATAAGTTTTGAATCAACCGATACCATTAAGGAAAACATATAAAAGAGAACTGAAAAAACTTATTTCCAGCAGTTATTTTCAGATTTATTAAATTTAAACATTCAATAATATATTCATAATGGCTACTAAATCATTTGGTAATTTCGATATTCACTTCTATCACGGTACTGATGAAATTGATGAAGACGGTACTTTAATTATTAATAGAAAAAGTGCAGCTCTTTCCAAACACCCAGAATTCTTACCTACATGGGATCCAAAAGAGAAATTTCCAGCTCAAAAGTTCTATAAACACGAAGATCCTGGTAAGAGAGCTGATCCAACATTACCAAACTTATTCCCCAAAGACCAAGAAATCAAACAAAAGAATATTACCCCAAAGTTTGGTACTGAAGTTTTTGGGGTTCAACTTTCTGAATTAAGTGATAAAGGTAAAGATGAATTAGCTTTATATGTTGCTAAAAGAGGAGTTGCTGTTTTCAGAGATCAAGATTTTGGTGAAAAGGGTCCTGCTTTTGCAGTTGATTATGGTAAATATTTTGGTAGGTTACATATCCATCCAACTTCTGGAGCCCCAAGAGGATACCCTGAATTACACATTACTTACAGACGCCCTGACCCAACTGAATTCGATAGAATATTTTCCAATAAGAATAATAACGTTTCATTCCACAGTGATGTAAGCTACGAACTTCAACCTCCTGGATACACCTTCTTTAGTGTTTTAGAAGGACCAGAATCAGGCGGAGACACTATCTTTGCTGATACCGTTGAAGCTTATAAGAGGTTATCACCAGAATTTCAAAAAAGATTAGCTGGTTTACATGTCTTACACACTTCCAAAGATCAAGCTTCCAACTCACTTCGTTTGGGTGGTATTGAAAGAAGAAAACCTGCTTCAAACATACATCCATTAATCAGAACCCATCCAGTTACTGGCGAAAAGGCCATTTATTTAAATAGACCTTTCGCAAGAAAGATTGTCGAATTGAAAGAAGAGGAATCTGACTATTTACTTAGGTTCTTATATACCCACATTGACCTCTCCCATGATTTACAATTGAGAGCCAAATGGGAACCAAATACTGTTGTAGTTTGGGATAACAGAAGAACTGTTCATTCAGCTATTGTTGATTGGGATACTCCTGTTCACCGTCATGCTTTCAGAATAACCCCAACTGCAGAAAGACCAGTAGAGGACTTGAAAGATTTAAATAAAGAAGAGTTCGACGTAGGTGACCTTGAAAATGCCTTGGATTCTGCTTTCAAGTAGAGACTCATCTTAATATCGAATTTAATAAAAGTCTGTGTTTAACTTGAAATACGCTGTAGTTGAGAATAATGTAAAACAAAACGTACATATAGAATAACAGATGACCCCTTACACTAAATTTATGAAAAAACAAATTATAAGAAACTAGAAACAATATATTATAAAACGCAAACAGAAACAATAAAATTCTTTAAAATTAATACAAACGATTTAGAAAACAAACATTTAAAAATTTCAAGCATGGTCTAGCAAGTAATTAGTAGCGGCTTCGGTATCCCAGTTTTCTTTTTGTAAAGCGTCAACAACAGTCTTTTCATCGAAACCCATACCTACCAATTCTTGAACAGAATCTTCTTGAGATGCTGAAAGATTAGAAACCCTAGGTAATTCATGTGATGTCACATGTTGAGTAATCGGTTGAGGTTCTGGCGACTGAGCTTGAGCTTGAACTGGAGGTTGAGCTTGTGCATTACCAAACCCGGCAAATAATTGCTCCCATTCATCATTACTTTCTTTAGTCTCAGGAACAGTACTTTGCTCAAAAGAGGGTGCGTGTGATTGCTTGACTGGGGCCTCAGTAAATTCACTGTTCAAGCCGAAATCTTCATTAGCTTCAAAATCTTCTGGATTAGTATCAGGTTTTGCAGTTTCCAAATTATCAAACTCGTCTGCAAAAAGATCTGCATTCTTATCCTTCGATTCTTCAGCAGCAGGGGTCAAGTCATCAAAGGCAGAATCAAAGTCATTACCTTTACTTGGCTGTAACTCAGATGTAACAGGTGCATTTGATCTAAGATCGGCTCCAACAATTTTATCATTGCTTTGATTTTGGAAATTATCATTAGCATCATCAAACCTATCTTGTTCGTTATCTTCATCAGACGAAGAGCTCTCGTCATAGTCGAGCTCTCTTATTGGTGGGAACTCTTCACCATCTTGTGCTTGAGTCGGATTTTTGATGACGAATGTTTCTGTTGGAGCACTGGATGGTTCTGCCTCTTTATTTTCTTGAAAGTTGTATTGATCAACACCTCTAGCCTCTTCTGCATTGACTATTTCGAAAGATTCTACACCGGATGATAATTTTTCACCTTCACTTGAATCTTCTTGGTGTCCTTGTTGTTCAGTACGCGTGCCTGAACTAGTAGGTGGGGAGTTGACTCTACCTTGAGCAGTAGCTACTTCATTGTCGATGGTATCGCGGTCACTAATGTCATCAATATTATCGTCACGAACGGATAAAGCAGCATTGTTTTGGACACTCGAAGTCAAAGAGTCAGTCCTTTGTACACCAACTAATACACCAGGCATACCAACGAGACTACCAACGACCCCTGCATTTGCATTTTGTGGGAATTGAAAATCGGAGTTACTTGGAGAGGTGACAGGAGTTTCACCATCTTCATTATGTCTATAGGAATTTGTTGATGAAGGAGCCGTTTGATTAGTTACATTATCACGGTCAGTACTGTTATCGCGATCAGTAACACTCATATCAGGAAATCTATTATTAATTTCATCAACTTCATCCTCTTTCATTTCAGGAACACTGACAAATTGCCCTGGTGATACAACGGTATCCCTGACGGCTTCTGGTTCCGGGAAGTGTTCACTAGTCGGATCATTTTGTTGTAAATCATCGATACCAGTCATATCAGCACTTGGCTTATCTTTAACTTCATCAACAAGAGCACCGACGCTAAATCCTGATGGTTTAACATCACTAGGATGTTCCTGAGGATCGATTTCCTTTTGTTTTTCTTCTTGATTCAAGGTAGCATTATCGGCATCGTCCGACTTGCTTGAACCTAAGTGAGAAGCAGCAGCACCTGCTACACCAGCAATGGCAGCACCAACGGCAGCACCTGCAGCCAAACCCTTTCCATGACTTGATCCAGAAGAAGATTTAGTAGTAGGTTTAAAATTAGTTGCTTCAGCTTGTCTAGTTGCTAATTGTTGTCTTTCAGCTTCTAAAGCTTGTTCACGTTCGATAGCTTTATCGTGTTCATCTTGCAACAATTTGTTGGAATTTTCTAATTCGGCGATTTTATTTCTCAACTCTTCTGTCTTGACAATTGAGACTTGCACTTGAGATTTCTTAACAGAAGCTTGATTAGATAATCTTTGGTTTTCAGCTGATTTAGCTTCCAATTGTTTCTCTAATTCAGAAATTTCGACATTTAAGTAGCCTAATTTTTCTTTTAATAATGCATTATTCTTTTGCAAGTCTTCACAAGTAACTTGTTTTTCATTAAGTTGACTTGACAAATGGTTAAGTTTAGCTTCAGAAATTGAAGCTTCAGATCTCAAAGCTTCAGTTTCTTCTTTAGCAGAGGCCAATGTAGCATCAACTTGGTCAACCTGTTTAACTTCATTATCGAAAGAAGTTCTCAATTGTTTCAATTTATTTTCAAATTCAGCTTTTGTATTTAAAATTCTTTGAAGATCTTGTTCTGCTTTTAATTTCTTTTCATGCAATCCAGTAGTTTGACTAGTCAATGATTTAACTTGATTGGAAATGTTAGCAATGTCTGAAGTAGCTTGAGACAATTGTCCAGAAATGGCGCTTTTATCAGCCAATAAATCAGAGTTCCCAGACATACTTCTATCATTAGCAGGAGGAGTTGAAGTAACTGGGGGTTCAGCAACAGGCACAGAACCACTACTGGTACTTTTAACTGGAGGTGGAGGAACGGCTCTTAAAGCATCATAGTTAACTGCCTTTCGTTCTTGTTGAGCAGATGGAGTAGGCTCGACAGGCTGAGTAGGTTGAGGAGGTTGAGCAATATCAGCAGAAGCTTGTTTATTTTGAACTACATCATCACCGATTAAATTTTCATCATCATCTTCTTTTGGAGACTGGAGTGGCTGTTTGTGCATCAAGTTTTGACCAAATGAAGAAGTTGGCTTGAAAGACCCGGTCAAGTTATGACGAACTCTTGGCAAGTTAGAAGAGGGTGAAAGATCACTGCTCGATGGACGGTTCTGTAATCCACGGTTCCCACTTGTTTGAGTTGCCAATGGAGCATTAGCTGTTTGAGGAGAAGAAACAGCACTAGAGGACCCGAATATATCAGCCAAATCGTCCATGGCAGTTTTTTGAGGAGCCATTGGTTGTTGAGGTTTTACAGCAGCTTGAGAAGCAGCTTGGGGAGTCGTTTGAGGTGGAACCTGAGGTTGAGCTTGTTCTGGTACAGCATGCGTAGATTCTTCAGCTTGTTTGATTGATTCTACCAAAGTATCTGGAACTATATTGGGTAAAGTTTCACCAGATAATTTTTTATTAACTAAAAACAAAGCAATGGAAAATTCAAGTTTATTGAAAATCCCGGTATTTTGAATATCAGATAAATCCCAAACGTTTGCCAAATCTTGTTGATTTAATTTTGAAGTCATTAAAAAGGATGCAACTTGATCAGGGTTCAATTGACCGGTGTGGGCTTTATCTAAACTATTGAAAATGGAATCGAATTGTTGTTTTTGAGCAGGAGTGATTGACCAAGGATTATTTTGAGAATTTGTTGACAAATTTCTTTGAGCGGTACCAGATGAAGGAGGGTGATTAATAGTTGTTTGTTGAGATCCGATTGAATTTTGAGAGATTTGACGAGAACCTGGTTGATTAGTTGATTCGGGAATTGAAACAGATTGCCAAATGCTTTCTGGAAGGAAAGGAGGCAATTCTTTGATTGAACCATTTAAAACACCTTGAATTAAATGCATTGCAACAACAAAAGCACCCAAATTCAAATAACCTAAATTATCTCTATCAACCAAACTCCAAATTTGACTTAAAGTTGAAGTTGGTAATTTAGCTTTAAGAAAAATATCTTTTGCTTTAGCCCCATTTAAATCATTAGTAGCAGAACCGGTTGTTTTAATAAACAACTTACTAAAATTTTGAAAATCACTTGGACTAACTTTAGGTATTGGATCCTGAGGAACTGCATGGTTAGTGGCAGGATTGGAAGGAACAATTGAGCTTGGTTGAGTTTGCATAAATGAACTATTGGTTGATTGTGGTTGTAAAGCATTTGGAGGAGCAAAATTAGAAGATAAGTTCAAATTTGCAAACTTAGGAAGAGGACCAGGGTAATCTGCCAATTGAGCAGAAGGATGATTACCAGCTTGGGTATAACCAATCAATCTCATGGCAGTACAGAAACCAAACTGAGTTAAAAACCCCAAATTGTTCTGATCAGCTATTTGCCAAATTTCTCCAAGAATTGCTGGAGGCAAGCCAGATTTTTCAAAAGTAGTTCTGGCCTTTTCCCCAGTGATAATCCCGGTTCCTTCAGGATCTAAGGATTTAAATAGTTGAGCATATAATTTCTTTTCATCAGGCGAAAGACCCACCTTGAACGATGGAGAAGCTATCATTATTAGTATTAAAATCATCAATTTATATTGGCGGTTAGCTTCCCCAGCTGGAGAAGCAACCAAAAGCAAATCAAATAAACATACCCAGTGATATACTCATGATTAATTGATCAATGACAGTAAGAAGATCTACAAACTATTTGAAAAATCAATCTCAGGTTAAAAGATTATATGAAAAGAATAATAAAAGAAGCAATTGGTTGTGAATCTTGAAGTAATACGATTAAACCTCAAACCTCAATCGAGCACTTACAAATTGAGGGAAAAAAACTACACAAATTAGTTGGAATTCTGTACGCTACGTACACACTTTAATCGCTTTAATCGGTAAAGCGGTTTCCAACCTGATTACACGACCCCGGTTTCCCAATAGTTAATTACCCCCGAATAGCGTTGATCTAACGTATATCAATAGGATATCTTTGTGAAGAGGCTGCGATTCGAACAAGTAGGGTTGTATTCGAGAGAAAACCGAGCCATTCCTTTCTTTTCTCGAGTAGCACCAACGGGAAAGGGAAGAATGCAAGATCTGCCGTTGTTTGGAGTCTTGTTTTTGTTCAAGTAACCCAAATCGACTGCAAATTACGATTAGCCGAATAGGATAGCTCCAGGATGATTCAATGGAAGTACTGCCAGGTATTAAGACTAGCAGGCAGTAACGGAGGTACGGAGGGACACCCACACACCCACACACCCACCACGACATTTTTCACGACATTGGCATGGGTGAAATGTCGTGGGGCTCGATGAGCATTTCCTTTTTTTTTTTTTTTCTTTCAGAGAAAAAGTGAAAATTTTATATTGAAAGAAAAGAAGACTATACTTTACTTCGTACTTACAAGAATATATATCCATAATGAACAGAGGTAGAGGTGGATTCAGAGGTGGCCGTGGTGGTAGAACCGGGCCATCACAATTTCAACAAGGTCCTCCAGATACCGTTTTAGAAATGGGATCTTTCATGCAAGCGTGTGAAGGTGATATTTTATGTCGTTCAGTTAATGTTAAAATTCCATACTTCAATGCCCCAATTTATTTAGAAAACAAGACCCAAGTTGGTAAAGTTGATGAAATCTTGGGTCCTCTTAATGAAGTTTTTTTCACCATCAAACCATCCGAAGGGGTTGTTGCTACTTCTTTTAAAGAAGGTGATAAATTTTATATTGGTCCTGATAAACTTTTACCTCTAGAAAGATTTTTACCAAAACCTCCTCAAGTTGGTCCTAAACCAAAGAGAAAGTCTGCCGGTGGTGCCAGAGGTGGTGCCAGAGGTGGATTTGGTGGCCGTGGTGGTGCCAGAGGTGGTGCCAGAGGTGGATTTGGTGGTCGTGGGGGTGCCAGAGGTGGTGCCAGAGGTGGATTCGGTGGCCGTGGTGGTGGATTTGGTGGCCGTGGTGGATCTAGAGGTGGATTCGGTGGCCGTGGTGGTGCCAGAGGTGGATCTAGAGGGGGCCGTTTCTAGGCTCTCAAAATAATAGTTCTTATAACTAAAAGATTGACTGTCTAACATCAATAGAGCTGACCAAATCAAAAATATGTTATTGCATGATTTGAATCCCCTTGCATTTGCTTCTTTCTCCAGGAAAGGAACCTTTTTGCTTTGGAGAGAATAGGTCTCCAGTTGCAAAAAAAGAAAACGAAAAACAAAAAAAAAATAAAACATACGTTACGATAACGCTTGTATACAACTTGAACCCTTTTCAATTTCCTAATCCCCCCCTTTTTTTTTATTAAACTACATTTGTATATTTCCTTGTCTATTATTATATTTTTCTTTCATTCACTAAATATATTAAATTTTGAAATCAAACTGAAAACAATCACTCGATTATCCCACAACTTTGTAGAATAGCTAGCCTAATCTCTTTATAGCCATGTCTCATTGCAATATAATCGTTGGTTTGTCCGTTATTGAAAAGAAGTTTTGGAACCGTTACTAAATCTTTTACTCCATTCTCTTCTAAAAGTCGATCAAAATGAGAAATAACCCTTTCATTGCCAAGTTTGACAAGTTCACCATTTTTAAGCCTTTGATCTGGGCTAAGCGGTCCGTTGAGCTTCAATTTGAGCTTGCTGAAATTCTTGCGTATAACTTCGTCAACTTTAGTGAAAATAAGTTCGAAAGGAACTCCTTCTTCAATTAAACTATCGATTAATACCAAGTCTTCTTCTTGGAATCCTTCGATAGAATCAATGAGAAGAAAAGCTCTTCTTAACACTTGACGTTGTTGTATATAGTCCATAACAACCTCACCTTGTTTTGAATCACCAAATTCCCCATAACCGGGACTATCGATTATACGAACTTTATTACCAACGTTATAGGAGCTTAAAGTTTTAGTATAACCGGCTCTTTTCGAAACAAAAGCATGCTGGGTCTCTGAACTAACCGATTTGTTTTCTTCTCTATTAAGAAGTAAGGTATTTACAAGTGATGATTTCCCAGAATTGGTATGCCCTAAGAGTAACACTTCTGGCAAAACTTTCAAATGTTCAGGAACAATTCCAAAAGTTTTTCTAGAATTGAAAAAGGTTTCATGGTACTCGCTAGCTTTATACTTGTCCATTTTCTTATATTGGTCTTCTTTCAACTTAGTCAATCTATTATATTTAATATCAGGAATCTCATCGTATTTGGCATGCGACCATTCGTGTTTATTCTTAGTGCTGCTGAATATTGCCTGGGATTGGGTGATTTGTTGAGCTTTGGGTTTCTGGTACAACTCATGTCGGAAATAATCATTCAACTGTAGTGGAGTAATAATAAGTTTCCTAATATCTTTAGGAGGTAAGTTTTTTAGCTCGGGTTTAGAAGATGGCTTTATTGTAGGAACCAGACTAGGCTTCGGTATCGATCCCACAAGGTAATCTATGGATGCATATCTTCTGGAAATAAGGTACAGAGCCTTATTATAACGCTTAAACCCATGGAATCTCTTCATTAAATACTTCTCTGCTGAACTCTATAGATTTTGCAATGCGTTAGACATACAAAAGTGAAAAAAAAAAGTATGAGACCGGATGCCATCAGGGAAACAAATTTAAAACATAATAGGAAACTAGAAAGTAAACTAACCACATTTATACATTTTGGTAAATAAAAATTGCTTAGTTCTTCTCCTTCTTCAAACTTCATTAAAGAAGACCCTTTTTTTCCCCTGAATGAAAGACGGTGAAAAGTAAAAAAAAGCTAGCACCTACGTCTATACGAATCATGGTAGCAATTCGTTTTTCAGTTCTTACTGGTATGTAAAGTAGTCGATTTGGAAAAAAAAACAACGAAAGTACTAACGAATATCCCAGTGTTTTTGATATCACTTTGCATTGCAGCATACTTAGGGTTTGCCCTGATTGAATTAAAACATGACAAATTGATCCATTTTACAACATTTTTCATCCTCACCAGTGAATTTTACTTTATATTTGATACCAAATACAAATCATTGAAGACATTGAGGTACATAACATTCTTGACATGTACGCTATGTGCTAGTCTAAACCTGGAGATTGTACAAAATATGGTCAATCCAGAAAGAGTTTTTGATTTTGCTGATGTCGTTTACAATTTTTTTGGTAGCTTAAGTGGATTATTAGTTAGCATCACACTACAAACCTGGAGACTTAAGCTCGCCCGGGCCAACAGAATAAAGCATAGGCGATTGCATGGCAGTGGAGTGGCCGTTGAAATTGGTCAAGAAATTGAAAATTTGCAAGAAGGCCCTGCCTCTAAGCATGTCGACGTCGACGACGATTATGTTAACATTGAAATGAAGGATGTGAGTTAGGCTATTTCATATTTTTCATTCAATTTTTTTTTTTTTTGTTTTGCTTTGTTTAAAAGGGGGATAAGCATTGTCGATAATCGCATTACAAATCTTACTAAGTGGGATTATTGTGGACCTATATGTATATATATATAGATAGATAAGCCAGGATATTGAAGTCTTAAAGAAGTAATCTAGTAACAAGTAACAAAATGCTGGACAAATACTACGGGATACGTTCGTTTGATTTTCATACTTACTGGAATAATAATAACCCGAAAGATCGTGAGTTTGCTTACGAATTGAGAGAAAAGGTTCAGAAGGAGTTTGCCAAAGAGATTGAGAATGGACAGGTAAGAGTCCATAAATTCTGGGATACTCCAGTTGGACCTCATCCTTTGAATATGTGGGAAATTGATACCGGAGGAGACGGCAAGTTTGATGCAGATATTTACACTAGGTTAATTGGTTTTTATATTCTTAATCACGGTCATTTATCAGTGTTGATCCATCCAAGAACCCATAGAGGTGATATGGCTGATCATACTACTCATGCTCTTTGGCTCGGGCATAAAGTACGTTTAGACACTTCATATTTAATTGATTAACTTCTGACCCCTCTCCAGATACTTATTTATATGTTTAACCAAGCTTCCTGATTCAGCCAATTTTACTGTAGTATTCCCGTTTACTAACTAGACGAAACCGACCATCATTTGTAGTATTTTGTCGGCTGAAAATAAACAAATGAACATACATAAAAACACCTACGGAACAAGGCTTTGTATTTACCAAACCTTTCGTTTAATAAAGATATGATTCATAACAAAACCTCAGCTTTCCGTTATCGAAGTTTAACTCCCAAAGCACTGTAAGTTTGTCTTGTCATAATATTGTTAAACTTTTCAAGTTTGAGCAAACAAAAATCTCAAGTTTTTTAGACAGTTTCATTGTTTTTTTGTTTTTTTTTGGCTCGATGTTTTTTTTTCTTATATTTCACAGCGGCTGATATTAAATAATTCCTGATACTCTGTTCTTTCCAAGTTGTCTAATCTTGAAGGTTTAGTTTATTCATTAGAAGTTGGTTTTACTATTAGGTTTTCAATTTGAGTCAATTGATTCATTTAATTCCCCTCAAGTGTCTCAGTTCATCACTCGCTTTTTTTGTTCTCGTCTCTTTTCGATTATATAGATAAAGGCCATTGAGTACAACTTGATAGATTATTGAGTCATGCCAATATCTCAAGACTCTCCTTCTTCCCAGAATGGAAATCTTCAGAAAAGACATAGTACTAAATACGATTCCAATCGAATTGCAATTCCCAAATATTCCAATTCTCCGCTGAATACCTCGACTAGCCATCAAAACGATGGTATTGCTGACTCCAAGGAACCAAATGGTGAATTGGGTAATGATTATGAAAATGTAAACGAACCCCCCAAGTCAAATGGTGATTCCAAAGCTGCTAATAACCAAGAAAATTCAATTAAAAATGAGTATTATCATAATATAAACCAATCTACAGAAGATGAAGTTAAAGAGGATATTCATAATGCTAAAAATCAATCTCATCAACACAGTTCGTCCGCATCTCCTACTAGAAAAAGATTTGGACAGGAGTCCCCTAAAGTCATTTCTAATCCCTGGTCCTTTTTTAACAGGAATAAAATTGATAAACAAGAATCAAGATATCAAACTGAACAAGATGAAATCGAATCAGATAGACCATATTCTCCTGCTTCCGTTAGGGATATCAGTAACACTGGAAACGACTTAGACGATGCGGAATTCGAAACTGAAGCTCAACAACAAGACCAATTACCTGATAATCAAAATGAACAAATTCCTGAAAACCACCGTTCAAAATCTTTCAAAAGATCTCAAAGTCAAAACCAAGCATTATCTTCTTTTATCCCAACTATGTTTTCAAGTAAAACAAACCAAGAAAATCAAGGTAATGCTAATGGTTTACTTCCTGAAGGTGCCGTTTCAGGTAATGAAACTAGCTTTCCCACTGATAGAAGGCTGAAAAAGCTTTTTGCACTTTTAAAGAGAAAGCAACGTGAACCTAAAAGACTAAATCCTTCCTTTATCCCTAGTTCTAATGATCATGCCGCTATTGAACGTGCTAATAAATTGGTCGATGCCTTATCTTTAGCTTGTCCTTCTATTAATCTTTTAGCATCCTGTTTATGTGAAGATGAATATGGTATTGCAAGAGCTCCCCTTTTATTAACATTACTTGGTTTGAAAGTTCGCGATTGCTCCCCTAGTGTTAGCACGAAGAACAGAAGATTAATCATCGATTTAGAGTATGGTGTTGGTCCTCAAAGATTAAAATGGTCAGTTGCTAAAACGGCCAAAGATTTATTATATTTGCATTCTCGTTTCAAGATCGAAAATATTAAATTCGATTTAAGTAAAACCGAGGATTTACCCAAATTACCAATTCCTCCCTTAAGAAATGATAGACAAGGTGGTAAAAAACGCTCAAGAAGTATTACTGGAAGTAATATAAATACTCCTATCGATGAGGTCTTAGATGATCCAACAAGTAATGTTGAAGACCAAGCAAGCTTAGTTCAAGCTAATCCTCATCAAAATAACACTGATGCACAATCTACTCATACTGCTCACACAACCCTTAGTGGTCATCTCAACAACTTAAGAGCTCACCTTAGTAGAGCTTCCTCTGTTTCAACAGAGGATTTAAGCCCAGAAGTTCAACATGGACGTAAAATCAAAAACGAAGAATATGTGGCCCAAGTTAGCAACTATTTACATGACTTGATCAAATTACTCGCATTAAGGCCTCAATCAAACAGATTGTTCCAGTTTTTTGAAATTTCTCCAATTTCATCCTTGTTAAGTTATGAAACAGGGTATCAGGGCAAGCAAGGGGTGATTCATGTTGGTGGTACAGCTAAGTCTCAAGGTTGGAGGGTTGGCCATTTTAAGGCTAACGACTTGAAGGGTATGATTGATAGAAGATCCGAGAAATGGTTACTTGTAAGAAACTCATATGTCATGTATGTTGCAGACATTAACTCTACATTACCATTAGAAGTTTTCTTAGTTGATCATAAATTCAAAATAAGCGTTAAAAGTGATCTTTTTGACACCAAAACCTTAACATCGGGCTCTGATAGTGAATCTGATTATGATGACGCCTCATTAGTTCAAAAAGCCATTAATACTGAAGAAACCACGGCTACCAATGTACTGAATAAGGTTTTCAAGCATTTGAAAATAACTTTGGAGAACTCTGAACGTAAGTTGGTGTTGATTCCTAAATCCACAAGAGAACACAAACTCTGGCTTAAATCATTGAATGATATGAAAAATTCTTCTATTTGGTCAAATTCAAATAGGTTTGATTCATTTGCTCCGATTAGACAAAACTGTTATGCTCAGTGGTTTGTTGATGCAAGAGATTATTTCTGGGCAGTTTCCTCAGCAATGGAAATGGCTAAAGATGTGATTTTCATTCATGATTGGTGGTTGTCTCCTGAACTTTACTTAAGAAGACCAGCCAATGGAAATCAACAGTGGAGAATTGATAGAATATTGCAAAGAAAAGCACAACAAGGAGTTAAAATTTTCGTCATTGTTTATCGTAATGTGGGTACAACCGTTTCAACGGACTCTTTATACACCAAACATTCTATTTTGTCCTTAAATGAAGAAAACATACATGTTATAAGATCACCAAACCAGCTCTTACAAAATACTTATTTTTGGGCTCATCACGAAAAACTTTGCATCATTGATCACACTGTTGCCTTTTTGGGTGGTATCGATTTATGTTATGGTAGATACGACACTCCAGATCATGTTTTAGTGGATGATTCAAAAGTTGATTTTAACGCTTTGAATCCTGAATCACTTTCTCCAGAAGAATTCATCAGATTCCAAACTTTCCCCGGTAAAGATTATTCAAACCCTCGTGTTAAAGATTTTTTCGGTCTTGACAAACCGTATGAATCGATGTATGATCGTGACTCTACACCAAGAATGCCTTGGCATGATGTCCATATGCTTACCTCTGGTAAGATTGCAAGAGATTTATCAAGACATTTTGTTCAAAGATGGAACTACTTACTTCGTCAAAAGAGACCAAGTAGATTCACCCCCTTGCTTACCCCTCCACCAGATCTTTCAGATAAAGAAGTTGAAGAAATGGGTCTTGGTGGTACATGTGAAGTGCAATTATTAAGATCCTCGGGAAATTGGTCATTAGGTCTCAAGCAACACGAACAAAGTATTCAAAATGCTTACTTGAAATTGATTGAGACGTCTGAGCATTTCGTTTATATTGAAAACCAATTCTTCGTCACTTCTTGTTTTATTGATGGAACTGAAATCCAAAATAGAATCGGTGATGCATTGGTTGATCGTATCATCAAAGCACACAATGAAGGTACTAACTGGAGAGCTGTGATTGTGATTCCGTTGATGCCAGGTTTCGAGTCTCAGGTTGATGAGCCTGATGGATCTTCTGTCAGAGTCATTATGCAATGCCAATATATGTCTATATCAAGAGGCACTACTTCAATTTTCGCCAAATTGAAGAAATATGGAATCAATCCTGACGACTATATCCACTTTTTCTCATTGAGAAAATGGGGTATTATCGGTCCAGATAGAACCTTGGTAACTGAACAATTATATATTCACGCTAAGACTATGATTGTTGATGACAGAGCAGCAATTATTGGTAGTGCTAATATTAACGAAAGATCAATGAGAGGTGTGAGAGATTCGGAGGTTGCTGCAGTTGTACGTGATAAAGAAACCATAAGTACAACCATGAATGGTGAGCCATATCTTGCTGGTAAATTCGCTCATACCTTGAGAATGAGATTGATGAGAGAACATGTTGGTGTAAGTGTTGATACTTTAGATATAGTGGAAAGACGTTTCAAAAGATTCGAAAATTTCGCTAAAACCCAAAAGGGACTTCAAGCTGCTACGAACAACTTCAAGAACCCAGAGCATGCAGTTATGTCTGCCATGGTTGAGTTGGCTTCAAGAGATATTCTCCAACAACCTCAAGGTACCTTTAGATGGAAAAACTTTCACAACTCTAAACATAAGGGTATCACAGCCGAAGGTACTCCATTGGATGACATTAACGAAGAAGAGAAAAAAGTCACACCTAGTCCATTGTCATTACCAATCTCATTCAATAATAGAACTGGTCAACATGAAGCAAATAAGGGTATCAGAGATAAAAAGAAGCATTCTTTCGATGCTAGGGTACAACATAATGACACCCATAAAATGGATGTGTATGGTGAAGGTTTAGATAAGTATCATTCTAAATTGGCTAAGAAAGCTAGACTTAACAGTACTAGATTCTTGAAAGATCTTGCATACAAATCCATGCAAGAAAACCCAATTGGTACTTTCTTGCCAGACACTTCGAATGTTATTGAATTCTTGGAATCTGATGATTACGAAATGCTGGATGAAATGGATCATGATTCTGAAGTAATAATCTATGAAAGGAATAAAGAAAGGTGGCAATTATTGAAAAAGATTTCTTATTTACAAAGAGTGGCTGCTAAAGAAAAAGAACAGAAGGAAGAAGAAGGCAAAAAGAGAGTGGCAACTGGGTTACCACAATCTAGCTCTTTTGAAACCTCTTCTAACAACGAAAATATAAATGGTAATGCAACTTCACTGGCTCCTCAAACTGCCGGAACTGCTGGTTCTGCTCCTGAGGTTCAAACTGAAAACCAAAAAGTTAATAATCTGGCCGATACTAATTCACAATCACAAGACTTGAATGATGCAGGAGCCATGGATAAAAAATCAATTGAAGCAGTTACTAGTGATGCGAATGGTGATGACATACCAATTATTACTTTAAATGAAACATCAGCTCGTGATGTCATTCAAGAAATCAATTCGAGAGGTGTGCAACAATTCAACAGATTTATCGATCCATATTGTTTTGAAGATCCATTGGATGTTGAGTTTTACGAAGATATTTGGTATGACAATGCTAGAAGAAATACAGAAATTTTCCGTACCATTTTCCACACTCAACCGGATGATACCGTTTTATCTTGGAAAGATTATAAACAATTTTCTAAACTACAAAGGGCATTCATCTTAGCCCAAGCTCAGGATTCCAGAAGCAGAAGAGAAAAATTCCATTATGATCATCAGAGTCTGGATGAGGAGGAGATTGATGAAGAAAGCTCAACTCATAATAGTAACCACAGAAGAAAAGGTAGCCACGCTACTATTAATGTTAATAAATTGCAAAATGATGTCGGCTTATTAGGATATGCACCACCAAGTAGTCACAATGAAGGAGGATCTTTATCCCCTCAAATTCCAAGAAACAAGTTCAAAAACCGTTTTCATAAAGATGCTATCAATGCAATTAGCGAAGAAGAGCCTTCGCAGAACCATGAAAATGGTACACATGTTCCAAGTGTTGATGGTGACAAAGAAGAACTGAATAATGGTTTCCAGACCCAATCCCCAGAAGATGAATCCTCTAATTCCAATGACACCGATCAAACCCCATCATATGAAGCAGACAAAGATGAAAATGATCATACTGGAAATGGAATCACGTTCAATGCTGCTAATGGTAAGCCATCAGCTGATACGAAGACACACGCTAGAAGAAGAGCTGGAACTTTTGGCACCAGAAGAAGAGTCTATATGGGTGAACGTGTTTTTGAACGTGATTCTGCTGAACGTATCTTGAACGAAATACATGGGCACTTAGTCATGTTCCCGGCCGATTGGCTAATGAGAGAATTGGAAGGTGGAAACTGGTTCTATAATACTGATAGAATCCCGCCAATCGATATTTATGATTAAGTTCTGCTTACTTTCTGGCAGCTCAAATGCAATACTTATTCAAAATCCTACTTTTCTTACATACTTCAATTCTTTAATTTTGCTTAATTTTTTGTTTTTTTGTTTTTTGTGTATATGTCTAAGTTTTAAGTCAATTTCTATTTAATTTACAGCTTACAAGTTTCTTTTCAACGATTTAATGTTTCTAGTTTATCTATATAATATATATCTTAATAAAGGTATTCTTGTTTTGCAATAGTGTGCGCGTTGGTAAAAAAAAGTTCACGGAGCACGAGTAAATGATATACACGTCGAAAAATCATGTTGAAATCCATTTATACTTCTACAGTATCTTATAATAACATAACAGAACCATGATCTTACAGTTACTTTCATATATTGGAATTGTTGTAGGCTTTTTGTTTTTGGTCCTAGCCATTGCTTCAGGTCTTTATTATATCTCCGAATTGGTGGAAGAACATTCTGAACCCACCAAAAGATTTCTCAAAAGATTAATCTATGGTATTATTGCAATTTTTATCTTATTATACTTATTTGATTCATTCCCATTTAAGTTGACGGTATTTTCAATTATTTCGTACTATGTTTACTTACAGAATTTACATAAATTCCCTTATGTTCAATTAACTTCTCCAATATTTCTTGCATCTTGTGTTTTGGTTATAGCGAATCACTTTTTATGGTTTAACCATTTCCACAACCCATATATTCCACCATTGGAAGTTCGTTTACAGCCAAATTATAAACCACCAAACATTCCTAGTTTTATTGAAGTCTGCTCATTTTTTGGTTTATGTGTTTGGTTTATCCCATTCGCTTTGTTTGTCAGTTTAAGTGCACATGATAATCTTTTACCACATCATATGGAGAATAATATTGACAATAAAGATAAAAAGAAGAATAATGGGCTAGCTAAGGTTGTTGTGGCAAGTATCAGAGATTATCTATATGCTTTTAGCAGAAAATTGGGTTATGAATTAGACCCACATCATGGAACTATTGTTTAAAGATGATTTCTCTGGAACATTACAACAATCCAAAAAGTAAACCTTTTCAATTTTGTATCGATAGTTTGTAAGTATATAAACATGTCATTATAAAGATATTATGATTAAATAAATTATTAGATTCGAATTAATCTTTTTACAAGGTGATCGTTAAATTTTAAGACAGTAAAAATTCTTTCACTGGTGGTCCGATATGATCAAAACTGATTAAGAAAGTATCATGTCCATAATTACTGACATCATTACTTAATTCATAGTATGAAGACTTGGAGCCTTGTTCTTCAAATGCATTAGCTATTTCACGCTGCTGCCAAACAGGGAATAAAATATCAGATTCTACTCCTATAACCAAAGCTTGTTTTTGGGTAATCTTTTTCATACCTTCATGTAAATCTTTAAGAGATTCTTCTGGGGTAACGGTTGCAGAATTTATTTGTTCTTTATAAGGTTTTGCAGGAACTGTAGTCTTTGAATCTTGAGAAAGTTTCTCGTTTGATTTTGCATAGAAATCACGTTCAGTTTTGGCCCTTATGGAATCACATTTTGTTCTAGTTGATTGACTTAAATCAAATAAGTCCATTGCTTTCAGTACATATAAGAAAGAATTTGCATCATATTCTAGACAAAACTTTTCACCAGCGTGGTCTAAATAAGTTTCAACCAAAAAGTCAGGACATAAAGCTGGAGGTCTTGAATCATCAGCTCTATTTCTTCCGAACCTATGTTCCCACTCAGGACCCGATCTATAAGTAACGGTTGCAATTTCTCTAGCTAATTTCATTCCAATATGAGGGACGATTTTTTCATAATAGAAACCTCTATTCCAATTTGGATCGCTCATTAAAACTTGTCTTTGGGTGTGACGTAAAGCAATTGAGTAAGGATGGGATCTAGCACATCCACTAATGGAGACGATTTTTTCAACTTCATCAGGAAATTCCCAGGCATAAGCGAGTGATTGCATACCACCCATGGAAGCACCGATTGAGGCATGAATTTTGGTAACGTCAAAGACATCTCGGATTAGTTCTCTTTGAGCTCTAACCATATCATTTACGGTTATAATAGGGAATCTAGTACCATAATAATCGTTATTTGCAGGATCTTTAGATGAAGGACCAGTTGAACCATAACAACCACCAAGAACATTAGTACAAACAATAAAGAATTTATTGGTATCCAAGTACTTATCTGGACCTATAAAATTTTCCCACCAACCAGGTTTAGTATTTTTGGGTTGGGATTTGGCATGAGATGAAGCAGATAAACCAGTGTGGATCAAAATCAAGTTATCTTTAGCTTCGTTCAAAGTCCCCCAAGTTTCATAAGCAATTTCATATTCAGGTAAATAACCACCATAATCAAAAAATATCGGCTTGCTACTTTTATAAACTTCAAAACCAGTTTGAATTTTTGCATAAGAAGGTTCCGGACCTGCTTCTAAGGAACTTATATCATCTTTGTTAGAGCAAGAGCTTGAGTTCAATCCACTTGATAATTGGTTGGTTCTTTCTTCGAGTTTATCCAAGCACGGAAAGGAAAGTTGTGGGTTAGAACTTTGTAAGGTAGGAAGACTTCGTGAAGGTGCATATAATCTATTGCATTTGGTTGAAAACCTGGCTAAGGTATTCACTATGCGTCCTTTGACAACGCTTCTAGAAGTATTAGAAATACTTTTCAACATCATATTTAATCCTTTGAAATTGAGACACCTACTTTACTTATACGCCAACTTTTAGTCCCCCAACTGATTAATAATATGATTATATATCAATGCATTTAGTTTGCAAAAAAACTCGATGAAAATTAAAATGATCTCAAGTCACGTGACCATGCTATCCAAATGATAGCCTTAAACTCCAATTGAATATGCTAATAATTGGTATTCAAGCTTCAAAGAAGGCAGTCACTATTCTTAAAAGTGATCCAACCATCTGTGCTACCTTGGAAGGTCAATGCAGCTCACAAAGTCTTTGCAATTGAGCCTGTTGCAGCCGTTGTATCAGCAACGAAAAAATCGAATAAGCCAAACTAAGTCAATTAGTTGTAATTAATGTGGTTTATTACGAGACACACTCAATAACTAGTCATTGTCCTGCCCTTCCCTCTACCCTACCATTAATCTAGTTTGTTATACTGCCGAAATGTTTGAAAAATGCTCAAATCACCGGACACAGAGCTGTGACCATATTTCAATCTACAAACTATCCTTGAGTGGAACTGGAAGCAACACCAAAGCAATTTGCCATCCATTTCAAATGGACCTTATCGCATTGCAGTCGTAGCTTTATCCCAAATAGCGAAAGTCGCTCAAGATATCGCATAGATGATTCTTTTTTTGCTTTTTTTTTTTTTTTTTTGTTAGCATCTTTCACTAGCAAAAATCTCTCAGACTGTCAAAACTGTACAGAAGCTTTTGCAATAAATATAGATGCAAAGTCTACGTTCTGAAATTTAATAGCTAATTTTTATAACTGATAGTATAACGTTGGGAGACGATAAGTATTAGTCGAGAAGACATTCGTGTATTATTGTTTTTGTCCGTTTTTTCACAATGGAAAGACTTCATCTCAGCTTATCAAACGTCCACTGCAAGGATTGTGAAGAAGCCATTCACGCTTCACTCTCCAAGTTTCTTTTCATAAAGCCTGCTGACGAGACCTCCAGTACCCCACCCGAAAGGCAAGTTTATCACGATTCGGAAGTTGTTGTTTATAAACTTAACAATAAAGAACTTGACTTTTATTATGAAAACTCAAATAATGGTGTGAACGCTGGTTCACCATCGATGCTACAACATTATATCAAGAAAATTGTTAAAGCTATTACGAAAAGTGGATTCAATGTACTATCATGGGAATTTTTCGAGGATAACGAACCAACCTTACACTCTCAAGTTCACGATGCTAATCATTCTACAGCTGTTCAAAAAGTTGGGAATATATCGGACTGGTTTAATTTGTTTTCCCGTTTTGAAAGTCACCAAAACGAAAAACAGCATCTAAAGTACTGTCAGGCTTGTTTGAATTCTTCTTCCCATTCAAAGAAGAGAAAAAGCATGTTTTCTAGTTCATCGTCATCCAAACTTGGATCTCAAGAGAGTTTACCTCAAGAATCATTTGAAACAGTTGTTGCAAAACCTTCTCAGGAGTACCGTGCTGTCTTTCTTGTATCGGGAATGACATGCTCATCTTGTGTTGGTTCTGTTTCAGAAACTATTCAAAGTATCCTTGAGTCTGAGAATATTAGCACCAAAAATGCTGAAGGTGAAGCCAATTATTCAGTTAATCTCATACAGCACTCAGCAGTTGTGATTATTCCAAATAAACATATCATTAATAGTATTGTGAATGCCGTTGAAGACTCAGGGTTTGAATGTCGCTTGGTTGAAGTGCTTCCGGTCCAAAGGTCTATCAACCTTAAAGTCACCGCTATCATTGGTGGTATCACTTGTGCTGCTTGTGCAAATTCAATTCAAAGTGCTGTCAAAGATTTATCATTTGTATTGGAAAATGGAATTAATGTGGTCACTAAATCAGGTACATTTGTAATGGAAGAGTCAATAGATGAAAGTGAAGACAACCTAGCTAAATTAAAAGAAACTGTTGAAGATTGCGGATTCGATTTTGAAGTGGTTTCCGTTGATAAAATCAATTATACCTCAGGGAGAAAGAGCTCAAGATCCATTAATGTTGGTGTTGAAGGAATGTACTGTGGACATTGCCCTGAAATTATCACCAATTACTTGAATAGTTTTGGTGAAGCTATTGTCATTGAAGATCCTATCACATTAAAACATCCATTTATCAAATTCACATATATTCCTAATCAAGAAAGTAACTTGACAATTAGAAGATTTCTTGATGATCTCAATCATCTCCATCCAATTGATAATGACCCTGGGTATAAAATTGACAGTGACAAAGACGGTACTTTCCAATGTAAACTCATAGAGTCTGTTTCCATGGATGAACATTTACGCAAATTAACCAGAAGAGAAACCATGAAGGTAGTCAGAAGATTGTTAATTGCAATTGCTTTTACTATACCTACCTTTATCTTTGGAGTTGTTGCCATGTCCTTACTACCTTCCTCAAATAAATTTAGAATGTGGGTTGAAGAACCAATCTGGGTTGGAAATGTTTCCAGAAATACTTGGATCTTATTGATATTAGCAACTCCAGTTTACTTCTTTGCAGCTGATATATTCCATATCAAAGCATTGAAAGAAATTTGGTCATTATGGACCCATAGAAACTCATACAAGAAGAGAATATTCAGATTCGGCTCCATGAATTTATTAGTATCCCTTGGTACTTCCGTTTCATATTTCGCAAGTATAGCTTTACTAATCTTAGCTTCTAGACAAGAGCGTCACACTCACCAAGGTCTCCATACAACTTATTTTGACTCAGTTGTATTCTTGTCATTCTTCTTATTAATAGGTAGATTGTTAGAAATGATCTCTAAATCTAAAACTGCTGATGCCATATCAGGATTGAGTGAACTTAAGGTCCATCAGGCTACATTAGTGGAACCAATGAAGACTTCAGATCGTGATACCAAATATGACAAAGGTCAGTTAATTGAAACCAAATACTTGGAAGCTGACGACTTGATCATTATTGCATCTGGTGAATCCCCACCAGTTGATTGTATCATTATTCAAGGTAATAGCGAATTCGATGAATCTGCATTAACTGGGGAATCAATACCAGTTAAACATTCACCTGGTCATCAGATTTTTTCAGGAACAGTTAATTCTGGTAACAATTCCATCATTGCAAAAATTATTAGCTTGGAAGGAGACTCACTTATAGATCAGATTGTTAGTACTGTACGTGATGGTCAATTGAGAAAGGCACCAATTGCTCGTACTGCAGATTTATTAACTGGATATTTTGTTCCAATCATTGTTCTATTGGCAGTTATTACCTTTGTGGTTTGGATAGGATTGGCATACTCTGGAAAATTGCCTGATGATTATCTCGATGTTGATATTGGTGGGTGGACTGTTTGGTCGCTTGAATTTGCTATTGCAGTTTTTGTAATTGCCTGTCCATGTGGATTGGGCTTAGCTGCACCAACAGCATTATTCGTTGGATCCGGTTTAGCTGCGAAATATGGAATCTTAGCCAAAGGTGGAGGTGTAGCATTTCAAGACGGAGCTAATGCTAATGTTGCATGCTTTGATAAAACTGGAACATTAACTTATGGGGAGCTTAAAGTTACTGACTTTGGATTTATTACAAAACAAGTAAAACTAGAAGAAAGAATTCAATTCATAAAGAAACTTGCGTTACAAGTCACCAGAGATTTAGAGATTTCATCAAAACATCCAATTTCCAAAGCCATTAAGACATTTATTGAACAAAATAATCAATTTCAAAACATTCAACCATCTCAAAATAAAGTTCCGCAAGTTGAAAATGTTCCTGGTAAAGGACTTAAAGGAGAAATAATCCTCGATGATGATTCTGGAGAATTGTGGAATAAATATAGACCAAAGCAAGTCATATTAGGAAATGAATCATTGATGAAAGATAATTTGGTTGAGATTACCACCGAACAAACAGAATTATTGAACAAATGGAAAACTGAGTGTAAGTCAGTTATTTTGGTGGCAGTTAAATGTTTTGAATTATTTGAAAATGACGGGTTTCATTTAGTATTAATATTAGCATGTCGGGATCAAGTTAGGAAAGAAACACGTCTAGTGATGGACTATTTGCAAAATAAGATTGGTATTGAGTGTTGGATGATTACTGGTGACAATAAATTAACTGCTGATGCTATTGGGAAAGAAATTGGAATTTTACCAAATCATATAATCAGTGAAGTATTACCAGATCAAAAGCAATCCCAAATTAAAATGATTCAAAAATTGAAGAATAACAATATTGTTGCAATGATTGGAGATGGAATTAATGATGCACCGGCATTATCAGCAGCAGATGTTGGAATTGCTCTTGCATCTGGGGCTGATTTAGCGGTGACATCTAGTGATTTCATTTTATTAAATAAATTACATCCCCTAGTAACCTTAGTTACATTATTTAATTTATCGAGGGTTGTGTTTAGAAGAGTTAAATTTAATTTTGGTTGGAGTTTGATTTATAATTGTATTGGTATACCTATTGCAGCTGGAGTAATCTATCCATATAATAATTCTAGATTGAGTCCAGTTTGGGCTAGTGCAGCAATGGCATTTTCATCGGTTAGTGTTATAACAAGTAGTTTAGCATTAAAATTTTACCGTCCTAAAATTAAAGCCGAAAATTTACGTCAACTTGAAGAGGAGGAAGAAGAAACTACTAATGATGATATTAATGAAATTAACACCATTTAGGCAATATAAGATCTTATTTTTTTTTTTATTTTAGGTTATCTATAGATGCAATAACAGGGAAAAAGAAAATTCATTAAATCGTAGCACGATGATAAGTGACTTTAAAAAAGAATCAGACGTAATAATAATAGTAGAAAGAAGTAACAAAACACTAATAGGAATAATAAATATCTAAATTAACTTTTATTATCAAAGACATTTTTCTCAAATTTAACAATCATAACCGTAACATTATCAGTAGTAGCGTTATCCATTGCTAATTGACATAATTTTTTAGCAGCACTTTGAGTATCATAAGGTTGGCCAATTTCGTTTTGTTGTCTGAAGATTTCACTGACAAATTGACAAGCTTTTAAATCTGATATGACGTCCCAAACCCCATCACAGGCTAAAATCATAAATTCATCTTGAGGAGTAATTTCTGTTGAAGTGGTGAAAGGTCTACCAATAACCAAATTTTTCATATACGAATCACCTAAAGATCTGGTAACGGCCAATACACCATTAACGCGATTTTTCATAATCAAACCACCTTGATCTCTAATACGATTAATTTCATTATCATCCAGAGCTTTATGATCATAGGTTAATCTATAAGGTTTACCATCGCGATATAGTATTATACGCAGATCACCAACGTTTGAAGTGTATAACATTCGTTTGTGAGAAGAATTTGGGATAAAATCAAATTGGTTTGATTTTTCAGTTGAATTATTATTAATATTGCTATTTGAGTCATCATTAGTTTCCCACCTAAGTACTGCTACTGCAGCAGTACAACCTGACGAGCCATTACCATCTTTTTCAATTAATTCATCAGCCTTAACAAAAGAATTATGTAGAATATCTTTAATATCATATTTACCTGATAAAGGAGCCGCATTATTAATTTCATCATTCGAATTTGAATCTTCTAAAGAAATAATTTCATCTTCAACTAAATTATGTAAATTATTACCACACCATCTAGCCGATTGTTTACCAGCATGACCATCGAATATAGCAAAATACCCCCAATCTAATCTTTCAGCAAAATTCGCTACATAAGTATGAACATCTTCCATTTTAGCTCGATAAGCAGTATTTTTATTTTCAGCAACACCCACTTTAAAAGAAAGCCCATAAAAGGGATCGGATAAGTTGGAAGATGAGTTATTCTTCAGTTTGGATCCGCTTGCAATCTTAGTTATGGACAGCGAAGAAGATGAACGGTCATTGTGAGTCACAGTCAGCATTTCGAAATTCAATTATCAAGATACGTAAAGAGTATCGAAATCAACTAGCTAAAAATAAAAGGTCGATGAATTTTGTCTTGTTGCTGTGAGAGACTCCTGGTGTGCGGGTGTTTCCCCCCCGGTCGGGCTTCCCGCGACCCAGACACCAGAGAATTCCATCACCCAATGAATCACCAGGAGGAATAGATACTTATAGATCATCCAGACGATTGTGGAGACAAGTCTAGACTGGTTGCTGGAGGGTCCACACTGGAGGCAAATCATCCTAATGAAAATCATCCGAATGAAACACCAATAAGACAATAGCAAAAGATAAGTGCAGACAATAACAAAAGATCATCATGAAATCTTAGATAAATCATACCATTCATCAAGCAATGGTTGCAACTTTAGACAGGGAAGATTAGCAACAATCTCATTACAATGCCATCGGGCAAGAAAGACAATAGGACCCTGGTGTACGGAGCGAGCCCATTTGATTGCAAAAAAGTGAAATTACCAACAAGCAGCAACACAAGAGTGAAATTCCCATCGCCAATACACCTGGGCCATGAAATTCCGCCATAATCGCCCATGTTTTGTTAAACCAGGTAAGCGGATGCTAGTGGTGGCCATTTAGATGGGCTCAAGGGTGGGTCAACGATCACATGAGCGATAGCCGCGCCCTGCGCACCCACACCCAGACACCAGCGAGGTTGTCCGCGGTTCGGCAGGAACTAAAAACACAATCGGTGCTTATTGTTCCAAACAAGGTTAAAAGACAATACAAAATCACAATCAAAGCCCAACAACCGAAGCTTAATGTAGTTAGGCTATTTATAATTCTATTGTTAGGCTATCAAAGGACTATTAAAAGTAGATATAAAGATAAGTGGGAGATCAGCAAGGAAATAAGCAAATAGGGAGGGAAAGAAATAGCAAAGGGCTAAGGAAGGGAAAAAGAAAGAAAGAAAAAAAATGACTGGCATCGGCAGGTGAAAAAGATATTTTAAGTGCCGGGTCCGAAAATACCCAACCCATTTTTTTACGAGAGCTTATAAAAAGCATTTAGGAATCAGGGAGGAATTTACTACCATTTTTCTTTATTAGCAAGACACAGTATGGGAGATTCTAGTGTTCCGATTCCCTATGAGCCAAAGGGAACCCCCTTGGTTGAGTTTATTGAGTACGATAAAATTAATTTCAAAACGGTGACTTGGAAAGTGCCGGAAAATGTTGAGTATAAAGGCAAGATAATCTACGTTCACGGGTTTGCAGAACACTCTTCAATATATACGGAGGCCTTTGATAAGTTGAGTCAATACGGGTACGAGATTTTTTTCTTTGATCAAAGAGGAGCCGGAGAAACTTCTCCAGGCGAGTATGTGGGTAAAACCGACGAATATCATACATTTGACGATTTAGATTTTATGATTAAACATAATTTAGAACAAAGAAGTGACCAGGACGAAAAATTCATATTGGCGGGTCACTCCATGGGGGGTGCTATTGTACTCAACTATGCCATTAAGGGGAAGTACAAGAATTCCATTAAGAAGATCTTTGCGATTGGGCCTTTAATTAAGCTACATCCCAAGACCGAGCCTAATATTTTTATAAGAATTGGTGCGCCGATCATCAATCGGTTATTTCCAAACATGAAGTTTGATTCTCAATTGAAGTATAATTATATTACTTCTAATCCTAAATGGATTGAGTACATTGCTAAACATGATACTAAATTGATTGGTACTGCCCGTCAATTTAATGATATGTTTGCCCGAGGTCATATTTTAACCAAGGAAGATTACGTTGCCAAATTCGATCCAAAAATATCCTTATTGGTTTGCCATGGTACCGACGATAATGTTAATTGGATCAAAGGTACCAGTACGTTTATCAATTTATTGGCGGAAAAAATCAATAAGAAATTTCTTCCCATTCAAAATGGTCGTCACTCATTATTGATTGAAAACGATGTCATTTTCAATCAAGTGTTTAATGATGTGGTTGACTTCTTAAATGAATAAGTGTATATGTATATTTAATGTTATGATATTATCTTACGCGTAGAATTATTACATCACCCGAAGGTAGTGCCGGTCACGTGAGACAGGGCTGGATGATTAAACCCTGGCAGTAGTCTTAAAGACAAACCACACGTTCTTTTCTACCGTTTGCTGGTCAACTCTATTGTCTGCTTATTGTGAAAACTATTCCCGTAGTTAACCCATGCAACGGAAATAGCAAATGCTTTTCTTGTTTTAGTTAGGAACAACCGCTACTACATGAAATTGGCCAGACTCAGAAATCATCCACTTGAAACTCATTAAAAATCTTGTTGGAAAACACCCACTTCAGTCCAACTGATCAAGGTGGCTAGCTACCTGTTTGTAAGTTGCTAGATCCCCCGTGTAACCACCGGGAATCACCTAGACATGGTGCTGACAAATTAGCATCGTGGTGTCAGAGTCAAAATTGTCTGGATCAGATAAACAAAAAAGCGCACAATGGACAACGGTTAAACTTGACAGATCTGGTCAACGCCCACCGATTCCTGGGGAATTAGGAGTTAAGCAGCGCAAGCAGAAGCTGATTTGCAAGAATGTCAATCGATGCCACCCTCCGGAATACTTGGAACTTCTCCCATTGGATGAGAGAAGCCAAAGGCAAAAACAAACAATGTAATAACCGAAGAAAAAAACACAAGCCTCGCTCAAGAACAATTACGCTACCAACAGGTACGAGATGATTCCAACTGGTATTCGTTGAGATTTTCTACCAGCAATACCGAAATCAGAGAAGAATTTGGCTACAATACGGTGGATTTTCGGATCCCTCGATCCCAGCATTTGACAGATACATCATCATGTAGGTTTAAGTTAACGGATCGACAATCCGATGAATGTAGAGGCACGAAAAGAGAGTTAAATCCACAATCCAACCAGCCGAAGCTGGAGATGGTTGGGTTGGTGGATTTAACCATGAGTTAGTAACAATAGATAAAAAACAAAATATAAACCAAAATATAAAACAAAAGATGGAACAACGAACAAAAGATGAAAAATGAAAATTTTACAAAATTGACAATACCAGTCTAACATACAACACAACCAACATCTTTCTTGGCAGGTCTCATCGGTTGAAGATACCAGGACACTCCGTAGAGTTCGAGAATGAAGTGATAGATTGAGCACATGGTATACATGTTGATTACCAACTGTATACCAGTTGTAGTTGTATAAGTTGTATAAGTTGTAGTTGTATAAGTTGTAGTTGTATAAGTTGTAGTTGTATAAGTTGTATGTATACTAGTTGAAATGTCGTACGTATAAGACTAAGCAAGTACAAAAGGTAAAGTGATATGTTGGTCACAAAAAAGATATCCGAAATTTCATTATCGAAAAGATCTAATCAGATGCAAATCTCCCCAACGTCATGACTTGTCAAAAATGATATTTTTCGGGGGGTCCCTTTGGCTGGCAGACCACTTCGTATCGTAAAATCCTTTTCGGGAAGGTCAGGTTGGCAGTTTTATTACAGCAGCTTGATTCGGTAAGTGTCTCCTGCACTCTTGTCAACCAGATGAGTGAAACAAGGCTCCTACAGACAGCAGCATTTGCCGTTTTCTCAAAAATCAACCCATCTACTGGCAAAGCCGATTAAACGGATCGTCACTTTTCTTACCTCCTCTCCGGATAATTAAAGAAAATAATTAAATCCCTTTTCAATACACGGCCTTACCCCTAATCTACCGGAGGATGCGTACCTGTACCTCTTAAATTTAAAAGCTGTCAAAATGCGCATCCGGTTAAATCATCAACAATAGAAGTATGTTAAATTACTTTCCAAGTTGACATAAACGGTGGATAGTCTTTTCTTTTGCTCACCTCTGGTTTGTTCTATCCTTGGCTGTACCACAACCTATTCCTTTCTTGATTGTACATACTTGATACATATTTCATACATATTTCATAACATCTTTGAGCATTTTTCGCTTTTTTTCGCTTTTTTTTTTTGTTTTCTTCGCTATTTTTCTTCATTTCCTTGAGTTATTCCTATTTTTCACTTGATTTTTTCCTTGATTATTGCTGGAAATTAAATTATGCTTTCGGCATTGTCTTTGTTATTAGTTCATCCCTTGGTAATTGGCTGATTTTTGGTAAATAAGTATCGAGAATGGTCTTCTTTCTTACTCTTTATTCCATTTGATTTAATTTAATTTTATTTAATTTTTTTTTTTTTTTTTTTTTTTTTTTTTGCTTTTTCTTACTTATCTTGCTTGGTTTGAAGGAAAGTCAATATCCTTTTGTGATAAGCTTATTGTTGTCATTGGATAATTCTTGACTCGAATTACTCCGATTAAGAAAATATCCTGGAGTAATTTTTATTATCCCTGTTCCATTACTTCTAACGTATATACTTGAGTTTTTGCCTACCGTTTTGTCTACAGCATTGTCTACTTTTACTTTGCTTCCACCTGTTCTTTTATTTGTCGATTTCGCCTGCGTTCTCGATCATTTAGAGTTATCCCATTGTTCAAGCTGTCAAACATCCTCATTCCTTGATTGCTTGTCAAATAACGGTTGTTTTTTTTGCAATTGTACCATTTTTACTATAATTATCTACATTCATTACAGAAACCGTCTTTTGACCCCTTGTTGATCCCCTACTATAAATTTCATTACTTCGGGCAATCACTGCCAAGCTTCTCTGGTGTTCGTTTGTCACATTATCGTTAACAAGGTTTTTGTTCAATCTTTTAATTCTTGTTTTGTTTGTTTGTATTTTTGACAACTAAAACGTCACTGCTTTAGTCCATACATATCGTTGCTCCTTCGAGCCTATAGCCTTTGGGTATACCTCTTTGACAAAGCCTTTTGGATCTCTTTTCTTGACTTTGATCAAACAATAGTGGTTATTTGTCTCAATTTCTAGTGGGTTCTGCAGTGTTTTTTTTTTTTCTTTTTTCTCCAGATCTCAGTGTCTCCCACTCACGCTTATGTCTGACTAGCATCTGTCTATTAATATCCTGCTATTCCTTGTTCCGAAATCTATTCAATTTAATCTCGAGATATTCCTTTTTTTTTTTCAACCATTTCAATTTTTCAGCCTTTTTTTTTTTTTTTTTTTTTTTTTTCCGTTTGGTTTGTTTCCTTTAAAGTGTGCCTGCTAAAAAACTTAAAAAAAAAAAGAAAATCATAACCCGATTCTTTTATCATTTATACCCTTCTAACCCTTACTTTCTAACCGTTACTTTAGCTGAATTTGGTCCTGGTGATTGTTCCTGGATAAGCCGAGAACACAGCTATAATAATTCACTTACGATGGGGTATACGATCAAACAGAAGATTGATATTTGTCTCAAGTCTGAGTCAAATCCAGAAATGACTCAGGCTGATTTGGCAGATTGGGCTAAAATTCAATATAGAAGCGAAAAAGCACCGTCACAAACAACTATATCTAGAATATTGAGTTCCAAGAATGACTTGATTGCGTCAAAAGAAACCGATTTTCAATTGGTCAGAAGGAGGAAACAATCAAATCCATTATTAAGAAGAATTCTAACCGAATGGATAACTCAAGCAATTTGGGAAAACATTCCAATAACCACTCCGATAATACAGCTGACAGCCAACTCGATTTGGACTCGATTACCCAATTCAGAAAAAGATGGGAATGGTGTATTCAATCATAAATGGTGTAATCATTTTGTTAAAAGACTTAATATTAATTTGCATGGTGATAATAATGCTATATTATCTAATCCTGGTCAGCACAAATTAAATAAAGTGTGGAAAATTGATGAGAAATTAGATTTAAAAGATTATTTAAATCATTTAATTGAAAAGGAAAATTATCGACCTCAAGATATTTTCACGATGGATGAATTCAAACTTTTTTATTCTTTACCATTAGATCAAATCTTTGATGTATCTTCAGTTGATAATGGATTGAAACAATCAAGTTTCACCACTGAAAATTCATTAACTATCATGCTTGGTTGTAATATTGATGGCTCTGAAAAATTAACTCCTTTAGTAGTTGGCAAATATGATAAATTTGATATTTCTCAAAGCTCCCATAATAATTTCAAAAATTTATCTTCAAATAATATTTCAAAACATAATTTAATGAATAAAATTACTGAAAGTTATCAAATTTTTTATAAATCTAATATAAATAAATGGATAACTTCTTCAATGTTTCAAAACTACTTATTGGCTCTTGAACATAAATTATCCAATGCTTCCCCCAATAGAAAGATTGTTATTATTTTAGATGATTCTTCTTCTCATCGAATTATTAATCTACAATTTAAAAATATTAAACTTTGTTATTTGAAAAATAATACTAATCATAAAAATCCTTTTTCCTCAATGTATAATGGTGATAAATTCGATTATTTACCGATGAGTTTTGGTATTGTCGAAGAATTTAAAATCTTATACCGTTTACAACAATATCTTGAAATGATAAATATTCAAAGAATTCATCATAAAAAAGAATTTAAAAACAATGATTCAAATCATTTTTTAAAAGCAAATTCAATAACTTTAAATAATTTCAAAACAATGGTTAATGGATCAAATAGTGATTCAGTTTTATCAGAATCAGATTATCAAATACCCTTAATCAAAGTAATTGAATGGGTTAAAAGATCTTGGGATTCAATTTCAAAAGAAAAAATATTCATGTCTTGGAAGAAAACTCATCTTTTGAATTTGAATGAAAATTGGCCAAGTTCAGATCCAGTAATTGCAAACGCTGCAAATGAAAGCTTATTGCCTTTGAATTCAATCACTTCAAACTATAATAATTATAAAAGCTATGATAAATTGGTTGAAATTATGAAATATCTTAACGTGGTGATTCCCTGGAATGTTGATGACTTATTGGGTCTTGTCAATGAAAGAGGTAAAATCACTTTAAGTTATGTTTCAATCGAAGAAATTATTGGTAGTTGTTTACTGGAATCTTTTGGTAATGAAGATATTGATAATCCTGATCCAACTAAAAATCCAAATCATAAACCTTCTAATGTATCAGCAGATAATTCAAATTCAATTAGTAATTTTAACAATAATAACGCCATTGGTACTTTATCAGATCTCAACAATAATAATTTGTTGGCTCATGAAAGTTGGTATTCCTCTAATCAAAATCAAATTCAAAATCAAAATCAAGGCCAAAATCAAAATGTCAATTCATTAGTTTCTCCTTCATTATCATCATCCACAGTCAGCTCTAATTCCCCAATGAACACTGTTCCTTCTACAAATACTGGGCCTCACCAATCCCAAGTTCAAGATGCTCAACACTCACTTCCTACTCCCCATGGATCAGCTATAAATCAAAATCAACTTCTGCTGAATAATTTTAATGGTGTTGATTTAACTTTCCCCGAATTCACCAATACGAATACCATTTCTTCTAACCCAGTCAATTTTAATTCTTTATTGGATGCAACCAATCCTACTGGTTCTACTACTATTACTCATGATGCCACTAATGGTGTGGATATCGGTCTTGTTGAACGTTCTCCTCATTACTCAGTTGGTTCTCCGGTAAATGCTACAACTTCAGCCCCTGTATCTGCAGGTGGTGTTTTCAATCATTCTGCTAAGAGTAACTCTCTTTCTTATGATTCCAGTAAAGCTTTGAGTACTGCAACTGCTCCAAGTCTTTCTAAGTTTGCTTCAACTAATTCAGTACCGGTGATTGATACTTTTTCGGACCCTAGCCGAAAACATAAGCTCGATGATGATACAGCATTGTATGGGAATGGAGGAACTCATCAAAGTAATAAAAGACCTCTGTATGAGTACTCTCCAACTAATCCAAACGGGACTGTCCAATTTCCTTATGTTTCGACTCCCCCTTTAAATGATTCTTTGCCTTCTACTGCTTCTTCACCTCCATATCAAAGAGGGACAGCTTCTTTGAATCAAGGTGTTTTGTCTAAGACTGTCTTTAGTGGAATAAGTTATAAGTCAAGGTCTAGTACTAATTTAACTCATAGAGGTCATTACGGATCACATGGTTCAAATAGTCCAACCCAAATAAACTCAAGTGCTTATTTAGCATCTTCCCAAAAAATTGATGATTCTGAGTTGATGATAATGTTAACCAGGTTAATTGATAATAGCAAACATTCTGACTCAGTTAAACTTTCTAGTAATACTGTCGATGAATTAAAAGTTAATTTGGCAGAACTACAAAACAAATACAGTTTAAGCAAACACGAAGGCTTCTCCGGTACCAATTAGCTTTCTTCTGTCATTCGATATACCATTTTTAGACTTCTCTCCTTTTTTTTAATTCTTGTTTTATTTTTCAATTACAGAAACGATGTCATGATGCTTAAAGAGTTCCTTTTTTCTTCTTCAGAAAGGTACAAAGTACCCCGATTTTTGTCTTTTCCTTCAATAGAGTATAAATTTGAAAGGAAAATTGTCATGTGTATTCTTCTATTCAATTTTTACTTGTTTCCTTTGAATGATCTGATTTCTTCTTTTTAGTTCTTCAGTTTATAGAATTTATTGATTAATATTGATCTTAGCTTTTACAAAAAAAAACTTTCATAAAAAAACATTGCACATTGAATCTGATATTTATATGATATGTAGTTCGAGTTAACTAACCTTTTATTTTATATACAAGAGTTGAGAAGACATCGTCATTAGAATTAATCGTGTAAAGAATATAACACCCCTAAGGATGCTTGCAAAGGAAAATCGCCACATTCCTACTTAAGCTCTTTAGCACTATCTTCATCATCTAGATCGATACCTAGTTCTCTAGCTTTAGCTTCCAATCTTTTTCTCTTTTCCATCCTCATTCTTCTTATCCTAGCAACTTCAGCTTGGATTTCATGAGGCTCTTTAGGAACTTGATTCAAAGTTTCAGGATCTGGCCAGTAACCTGGAAGATTGAATTTTCTCTCTGGGTTAAGACCAACATAGTACATAACAGCAATAGGTGTTAAAAGACAAAAACCGAACTATTTTAACCGTTAGTATTTACGTAAATAGTTAATGAATAAACGTAAAATAGGCTCATTTCCAAAGAGCTAGATAGCACATACCTTGAATGTCTCTAATTGAGTTCTGGTTATACCAGCAAAGAACCTTTGATAAGCCATTTTGGTCTATTCTTCTCTTTACTTAAAGAAAGAGTATGATTGGAAAACTGCCCATTAACTTTTTATCTTTGAAGGATATTTTTTTTTGATCAAAAGTATTCATCCGTACACCAAGTAAATATTCTTCAAAAAAGAAAAATCTTTCGAAACAAGAACACATCAATAACGTCAATTGGATTGAAGGTATACCCAATAGCTATCAACTTAATGTCTCAGTATACTGCAATTGAGTCAGACGAGGCACCATCAGGTCTCAACGCTAGCCGTGAAGCGAATACAGCTAACCCACCGACCAGGAACGCACAGGATATCACTGACCCTGCTAACTGGACTTTATATCAGAGATTGAAAGAATCATCCCATCCAGTAGCACTTTTGTTCTATATAACATTTAGGATTGCTCCAATTTTTATTTACATCTTTGGTAACCTTATACTTGGGTTTATTACAAAAAATAATAAGTTCATCTTGCATTTCATCATACTTGTTTTATTAATTTCAGCAGATTTTTGGAACTTGAAGAATATCAGTGGTAGACTATTAGTGGGTTTGAGATGGTGGAATGAAACAAACTTCGTTAAGAACTCACCCAATGGAGAGTTCGAAAACGTTTGGGTTTTTGAGAGCGCAGATCCAAATCGTATAATCAACCCAATAGATTCCAAAGTTTTTTGGATTTTATTATATGGACAACCTGCTGCCTGGATTGTTTTGGGGATTATGGCCATTCTCAAATTTGAATTTTTGTATTTGATTTTAATCACAATTTCTGTTTCCTTATCCTTGACTAACGCTGTTGCTTTCACTAAATGTGATAAATTTGGTAAGGCCAATAATTTGGCTACTGATTTGTTTTCCAGAGCTACAGGTGGTCTCTTAACGAGATTGAATCCTTTTGCATAATTAGAATCTTACATGAGTCCCCTACTCTCTTGATTATAATCAATATACATTAAACCGTTTATAAGATACGCGAGAACTGAGTCTCCGTTTCAATCTCATAGATCTTGAAGGCATTATTTCGGATTTGGTTTCCAGGTAGATAACCCCTGCCCCATCTTTCTTTTCGTCATAAGTTTTCCTACCTTTCACTATGCCCGACTCCATTCTTTCAACAAAAGCTTCATCCTCATAGTCAGTATTTTTGTCAATTGGTACTAAGATACCCTTTGCTGAGTTTACCTTAGTCTTGAAATTTGTAGTGTTGAAGTCGGAAAACTTAAAATTTTTGAATAAGCTCTTTCGATGTTGAAGTTTTACTGGAGCAGAAGAATTTTCTTTGTTCAGAACAGCTGATGGGGCTTTATTCGTGGTACTTGCTGATATCATCGAGTCATTTTTGTTAGTTTGTCCTTCTGTGCTATTCTCTGTACTAATTTGTATACTATCTTCGTACGACAAATTCCACAATGAATTGTCGTCCTCGATTTTTCCGAAAGTGTAATCTTGCTTGAAGCTAGTTAAATCAGATATAAGATTGTCAAGTTGACTATCCAAATCACTTAGTTTTCTTCTTTGAATACAACTGCCGTATCCTTTAAGCTTGTTCATCGTAGAATCCTCTCCTGAATGAAATGCAGAGATTGTTTTCTTTGCCATTGATATAAGAGTAGGCTCTTTTTCTTTTCTGGATACTTGTGAGTGTAGTTGAGGATTTGCATGCAAATAAGAATAATAGATTTCTTCAATTATTTCATCATAGTCTTCACTTTTCAAAGGTGCTGGGGTCTCTATCGAAACATTTGCTTGATTTTTAAAGCTTTTCATTTTGTTAAACATTCTAGACATCTTGCTTGAAGACTTCCGAGGCAATACACCTACATTTTCTAATGAATTATTGGGAGAAAGCTTGAATTCAGCTGTGTTGCAATGGGTCTTACTGAAGTTATTTTGAGAAGAAGTTAGACCAGATATGGCGTAGTTCGAATCGGGTGATGACTTACTCTTTCCACCCGGGGTAAAAAGGGTATGGTATTCAAACCTTGAAGACAACATTGGCCATTCGTTGTAAGAGGTAGAAGCATAACTCATCAAGTCATTTATAGAAGCATCAACTTGGTATATAAATATACTTTAGTATAAGATAAGCATATTTGTTTTGTGGATGGGCTCTATCTTTTGCCGCAAAAAAAAAAAAAATTCTATCGAAGAAGAATGCAACAAAAAGAATTATAAAGTTATTGAAGTATAAATTGAATTATCATCAATTTTGTATATGCAAAGGTATTATATAAAAATTAAATAATGGATTTATGAATCCCAAGGCTATTCTATGTGTTTTTTAAGAATGAAAAAGTGTTCCAATTTCTTATTCAAACCAGAATGGGTCTTCTTGTTGAGCATCAGTCCTGTGTCGTTCAATAGTTTCAGCTCATTAATTAGCTTTTTATCCGTAGCACCTGGCTCGCTATACATCACAATTGTTTCGTAGCGGTTGACTAAATTCTTGATCTCGTCTGAGCTTATGTCAACCTCGACACCTTTGAGCTGTTGCAGTTGGTATACAGAAGACACTTCTTCCGATTGCTTATAAACAATTTTCAAAATAAGTTGATTTAACATTAGATTCAAATCATTATTGTTCGAGATTTTGGTAACTGAGTTTTTAAGACCTTCAATTTTCACATTATGGGGCATTCTTTCCAAGATTGTAATGGGATCATAGTATGAGTTTGATTGGTCGTCGGCACATTCTATGAGAGCTTTGATGAAGTTTGGTTTTTGCACAGAGTAATCAAGAAGAATAGACCAGGCTTCTTTATCATTTTGGTGTTTAGCAAATTTTATTGCCTTCTCCGGATCGTCCAATTCATTTATGATTAGCATCAACGCTTTTTTGTTTTCGCCAATCTTACCCAATAAATAAACTAGTTCTTCGACGAAATCATTTTCCTCACAGAGTCTTATAGCTTCATCTATATCATATTTGCTATACTTGGTTAAAAATGGAAGAAGTTTTGGTCTATCAAAGTTGGCATATAGCTTTATTCTCTCGTTTCCGAAAGGATACGAAAGATACTCATCTACTGCTGCTAATTTTTCTAGGTAGAAGTAGTTTATAAATTCCAAATGGTTATCAAACATAAGCTGAATTATATCCCCTGTGGTAATTTCATGTCTGTTTTCAACCAAAATATCAATTATATCTGCTAATTTCTCACCCAAATCCTGAACTGGTAACTCTTCGATTTCTTTTGATTTAAACCGCAAAGTTATTATACGTGGAATATCATTTTTGAAATTTGTAAGTAGATGATTGGAGGCTAAAAATGAAATAAGATTATAATCACGTAGATGTATCAAATGAGGAACAGCCTTGATGGGGTTGAACGATTTAACGTACAATTCAGTTAGTGATTTCCTCAATTTATCATTCGAATCATCACGTTCCAACAATTCTTCCAATTTTGCTTGAATCAGTTTTATATCATAAAGGTCGGGGTCCCAATTAATAAGTCTATAAAAAGTGTCATTATCGTCAATTTTGGATAACCAGTATTCCAAAATAGTATTATATATGTTATGGGGTAAATTCAACTTGGCATTAGTCGGAATGATATCAGTTAATTCTTTAATATGATTTGATTTGATGAAGATGTCTGCCCAAATTGACCACTGGGAAGTCACTTCCTTAACATAGTTATCCATTTCCTCAGTCAGCAGAATATCTGAACGTCCAGTCAAAATGGTACTTTTGGTATCTGCTTCAGGTAAATCTTCTAAATTCAACCAAAGTAGTTCTTTTAGGAAATCAGACGCTTCTTCCCAATTATCTAAAGTGATTAAACTATCTACGTATTGGGTACCAAAATTGAGTCTTTTAATTGGGGAGACTAAATGTTGACTAATATTCCAAGCATCAAAGAATCTTCGTTTTTCGAGATACCAATTCAACCTATCATCCAATTGAGTCTCTTGAGCGATAACACCATCTTTCGCGCTCATGATAAAATAGCTAGGAGTCTTTTCGCCTATATGAGAGCCCAAAAGGTAATCATTTAATCCTAAACCTTGTATATTTTTGAGCCCAATTTCCTCCTCGTGTTCAATATCTCCTGATGCAGAGTTAACAAGCTTTAAATCTGGAGGTGGGAATGACATTTTATTAGTATGGGGATCCCTTTCCGGAGTATTATAAGTTAGAATCATCCATAGATCATCTTTGAAACTGGATATACCAGCAATTAAACTATCAAACTTGAAAATATGTTCGACTTCAATTTTTTTTTCCTGAACGGCTCGAAAGGATATGGTGTTTGATGACAGGAGTATTTTACTTTTAACTGACCGCGTTTGAGTCAGCACATTATCGCCATCATCTACTGACTTGATGGACACTCTTAAAGACCATATATGATCAGCCCATGCAATCAATATTCTATCAACTTCAGGAAAGTGTACTCTTGGCCAATATAAATCACTCCTAGGTGAATTGTCGGGTTTTTTTATTGTAGATATGACTCTTTTCGTTGTGATATGATAGACGGTAATACCAGCATCACTCATCCATAATATTAAGTCATCAATTTTTTGAATAGAAACAATTGGGCCCTTATCTTGATCGAGAATGACATCAGATCTTTGACCCAACCAGTTTTTAGAAGAATAAATAACTTTACCACTCATCCCTCCGCTGATGAAACTTCTACTTCTGTGATAATTCTGGTCCAATATGACCGCATGAATAGGTCTCTTGAAATCAAATGCAACAATGTCCTTCTCATCTTCAATTGAACCTATAACAATTGTACCGTCCATCGATCCTGATGCGAAGAATTTCCCATCTGTATATAAAGATAAAACAGATGCCCTGTGGGCCTTGAACGTCCTGATTGTAGTGAAATCAGGTCTTGTAATATGTATTAGACCCGAGTGAGTGGCGAATATGAAGACTGATTCGTGAAACGTACTGGTAGATAGAGCATCACGTACAAAAAAGTTGGCTGGAAGCTTATTCACCCGAATGTACTTTAATTTTGGAGGTTCATCTTCATCTTCGTCTTTATCTTCTTCATTGTCACTTTCTTCGGATAATTCTTCGTCACTTCCAATATCATAACTTTTATCCACCCGCGAACCAACACCATCAGTGGTACAAGAGTCAATCGTTGTGTCGGGATCTTCATTGACACTCCCACTATCATAACTCTCTGTATCCATTGTATTTCCATTAGGTAGCGACAGCTTTAGCGTTTCAATGGTATGATTATCGTCGCTTTCTGTACCAAAAGCCCTCTTCTCAGACACACCGTCGTCTTCTGCCATTGTGAAGTGTAGAGAAAGCTAGGATTACTTGATGCTCAATGACCTTATTATGAATTCCTTTCTTATCCCTCACTGGAAAACAAATTATGAAGAAACACAAACTAATGCGAGTGACTGATTATCAACTGTACCAAAAAAAAATTTGTAAAGCAGGTTAATCTCAACAATTTGAGCCTTTACTCATCTTCTTACCGATGCCTACTGCTACTAAAGGTGTGTTGGTTCAATGCGATCCTTCCATTAAAGCGTTGATTCTCCAGATTGATTCCAAGACACCGGGGATTGTTATTGAAGAGTTGGATGAGACTCACTTAATTATCAAGCAAGATCAAGTTCAAAGTATCAAGAATGATTTGAACAAACTACTTTCCAAGAATATCTACGACCCCTTTGACGAACAATAGTGATACGATGCAATTTACTGTTTATCGAAACGTATGGTTTGAAAGAGACTTCATGACTAATACATTTATTACTTAATGTTGTGCTGGTTCTTGTTCATTTGGAGAAATTGATTCAGGAAGAACTTCAGCATCATTTTCGGGTACTTCGTTCAATATATCTTCATTGAATTCGATTGTATTTTCCTTTTCATCGTCTTCATCGTATAGACCCGAGACTAATTCGTTGATGAAGTTTAAGAGGGTATCAACTTCCATGATGTCTTCGAAAGTTTTTTGAATGGTTTGATTTGTATGATTATTTTCCAAGGTTGTGTAAAACTTTTGATAGGTTGATAATATCAAATTTGATAAGCCATCCATTAAAAATTTGATTATTATAGTGTCATCAATAAATAATTTAATTTCTTTATAAATTTTAGGTAATTCAATTATAAGATTATCTCTGAATTTAAGAGTATTTTGTAATGGATCAGATAAATTTGATTTTTCATTTAAAATAGGTTCTCCGATTTTGTTGGCACATTCTGTGATGAATTCTTGAACTGCGTTATTAAGTTCTAATTCGATTTCATATTTAGCATCTATCATATTGTTAATAACTTTTGGAACAGATTTTTTCGCCAATTCAATAAGACCACCCTTTTCATTGATATTATAACTAAATTCACCTTTTCTGAAAATTTGATAAATTTCATTAAACCCACTGGTGAAATCAAGAGTGGTTTCAGTTCTCACATATTGTATATCAAAATTATTTAATTGATTCTGTAAGATGATTAAGTTTTTCAAGTAATACAATTTTGCTCCTAACGGACCAAGATAGCTCAATGCCAATTTATATGCACCAGTTTTCAAAATGTGAATACAACTGTGAACGATGTAATGAGCCAAGTCATCGAAAACTATTGAATTTAATAATTCATAAATATTCGATAAAATTGTTAGAGCTTTCCCCAATGGTAAATATAAGTCAGGGAAAAGATTTTGATCAAATTCGCTATCAAGAGGATCTTTGGTCGTCCCATTCGCTTTATTAGAGCTACTACTAATTCGTTTACGATAACCAAATTTCAAATCCTCGACTTTGGGCTTATAATTAGCCAATTTATCATCAACATAAATTTGAATTCTAAAAATGATTCTTGATTGGACATCACGAAGTATAGGCTCGAAAAGTTCTCCATAGTTGATTTTCAGAGAGTAAGAAGATGAGTACGTAGAATAATTGGCAGTGACCATAGACTGGGACAAAGATACATCATCTTCAAACTCATAATATTTCTGTAGTAAAATGGTGAGTTCGCATAAACTAACAATATTTGATTCTCTTAATATTTTATGTCGCAAGTCATCATATAACGGATCGATTAAACTTTTGAAATGGTCATAAAGGCCATTTTTCAAAAATACTTGCTGATGTTGAGGGTAGTCCAAGTACTTGAAAAATTTTGAAAATAAATTAAATTCTTTCTCGATAATGTTTTTAAAAAACGAGATATTATTTTGGCAATACTGGACTAATTCTTCCGGTGATTCTTTTTGATTCTTTTGTTGATTAATCTTATCCCATATGTATGGACTTAAAAATGTTAATCTCATTTTAAAATATTGCAGCAAAATGTCGTCTAATAAACCTTGATATTCATCATGATTGGGGATTCTCTTAACTATTTCACCAACTAGGTTTGGAAATTGATAAAAACGTTCATAGTCATTAGAATCATTTTCTTGTATGTGATCAGAAAACTCATTAAACAAAAATATATCCATAGTAAGGCTCGAATTCGAAGTATTAGTCTTATTTTTGGTTAAAGCTTCAGTTATCTTATTGTTAAGGCTTCTTAAATCTTCAATCAAATATGTCCGTATTAAAGTTAATGCTCTAGTAGTACATTGTCTGTATCTAATCTTGTAAAACTCATATTCTTTAAAATCAGAATGAAGATCGAGAAAACTGATGGATTCATCTAACTGGACTAAAATATCCCTGAATCTTTGTTTTTTTATGAAATAATTACCTGGTCTTGATAAGCTTTTTGTGATTGAATCTAAAGGTTCGAAAGCACTCATCAATACGTCAATATCCTCTATAGTTTGTTGGTATTTTTGTTGTTGATTCAATAATTCAGTTGACTGGTTAGCAAAATCCACGGTGTCTTTGGAAACCTTATTATACTGTATCGTCAAAGAATCTAAAGTGTTTAATATATACTTATTGTCATCGATAAGTTCATTAACGTTTTCGATATTGATCGCACAATTGTCGGCAAAGTTAAGAATAAAATCATCCGGGACTTCGTTTATTACAGCCAAATCATCGTGGTCAAGCACGCTATTGTAATTGTAAGTTTCAATATGGTTCAGCCATAACACTTCTGATTCTTTCTCACTAAACGGGAATAATACACATGACTGGTCATCCGAACTCGATGTTTCTCGGCTTGAATAGGAAAATGACTTGGACCTGCGTGAAACCATTAAGTTGGTAAGCGCATTTCTTGACAATTGATTTGCTGTTACGGTATTTTCAGCATTCTTTCCAATTGGTGAATCTTTCTTGGAATTATTGCCCAAGTTTAAAACTTCTTCCTCGTATGACGGTACATCACTAGCAATCTTTTGGACTATGGATTTGCTTCTTCCCCTAGGCATATTTATTGACTTCGAGTGACTCCAGCGCAATTAGAATTTAAGTGGTTTCACTGAAAAGGCCAGATCGATAGAGGTTTTGGAAAAAAAAAATATACTACTTTGGTTTCTATACACAGGACGTTGAGCCTATGGCAGCCTCCGTACATCTCGATCAATAGGTGTATTTTTTCCGTTTTCACTCACTGACTATTTTTCAAAAAGCCTGATAAATGGTTAAAGTCAGGCATTTTACCACGGTTAGATATGGAGGATCCAAGAGAGCATGTTGAGGATGATTACAATCAATTGACTGAGGACTCTAGTGACGAACTAGCTGATTTGGAGAAGGAGTTCGAGATGAAAAGACAGAAGATTCTTGCTAAAAAAGCGGCAGCTAAAAAATCAAAAAGAGAAGTTGAAGTAAATTCCACACCAACCAAAACTCCTAAGGTAGAAGGAGAGGGTGGGCTTGATAAGACAGTCAAATCCGAACCAGGGGCTATGGAAAATAATGCTGGTGAATCCTTACTTGTAGGTAGATCACCCGATATTAAGACTACAGATACTCTAAAGAAAGAACAAGGAAACAAACGTTTGAATAAAGAAAATGACAATAAGCATGCAATAAAACAAGGTGTCAGTACCAGAGAGAGCAATTGGAGGGATCTCGAGAAGTCGTATGAGCCCAATCCATATAAAACTAATCCATATAAGCCCAATCAATATAATACTAACCAGCATTCAAGGAAACCGGCACAACCAAGTAATTTTGCTGCTAAACTCCTAGCGGCACGACAGCTGGAAGATACCACTGCCAAAATCGACTATTCAGTACGTGAGTATTCCTTTGAAGGTTTACCTCCGAGAGAAAATATTCTGGTTGATGAAATAGACGTGTATTCGTCTTTGAAATTGATGAAAAGGTATATTAAGAAGGAAGATTTATTTGAACACTTGAAGAATGTGAAGATACTAAGAATTGATAAGTTGTTGGCCAAAGTTCAACCTCCAAAGTATGAGGAGCCTATGTATCTGAATTGGTGCTTTATTGGAATTTTATTACAAAAAAGTGAACCAAAATTGACTAAAAATGTTAATCCGACCAAATTTATGAGACTCACAATTGGTAATTTTAACAATAGCATAGAATTGATGATATTTGGAGATGCGTTTAATAAATATTGGAAATTACAAAAGGGAGAAGTTATCGGAATACTCAATCCAGAAGTTAAGAAATTGGGTAAAGGTTTTTCATTAGGATTGAAAGATAATAATGAGAGTATTATTGAAATTGGGTATAGTAAGGATTTTGGTTATTGTGAATCAACTACTAAGGAGCAGAAAAAGTGTCGAATGGTGATTGATAAAAGTAAAACCAGTCTTTGCATATACCATGAGAATCAGAAATATCAGATGAGTGGAAGAATGGAATTAAATGGGAGTGTAGGAGCCCGAAATCCAATTGAGCTAGAGAAGAAGCTAAACAGAAAACGAACTTGGGAATCAATAGAGAATATGTCAACATATAATGAAGTTACCAGTACTCACGTATCGTATGAAGGAGGCAGGTTGAGTAAAGATTATGATGACCCCAAGTTAATAGTTGATAATAAAACCAAACGGAAAAGACTAGATCAAGAAAGAAGTAATCAATTATTAGAGGCCAAATTAATGGGCTCTAAAAATTCTTTAGCTAAAACATTAGGTATTATAAAGAAGGAAGAAGCACGAGAATCAAATTTGAAAAAACAAGGTCTAGACGATCATAAACAAGCATTCAATAATTCATTATTAACCAAGATTGGATTTGATCCAACCATCATGCAAAATCAAAACCAAGTTGATGAAATATACAAAAGTCCAACCAAGAAAAGAAATGAATTATCAAAAGACTTAAAAGAATTATACGAAATCAGTAATAATAAACGAAACTCAAGAGAACTAACCAGCTCCAAACAAGAAAGGCTTGACAAAAGGAAAAAATGGAACGAGAATATTGAAAACTTACAAAAATATAAAGGAGTTCACAAGAAGCCTCCAGTATACGAGGATGAATCAAAGAATGAAGCATCACCAAGAAGAACAAATCGAGTCATATCAAGTGACGAAGAAGACGAAGTCCATGCACCCAAAGGTCGTCATTTGCTCAAGGAGGAAATGGACAACGAAGAAAGTTTGATAGATAACGACTCGGCCAGTGATGACAGCATCGAATTCGATATTGGTAATGATTTCTACAAAAACTTACTCAGAAAGTAGCCTCCCATGGAATCCATCCTCTCTTGCTCAAGAATAAGACGATCCAACGGTCTGTCTGGATGTGGGGACTCCAATACCCTTGGATTATCCATCAGGTACCCTTACACGAGTATACAAATTATTTTCACAAGATGGTCATTCTACAGACCCATCCAATGAAAGCTCCTACAATATGGATGATATGTACTATTCTTTCATATGACAAATACCTAGGGAGTGGGGATCATACAAGCAAGGGTATACTCAAAGACTAAATAAGTAAAAAAGGGACAAAAAAGATGGCCTGCGATATGGATCCCCCTCTTCAACGCCTAACAAAACAAAAAAAAAATTTTGTCAGAATGAGAAGAAGACAAACAAAGAAAGAAACGCACTGCTTTCAATGCAAATGCATATGGAAATGGAAGGATGTGAAGACGAAAATCGAACAGTGGTAAGCAAATGAGGAAAAATGGCCCAAAAATACTTGTTGGGATGGCAAGAGTTTGTACACTGAAGGATGAATTGAAAAAAAAAAAATACGGGTTAGAATCAAAAGGTGAAAGCAGGTTATTTCTCAATCCAATTCACATGAAAAAATTGATCTACACTATCATCCTAATATAAATGAATAAATATCCACATATTTTATAGACTAAAGAGGGATTTTAGAATTGGTTTTTTTCTTGTTAATAAGGGATTGTTTTTCTAGTTGACTCAGTTGGATAAGATACCTGAATATATACGAGGAATTATGTCTGCGGCTTCTGAACAGCTCAAGCAACATCTTGATGGGGTTGCACCCTATCTTACCCAATGGTATGTTTTGGTACCATTGGCGTTTTTGATTATATTTATTGCACATAAAATAAAGGTTTATAACTTTAAAAAGAAGTATGGATGTGAAGATTGCACGAGATATACCCAGGGTTTATTCATGATACCAGCTCTTATTGATTTATTGAAGTATAAGAAGCAAGGTTCAATGATTGATTATATTTATGAGATTTTCATTTCTACCGGTAACACTTTCTATATCAAGTTGGTGGGGGTTTACGTTCAGTTTACCGTGGACCCCGAAAATATTAAGGCAGTTTTGGCTACTCAATTTAACGATTTTGCCCTTGGTAGTAGACATGCTCATTTTGCTCCATTATTAGGAGACGGTATTTTCACCTTGGACTTTGAAGGTTGGAAAAACTCCAGGGCCATGTTAAGACCTCAATTTTCAAGAGAACAGGTTGCTCATGTTAAGTCTTTGGAACCTCATATTCAAAGATTGGCTAAGCATATTCGTAACTCTAAAGGTGATACCATAGATATGCAGGTTTTATTCCATAAGTTAACTATGGATACTGCTACTGAATTTTTATTTGGTGAATCTGTTTCAACCTTATCTGATGCATCTATTGGTGAAGAACCTCCAGTCAATTTTGAAGGTAGATTAGATTTTGCCGATGCTTTTACTATTGCTCAAAGTTATTTATCGACTCGTGCTTATTCCCAATTCTTGTACTTTTTAATTAATGGTCCTGAATTTAGAAAGGCTAATGCTAGAGTTCATAAAACCACTCAATATTATATTCGTGAAGCTTTAAAGACTGATCCTGAAGATTTGGAAAAAAAATCTGCTGGGGGTTATACCTTTTTATATGAATTGGTTAAACAAACCAGAGATCCAAAAATTTTACAAGATCAAGCTCTTAATATCTTATTGGCTGGTCGTGATACTACTGCTGGTTTATTATCTTTCACTTTACTTGAATTATCAAGAAATAAACGTATTTTTGAAAAATTGAAGAAGGAAATTTATGAAAATTTTGGTTCTGGGGAAGATTCCCGTCTTGAAGAAATTAGTTTTGAAACTTTGAAAAAATGTGAATATCTTAAGTTTGTTATTAATGAAGCTTTGAGATTATACCCTTCAGTTCCAGTTAATTTCAGAGTGGCCACTAGAGACACTACCTTACCTCGTGGTGGTGGTGCTGATGGTACTAAACCAGTTTATATTCCAAAAGGTACGACTGTGGCTTACTCGGTCTATACCACTCACAGATTGAAGGAGTACTATGGTGAAGACGCTCTTGAATTCAAACCTGAAAGATGGGCTGATATTAAGAGAATTGGTTGGGCTTATGTTCCTTTCAATGGTGGTCCTCGTATTTGCTTGGGTCAACAATTTGCTTTAACCGAAGCTTCTTATGTCATTACAAGATTGATTCAATTGTTCCCAAACTTGGAATGTAGGGATACTGACTACCCACCAAAGAAGAATGTACAATTAACCATGTGTTTACAAAATGGTTGTCAAGTTTCAATGTCTTGAGTTTATGTGTTTTGCAATCTTTGTTTTATTTATTCTTTTCATAACTTAAAATTAATGACAAAAAAATTGGAAAAAAAAAAAAAACATTTCCATAGTTATATTCATTATTTTTTATATATATTCCATACACATTGTAATTGTTAAGCAGTTTATTATTGTATTGGTAGCAAGGTTAATAATCACAAGTCGGTAATTGGGTGGGTAAGATGTCGCGGTGGAGCAAATGTCGTGGGCAGCCGGGGTCGCGACATTTCAACTGCTTTTTTAGCGATGAGTGAAAAATTACCAGTTCGTTAAAGTAAGCAATTGCTGAAAGATAATGTCAGATTATAAGAAACAAAAAACTGAACCTTCAATGCTTAGAATCTGTACTCATTCCGGTAGTTTCCATGCCGATGAATCTCTTGCTGTTTACATGGTGAGACTTTTGCCCCGTTATAATAATGCTCAACTTATAAGATCCAGAAATCCAACCGATTGGGAATCAAGCGATTTAGTGATTGATGTTGGAGGAAAATATGACGGTGGATCTAAATGGTTCGATCACCACCAACGTGAATTTAATGAAACTTTCAACTCGAACTTCCAAACCAAATTATCCTCTGCAGGTTTGATTTATAAACATTTTGGTAAAGAAATTATCCAACACGTTTTAAAATTATCAAATAATGAAGATATCGAATTATTATACTTAAAAGTTTATAAAGAGTTCATCGAAGCTTTAGATGCCAATGACAATGGTATCAACAATTATTCGAAAGAAGCTGAAGAAAACAAGAAATTCAGTGATAAAAATATTACTTTACCAGCCATAATATCGAAACTCAATCCAAGTTGGAACACTAATCCAACCGATGAAGATTTTGATAAGGCTTTTGAAACTAGTTCCAAGTTAATGGGTGATGTTTTCATCAATTTATTGGATGGCTACGGTAAATCTTGGTTACCTGCCAGATCAATCGTGGAAGATGCCTTTAATAATAGACTCGACGTTGACAAATCGGGTGAAATCTTGGTTTTGGGCCAATTCTGCCCTTGGAAAGAGCATTTATATCAAATTGAAAAAGAAAACGATGCTCAAGGTCTCATCAAATTTGTTTTATTCAAAGATTCTTCCGACAAATGGAGAATCTCAACCGTTTCGGTCACTTCTACTAGCTTTGAATTTAGATTGGGCTTACCAGAAGCTTGGAGAGGTATCAGAGACGAAGAATTATCCAAACTCACTGGTGTCCCTGGTTGTATTTTTGTCCATGCTGCCGGTTTCATTGGTGGTGCAAACTCCCAAGAATCGGTCTTGGAACTTGCCAAAAAGTCTTTGGCCGCTGCTAAATAATTTTTTTAGTTATTTATTTACTTAGTTATTTATTTTACTTAGTTATTTATTTTACTTAGTTATTTATTTATTACTAGTTCTTCACTCATTAACCTGTAGGTCCGTGCTAATATTGTAAATATTAGTATTCATTCAGTTTTAGCCAAGTAAGTCTCGATGCCCAATTGCTGCAAAACGTGGTACAGCCGTCTCGATCTCCAACAAGATCCTCCTCCATCTCTTCTACAATAACCACCACCAACTGCTTACTTGTAATGAACTCTACCTAGTGGTCTTATCTTGAAAGATTCCGGCTTATCTCTATCGTCCTACGAAAAGAGGAAAAAAAAATAAAAAAAATGCACAAAAAAAGGCTTCTCTACCGCATCATCACCAAAAAAAAAGCTTTTTTTTTGCTACATCGACTGGAAAATTATAAAAGGCTAAACGGTTCCAGCCGGGTCGTTTTCTGTTTCAATTTTTTTTTTCAAAATTTCTTAGTGATTACTGCAAATTTTGATCGTTTCACGTTTTGCAAAGGTTTGCTGTTGACTTTCGTGGCCACGATAACATATTTTAGATCAATTCCTTATTGATTTACTCGTGGTTCTCTTCTTTCTTTTTCAAAAATTTTTCGCTAAGTTTTCAAAATAAAGTCTTCTAGCTCGGTATCTCGACAATCAGAACAAGATGTGCCTTATGTTAGTGATGAAGTTGAAGTTCAAGGCGGTCAAGAATCGAAGTATGTAAGAGCTGATGCCTATGAAGAACCGTATCGTTGCTCTATTCAAGATGTTGCCGAAGCATATAAAACTAATTTAGATTATGGGTTGACCAATGATCAAATTGGAGACATTCGTAACAAATATGGTGCTAATAATTTAGGGAAAGAACAGAAAATTTCTGTTGTGGCCATTTTTGCCCATCAAGTCTTCAATGCAATGATTTTGGTTTTAATTATCTCCATGGTTATTGCTTTGGCTATTAAGGATTGGATTTCAGGAGGGGTTATTGCTTTTGTTGTTTTCATTAATATCTTTGTTGGTTTTATTCAAGAATTTCAAGCAGAGAAAACTATGGGATCTTTACGTTCCTTAAGTTCTCCAACTGCTAGAGTTTTGAGAAATGGTGAAGAAGCGGTTATTAATGCTGAAGATGTTATTCCTGGTGATATTATTCATATTAAAGTTGGTGATACTGTCCCCGCTGATATTAGAATTGTTGACTCCATGAATTTGGAAACTGATGAAGCGTTATTAACTGGTGAATCTTTACCAGTTGCTAAAAATCATAAAGAATGTTACTTTGATACTTCTGTTCCAGTTCCTGTTGGTGATCGTTTAAATATGGCTTACTCTTCCTCGATTGTTTCTAAAGGTCGTGCTTCTGGGATTGTTGTTAGAACCGGTATTTCGACTGAAGTTGGTAAAATTGCTGATTCTTTAAAATCTCACGATAATAAAGTATTTGTTAAACCAGATGAAAATACTAGTTTCTTCCTGGCCGTTTGGAAATCGTTTCTTAATGTGATTGGAAATGTTTTAGGTACTAACGTTGGTACTCCATTGCAAAAGAAAATGTCATGGTTAGCCATTATTTTATTTTGGATCGCCGTTGTTTTTGCTATTGTTGTTATGTCTACTCAAAAAATGGATGTTAATAAACAAGTTGCTATTTATGCCATTTGTGTTGCCTTATCTATGATTCCTTCTTCTTTGATTGTTGTTTTGACTATTACTATGGCTATAGGTGCTCAAGTTATGGTTAAAAGAAATGTAATTGTCAGAAAATTGGATTCATTAGAATCTTTAGGTAGCGTGGATGATATTTGCTCGGATAAAACTGGTACTCTAACCATGGGTAAAATGATTGCTAAAAAACTTTGGATTCCTGGACTTGGAACTTATGCTGTTTCAAACTCTAATGAAGTTTTCAATCCAACAGTTGGTGATTTATCGTATAATAAAAATTCTCCTCATTACATAAAAGAAAGTGATGAAGAATTTGATTTTACTACTAAATTACCTTCTCCTGAACCATCTCGTTTCAAGAATTGGCTTACCACTGCAACATTGGCAAACATTTCTACTGTTAACCAAGTTACAAAAGAAGATTCAAGCGAACGAGTTTGGGAAGCTCATGGTGATGCTACTGAGATTGCTATCAATGTTTTCACTACTAGATTGAATTATACCAGATCTAATTTGATTGAAGATGAATCTTTGGAGCATATCAACGAATTTCCATTCGATTCCTCCACTAAAAAAATGTCTGCCATTTATGCAAAAAAGAATTCTTCAACTGCTACTGTTTATACCAAGGGGGCTGTTGAAAGAGTCTTGAGTATTTGTAAATATTGGTATGGTGTTAATGGACCTTCAAGTCAAACCGAATTGGTTCCTCTTTCTGAAACTGATAAGGAATTAATTGAGGCTAATATGAATGCTTTATCTATTGAAGGTTTGAGGGTTTTGGCTTTTGCTCAAAGAGAATGTAATATGGATAAAGAAAATACCCAGAGCCGTGATGAAATTGAATCTAATCTTATTTTCATTGGTTTAATTGGTATTTATGATCCTCCAAGACCCGAAACAGCACATTCAGTTAAACTATGTCACCGTGCTGGTATCAATGTTCATATGTTGACTGGTGATATGTTGGGAACTGCTCGTGCCATTGCTCAAGAAGTTGGTATATTACCTCGAAATCTCTATCATTATGGTGATGATGTTATTGCTGCCATGTGTATGACAGCTAATGAATTTGATTCTTTAACTGATGAACAAATCGATGCTCTTCCTATTTTACCTTTGGTTGTTGCTCGTTGTGCTCCTCAAACTAAGGTTAGGGTTATCGAAGCATTACATCGCCGTAAGAGATTCGTAGCAATGACTGGTGATGGTGTGAATGATTCACCATCTTTGAAGAAAGCTGATGTTGGTATTGCTATGGGATTAAATGGTTCTGATGTCGCTAAAGACGCTTCAGATATTGTTTTAACTGATGATAATTTTGCTTCTATTTTAAACGCTATTGAAGAAGGTCGAAGAATGTCTGCCAATATTCAAAAGTTTGTTTTGCAACTTTTAGCTGAAAATGTTGCTCAAGCATTATATCTAATTATCGGGTTAGCATTTAAAGATCATGAAGGATTTTCTGTATTTCCATTATCTCCTGTTGAAGTATTATGGATTATCGTAGTAACTTCTTGTTTCCCAGCTATGGGGTTGGGTCAAGAAAAGGCTAGTTCAGATCTTCTTGATGTTCCACCTACCAGCTCTATCTTCACTACTGAATTAATTATTGATATGTTTGCTTATGGTTTCTGGATGGCATGTTGTTGTTTAATTTGTTTTGTGACAATTATTTTTGGCAAGGGAAACGGCGAACTAGGTACCAATTGTAATGACTCTTCAGGATCTAGTTGTGACTTAGTTTTCCAAGGACGTTCTGGTGCTTTTGCTGCATTTACCTGGTGTGCCCTTTTATTATCTTGGGAATGTCTCCATATTCGTTTTTCCTTCTTCAGAATGAGACCAGAACTGGAAAAGCCATGGTATAGCCAATTAGCTGGTGATTTATGGGAAAACCAGTTCTTGTTTTGGTCAGTTATAGCTGCATTCTGTTCAGTTTTCCCCGTTGTATACATACCAGTAATTAACGATATCGTATTTTTGCATAACCCTATTGGATATGAATGGGGGGTTGCAATTGGATTTACCGTATTGTTTTTCATCGGTTGTGAAGGCTGGAAATGGTTCAAGAGAATCTACCTTCGTAAATTCACTTCTAATCCACATATTGGATCAACTGAAAATGACCCTTTCAAAGAGTACTCAACATTTTCAAAATCCAATACCATGGATGTTTAAACTATTTCCTATTTCTGATATTTTTAATTCTTGATTGATATTTGCATTAACGAAGGCTGTGATCAATTAAAGTACAAATCTTTCATTTTTGTTTTTTTGTCAGAATAATAATTCCTTTCAAAGGGAATTTTGCTCTGTCTATTTTTTTTTAGAGAAAGTTTGTAACTAATTGATTTATCCCTTTGTAATACAGAATACATAATATTATAAGAGCGTTTTGTAAGATTCAAGTATTGCTAGGTATATTTTTGTCCGATTTCTCTTATTTCTCCAGCAAATTGCTGAATATTCCTCGGTATGCAGGGAGCAAGAACGGTGAATAAAGTAATCCTCTGAATCCCGGTGTAGAGAGATATCCGTAGTCGTTTTAGCTGCCAAATGAGATAAACTTTGCTGCATGCCATACTTTCTATTGTTTTATGCAAGCCTAACGGAATATCTTAATAGAATCTACAACTCTAAAGTTTTAAAGAACATTATATCATTACATCAATTTAAGTAAAAATCTATTTGTTAGCTTCAATAATTTGTTTGAGGGTGTCAACGGTGGTACCTTCCAAATTAATGAAATCAAAACCCAAAATTTTTCTTGTCTTATCGTTAACAACTTTAGCACCAGTAGAAGAACCTTCACCTGGATTACCAATAGGTAAACGATCAGCATATTCAGGGAATTTAGAATGTAAGATATCTAATAATTGTTGAGAAGAAAATCTGTCGTCAGTTAAAAGCAATCTTTCTTCTTTAGCAGCGTCAGACTCAAAAGCAACAATGTGAGCTTTAGAAACGTCTCTAACGTCAATGTACAAACCTTTATATGGAGGAACTGAGTCGGATTTATTTAATTTCAATAAACCGTTAATGATTTCTGCAGAAGTGTTCAAAGTACCACGGACGTCTTCATCAAAGGCTTGAGGACCGAAAACGTAGACTGGATTAACCGTGCTGAGAATGAAGTTTGGTTTTTCGTTCTTGTAGAAATCCCAAGCAGCTTTTTCGGCAAAAGTCTTGGAACCGTAGTAACCCAAAATTGGATTTTCTAAAGCTTTTTCCCAAGTAATTGGGTTCCAGGTTTCTTCACTAATGGTAAGAGAAGTGTCGACATCGGCTTCGGCAGAACCAATGGCAGCGTAAGAAGAAGTAACAACAACTCTCTTGATTTGAGGACCGTATGCTTTAATAGCTCTCAATGCATTGGTGGTACCTTCAATGGCCGGGGTTAAAAGTTGTTTTTCAATATCAGTAACGTTAAAGTGGAATGGAGATGCAGTGTGCAAAAAGACACTAACTTCCGGGTGTTTTTTCAATGCTTCATCAAAAGCACCTTTAACAGCAATATCTGGAACAACTTCATAACTGAATTTTTCACCCAATTGCTTAACCAATTTATCCCCTTTGGCTTCAGATCTAACTGAACCAACAACGGAGTAACCTTTATTAATAAGGTCTTTAACGGTGTGCAATGCAATATAACCAGTAGCTCCCAGGACAAAAACAGTAGTAGACATCTTCAATTGAAATTATAGTGGTTACTTCTCAAAATTCCTCTCTCTACGGAGAGCAAGCTGATATTTATACCCAACCAAGGCCATCGCTTCGGATTTCTGCCGACTTTTCTTCTTTCTTTTTCTGTTTGCTATTGTCCGACTTTGACGTTTCCGGACTTACTTAAACCGGTAAGCCCGGCAACGTCCACACCTCACTTCCTCTTTGGGCTAGCTCCGGCAGCCACTTTCTTCTTTTTTCTTTTTTTTTTTGTTCGATGGGTTTCGATTGAGAAATGCTGATTAATATAAAGACTTCGTCTGTGAACGACGGCCAGAGTATGCCAATGAGCCAGACGTACTTTAAATGAAGTTAGCGAATATATAAGTAAGCCTGCTTCTATCAAGACAAAAAAAAAAAATGGTTTTGCAGCTACGCTCCATGTGTAAAGCATTACTAAAAGATTTCGCAACTTTCACTTCAAAATAACCTTTTTCTTTTAAAAGCCAATTTGGAGTTTATCAGATGAAACCGTCTGGTTCATGCAAACTTCCACCCCAGGGAAATACCAATCCGGAATCTAGTTCCACCACTCCGTTGAAGACATGAAATTTGTCAGGTTGAAGCATTCGGATGCTAGCCTTGGCTGGGGAAACTAGTCCGCGGTGGTTCGTGATAGGCTTGAGAGGTTGTTTCCAGCAGCATGGATTTATGTCCGCTAATTGAACTGCTGAAAAAGATACTAAACAGCGTATATCCCTCTTTATTCATGAAGCTGCCTCAACAGTTGGTTCACTGTTTTATTTTATTTTTTTTTTTCAGCAATTGAACGGAAGTTGACAATGGTCGGTTCTGTCTTTGACCGGAAGTCCCCCACGGTATAACTCCTACTGCCAATCAACAAAGCCAACGTAAGTTCCTACACCAAGGGAGTGACGTGAAATTAAAAATGATTGTTGTTGTAAGGGGATTGAATGCAGAAAACGGAAGGAAATTTATAGTGTAATTAAGCAATTGTTACCGGACTAGATCAATGGGTCAGGTCGGATTTAGTTTGAAGGAGAGATTATATACAGTGTCTTTTGGTATGAGCTTTTCGAAGTACTTAAGTCGGTGATACGCCATTTTACAATTTTTTATATCCATATTTTATCAATTGAACTACAATGTCTATTTTCCATCTTTCGTCGTTTCCTCCAGCCAGAAGAACAAAAGTGACCCGAGCTTGTGACCCGTGTAGGAAAAGAAAGGTCAGGGTATGGCAATTCATTTCAATCTCATTTTAGATCGAATTGATGTACTAACTAATTTTTTAGTGTACTGGAAGAGCAGTTTGTCCCCGATGTATGGAAAGAAATCTTAATTGTACCTTTACAATTGGTGATTTAAGGAGTTCCAGAGGCGCTAAATCTAAAAGACTAAATCCGGGGGCTGATGGTAAAAAAATTGAATGTATTGAGGTATCTCGAGCAATTTCTGATTCAGGTGGTAATGTTACTGTTTTACCATCAATTGAGGATATCTTTAAACAATTGAATATTGAGTTGGTATCATTTATGAAGAATTCCGGTGAAAATGGTCTACCGAACATGAATGATATAATGAATGCTCTTCTGAGAGCTCATTCAAAGACTGATTTGGAAGCCATTGATAAATCTCCCCTTAGTGATCTTTTAATCACACCCCCTTGTTCTGGAGGATCATACCGTGGGTCAAACGAATGTTTCTTCTCAATTGACAATAATAAACTCATGTATCTGGGATTTGCAAATTGTGAATCAGTGGTACAAGAAACCAAATTTATCTTTAGAAATATCATCGGAATAACTAAATTTGACTCGGTAGAGTTTGATCCTATTAACGATATCGTTATTGAACCAACCATTGAGTTTCTAGAAACAATTCCGGAGAAACACATTTGCATTCAAGCCTTTAACACATTTGTCATTTATGTTCATTGGCAAGCGTATCTTTTCGATGAAGAGGATTTCCGTCGAGAAATTGATGAATTATTTCAGAACTCAAATCAAATTAAAACAAGAGTCCTTCTTTACTTTATTTTGGCCATCTCAACCCTTGTTCATAGCCACGATGCCGGCAATTTCATCTGTGATCAAGCAGTAAACTATTTCAAAAGTGCTGTGAAGCTTAATACAACAATAAAAGATCAGGATGATTATTGGCTAATTTATTTCAATTTCTTCCAAGCTTTGTTTTATATCTATACAAACAAGTTTAAAACAGCTTGGCTTTTCGTGGAGAATGCAATCAAGAGTGGTGAGAAATTGAATATTCATAAACTTTCAATTGATCATCCAAACTATGATCATCTTGTGAATTTATTCAGAACATTGTATTATTATAATAAACTGACTGCTATAACTGCTGGTAAACCAGCATTGTTTTTGAATGAAGATTGTCATGAATTTACCCCTACAAATCAACAATATGAAATTTCAAGGTTTGCTAAAACTATTAAATTTGATAGCACTGAAAGAATTAATTACATCACAAACCCCGATAATGATCAGCTTTTCAGATCAAAAGTTTATTTTTATCGAACTCAATTATTAAGAATTGCAACTAAAATAGACAATTCAGTGTACAACAATTCGGAAATTAAAGTATCAAAATTTAAAACCCTTGCCGTAGAATTAAAAGAATGGTATGCAAATCTTCCTCCAGATTTAAAAGTTGAAAATTCATCTTCTGGGAATTCAGAAGATGAAATTAAACATCGTTATGCATGTCTTCATTTAAATTCGGTTCACTTATATGCTATTTTCTTATTAAGTCGACCTTTATTGATGTATGAAAGAACTTGCCAATTTACCCCAGAAATAAGAAATAGTATACCTTGTGAATTTGTTGGTGAATTTAAAAACGCTGCAGTAACCAGTTGTGTTTCAATGATAATCGCAATTATCTGTTCCGATTCAAAACAAAATTATAGAAAATTGGAACGGAATATTTATTTTAAAACTGCTCTTTATGCATGTTCAGTATTGGGAATTTGTTTAATTGAAGATTTAGATGTACGATATATGGAATACTTAAAGATTGGTTTATTATTTTTCAAATTGCATATAAATAAAGTACTTTTCGCTAAAAATTATGCTTATATTTTAGAAGAAATGATTATTACCTTATCATTATATCATTCAAGTAGGGATAATGATGAATTAATTGAAAACTTGATGTCTTTGAGGCTAGATAATTTACAAGATGAAAATTACCCCGATCTTAATTATATTGCATGGGCTGATACTCAAAATAATTTTGTCACCAACGAAATAGCATCTATACGGGAAAAGGATCATTTAACGAAATAAGGTGTATTAAAATAATAGTAGAAAGAAAAAAAAAAAAGTTAGAAAACGTCATTTTCATAAGGACAATTAATACTACTGTGACCATCTCTTTCACATAATCCACACCAATCATCTTTACCGGCACTTGGATCAATGGGGGCAGCTGGTTTATAAATTGGTAAACCATCCAGACTATTAGGGGCAATGTTCTCCGACTCCAATTGAATCAGAGAAGATTGATTCAATTCTTGTAAAGTTTTTATTTTATCTTCCAAGTCTATATTTTTTTGTTTGAAATCATTTAATTGATTTTCCAAATCTTTATTTGATTCTGATAAAGAATTTATTTGAGTTGATTTGGTATTTAACTCATTTTCATGTAGAGTATCTAATTCATCCAAAGACTTTTGTAAATCGGAGAGTTCTTCAAAAGTAGGTCTAATTTCTAATTGGTGATTTAAATCATCTATTTTATGATTAAGTTTAATAACTTCATCATTTGAATCAGATAATTTTAAAGAATTTAAATCATTTGATAATTCTTTAACATTTTCTTTATCATTTGAACTATCTAATTTAATTTCTAATTCAGTTATGATTAAATCTTTCTGTTTTAATTTTTTTTGTAAATCAGTAATGGTGAATTCAAAAGAAGCTTTATCTTGTTTTAATAAATCAATTTGATATTCTAACTCTTCAATTTGTTCAGAGTTTTCACCGTTATCAACTGATTTAGTAAATTGATGATAATTTGATTTTGAAAATTCATCTAAATCATCTTGAGTTTTAGATAATTTTTCTTTATAATCAAGAATTTGTAATTCCAAACTTTGTATTTTAGCAGTGTAATTTTTCTCTAATAAATGATGTTCCAGATTTAAATCATGAATAACTAAATTTAATCTTTCAATTTCTGATTCATGATCATCTCCATGATAAATTTTTTTTGATGATGAATTTGAAGTTGGAGTGGTTATTTGATTATTATTTGATATATCATCTTTTTCTTTTAAAAGTCGTTCAATATATTCTCTTAATTCTCTAAATTTTTGATCGTATAAAATTTCAGTTTCTTCATGGGTATTAACTAATAATTGAATACTAGATCTCCATTCTTCACGAGCTCTTTCAAATTCTGATTTTTGTCTTGATAATTTTTTATCCTTTTCTGAAATATCAATTTCGTATTCTTCTAATAAAGGTTGTAAATCATTAACTGTAATTCTCAATTCATTTAATATTTCCATTTTTTCATTCATTTCTCGTTCATTTATATCATATTTTAACTTTAAATCATTATATTCTTTTTGTAATTTCTTGATATCCATGATTTCAGTTGGTAATGGTGCATTTTGAGGTAATGATGAAGTATTTAATTGTGGCGATGATATTGGTGAATTAGTATATCTCAGATCTCTTTTTTGAATATTTATTGATTGTTGAGTTGGACTATATGATAATCTTTGAAACGATCCCAGTCCAACCCTTGGATTTACTTTATTTGGGGATGGACTTATTATATTTTCACTTGCTGGTGAATCAGGTATACTATCGCTACTTAATCTTTTCTTGTTTAATGATGATGTTGATGATAGACTATTACGTAACCCATTCGAACCACTGGATCCTCCAATTTGCGGATTGGCCTGTTTTAATCGATCAATTGGTAGGAAAAGCCCCGACATTGGTTGAATAACATCAAAATACTGAATCCCATTAACTGATCCGTTATTTTTACCTCTTGAAGCAGCAATTGGTCCAGTTAATTCAATACCAGCGAAAAGACCTTGTTTCCCTTCTATTGGTCCATAATACTTCAATGTCCCATAACCACGAGTTCCTGGAATGGCCACTTTCGACCCAATATACTCCGACATGTCGATGATTTCAATAAGAATGAAAAGTTCTATTACTTGGAAGATCAATCAACAAGCTTTGTTTATTTATTTTCCTCGCGATTTCGCGTAAATTAGTCAAACTCTTGAGATGTATATATATATATATATATATACTATCACTCATGTATATATATTATATATACCCTCATATATATATATATATATACCCACACATACACATATTTATAATCGGCGTAACTTTATTCCATTGTTGATATTGTTCGCAATCGTCTATCAGGATTACTGACATAATGGCTCTGGTTATCCCATTGAAAGAGTCGCGGTCTACATAGCACAACCCGTCGGCGATTGGCCTTCGAGGGTCTTTCCACATATGGTGCGTGGTGAGCCCTTGATTTATACAAGTGGGAAGGAGTAAGAAGAAGTAGCAGAGAAGGGCCGTAAACATCACCGGATGTACGGGTGCAATATCCACTGTCGATCACGTGCGCGCATCGTGCGGGTAACCCATCCACACAATTTTTTTCGTTCAGCGTATTTATGAGCACGGCCTTATTGAACTTACTTGGTTACGCACGTATCATAGATAAGCGGACGATACGATTTGGCCCTGGGCCTCAGAAGACAGCATTGAGTGTCGGTGGGTGTCGCTGGCGGTTGTTTAATTGGCAGGCAATGACAGGCACGGTAAGGGCCCGTGGCACTGGTGGATAGAGAGTCTCCCGTAGTCAAACCAGAGGATAACCACCAAAAAGAAACGCTTTTGTTCTGCGAAGAGCAGGGTGAAAATTTTTTTTTTTTTTTGGCAAAAATTTTTTTTGGTTTGTTAGCGAAGGTGTCTAGCTTTTTGTATTGAGATGCTCAATTAAATATTTAAAACGTTTCCCAAAAAATTTTCTATTGAAATTTCTTCTTCTCCTTTTTCTTTCAATCAACGTTGGAAAATGTCTGCTGCCAGTGAATCCAAATACTCTGCTGAAGTTCTTTCCGAGTTATTAGGCAAATTACAAGTTGCTGATAACAAGGATGAAGCTGCTGCTAATGTTTCTTCTTTCTTAAATTCTTCAATTGTTGAACATGATGTTCCAGTTGAATTTTTTGAAGATTTGAAAAAACAAATCAACAACAAGAAAGATGCTTCTGCTTCTGCTGCTGCTTTAAATGCTTACTCTCATATTGCTTCTTCAAATGGTTTGGCTCCATCTGTTGAACCTTATGTTGTTGCTTTAACTTCTGACGTTGCTGCCAAATCTGGTGATAAAAATAAAGATGTTCAAACTGCCGCTTCTGACGCTTTATTAGCTCTTGCTAAGGCTATCACTCCAACTGCTGTCAAGAGTTTATTACCATCTTTATTAGAAAACTTGGCTAACACTAATAAATGGACTGAAAAAGTTGCCATTTTAGCTGCTATTTCTCAATTAGTTGATACTGCTAAAGCTCAAATTGCTTTAAGAATGCCGGAATTAATTCCAGTTCTTTCTGAAACTATGTGGGATACCAAAAAGGAAGTTAAAGAAGCTGCTCATAAAACTATGACTAAATCTACTGAAACCATTGACAATAAAGATATTGAAAGATTTATTCCAAAATTGATTGAATGTATTGCCAATCCAACTGAAGTTCCAGAAACCGTTCACTTATTAGGTGCTACCACTTTCGTTTCTGAAGTTACCATGGCTACTTTATCTATCATGGCTCCTTTATTATCAAGAGGTTTAGCTGAACGTGAAACTGCTATTAAACGTAAAGCCGCTGTTATTATCGATAACATGTGTAAATTAGTCGATGATCCTCAAGTTGTTGCTCCTTTCTTGGATAAATTATTACCAGCTTTAAAAGCTAACTTCTCTACTATGGCTGATCCTGAAGCTCGTGAAGTTACTAACAGAGCTTTGAACACTTTAAGAAGAGTTGGTAACATTGGTCAAAATGATACTATTCCAGAAATTTCTACCGCCGGTGATATCCCAGTTACTTTAGGTGTCTTTAAAGAATTATTAAAGGGTAAAAACATTGCTCCAAGATTTGATACCGCTTTAACTTATATTGGTGCCATTGCTGGTGATTTAATTGATGAAAGAGAAATTCAACCAGATGCTTGGTTACACACTGTTTTACCTTTTGCTACTATTTTCTTACACGAAAAAGAAGCTAAAGAAATCATTGAAGAATTCAGAAAGAGAGCCGTTGATAACATTCCTCAACCTCCTTCTTTTGAAGATGAAGAAGATGAAGGTGAAGATTTATGTAACTGTGAATTCTCTTTAGCTTATGGTGCTAAAATCTTATTGAATAAAACTCAATTCAGATTAAAGAGAAACAGAAGATATGGTTTATGTGGTCCAAATGGTGCTGGTAAATCTACTTTAATGAGAGCCATTGCTAATGGTCAAGTTGAAGGTTTCCCAACTCAAGAAGAATGTAAAACCGTTTACGTTGAACATGATATTGATGGTACTCATGCTGAAACTTCTGTTGTTCAATTCGTTATTGAAGATGGTGAAGTTGGTTTAACTAAAGACACTGTCGAAGAAAAATTAAGAGAATTCGGTTTCTCTGAAGAAATGATTTCTATGCCAATTCAATCCTTATCTGGTGGTTGGAAAATGAAATTAGCTTTAGCTAGAGCTGTCTTGAAAAATGCTGATATCTTATTATTAGATGAACCAACTAACCATTTGGATACCGTTAACGTTGCTTGGTTAGTTAACTACTTACAAACTTGTGGTATTACTTCCATTATTGTTTCTCACGATTCTGGTTTCTTAGATAAGATCTGTCAATACATTATCCATTACGAAGGTTTCAAATTAAGAAAATACAAAGGTAACTTATCTGAATTCGTTCAAAAATGTCCATCCGCTCAATCCTATTACGAATTAGGTGCTTCTGATTTAGAATTTAGATTCCCAGAACCAGGTTTCTTAGAAGGTGTTAAGACTAAACAAAAAGCTATTGTTAAAGTTTCTAACATGACTTTCCAATACCCAGGTACTTCTAAACCTCAAATTCGTGACATTAACTTCCAATGTTCTTTATCTTCAAGAATTGCTGTTATTGGTCCAAATGGTGCTGGTAAATCTACTTTGATTAATGTTTTAACTGGTGAATTATTACCAACTGAAGGTGATGTTTACGTTCACGAAAATTGTCGTATTGCTTACATTAAACAACATGCTTTCGCTCATATTGATAACCACTTGGACAAAACTCCTTCTGAATATATTCAATGGAGATTCCAAACTGGTGAAGATAGAGAAACCATGGATAGAGCTTCTAGACAAGTTAACGAACAAGATGAAAACTCTATGAAAAAGATTTTCAATGTTGAAGGTACCCCAAGAAGAATTGCCGGTATTCACTCCAGAAGAAAGTTCAAAAACTCTTATGAATATGAAATTTCTTGGTTATTAGGTGATAACGTTGGTATGAAGAACGAAAGATGGGTTCCAATGATGTCTGTTGATAACACTTGGTTACCAAGAGGTGAATTAATGGAAACTCACTCTAAGATGGTTGCTGAAGTTGATATGAAAGAAGCTTTAGCTTCCGGTCAATTCAGACCATTAACCAGAAAAGAAATCGAAGAACATTGTGCTATGTTAGGTTTAGAAGCTGAATTAGTTTCTCACTCTAGAATTAGAGGTTTATCTGGTGGTCAAAAAGTTAAATTAGTTTTGGCTGCTTGTACCTGGCAAAGACCTCATTTGATTGTCTTGGATGAACCAACTAACTATTTGGATCGTGACTCTTTGGGTGCTTTATCTAAAGCTTTGAAAGCTTTCGAAGGTGGTATTGTTATCATTACTCACTCTGCTGAATTCACCAAAGATTTAACCGAAGAAGTTTGGGCTGTCTTAGATGGTCAAATGACTCCATCTGGTCACAATTGGGTCCAAGGTCAAGGTTCTGGTCCAAGATTGGAAAAGAAAGAAGATGAAGAAGATAAATTCGATGCTATGGGTAACAAGATTGCCGCTGCTAAGAAGAAGACTAAGTTATCTTCTGCTGAATTAAGAAAGAAGAAGAAGGACAGAATGAAGAAAAAGAAGGAATTAGGTGATGCCTACGTTTCTGAAGACGAAGAATTCTAAGTGTGAGTTGGAATAAAATTATATATTAAATTACTTTGTTTATTTTCATTGATTTTTAATTCATTTTTTATTTTACTTTCACTTTTTTTTTTTTTTGTTGGTCTTCATTTACACCTAAACTGTTAATAAATTTATATAAATCTATATATATTATATTGTTTTTGATAAGTTTTGTTATTTAATATTATAGATATTTATTATTATTTGTATTTGTAATTGGCCGTTTTGCAAAAAAAAAAAAATAGCTGCGAAAGCAACCAGATTGGAAAATCAAAAGTAGACCTTTACTATCGGCTACATGCTTTCCTATCAATTACCAGTTAAAACATGCATAGCTCAACATTACTTTTTATCATTATATTCACGGTTTTTGAATTGGCTGGAATATCTTATGGTATAGTGGTCAGAAAGCATTCATTAGGTAAAAGAGCTGGAAAACTAAATACAAAATATGTTGATAGTTCAAGTTTACTTCTGGTAAATGTTTCGACGATTGGCTGGGAAACAAAGCATCTTTTTAATGCCTCTTATGCACCTTATAACGTACTATGCCCTTCAGAATCTTTGGTGAGATCTGCTGATAATGTATGATAGTACCTTTGTTTGTAATAATACATTTTCGACTACTAATTTTAACCAGGCCCTTTGTGAAGAAGAAGAAGCATACGTATACAACAGACAGAAGTTGACCCAGTCAGCACTATTAGCTTTTTTCGATTCGGTAGGTGTCCCTAAATTTGACCATGCATCTTTCTTTGAAAACTATAAGCATCCTTTAACCGTTTCTTTAGCCTTTTCTGGAGGCGGCTATAGGTCTATGCTTACTGGGAGCGGTGCTTTGGCTGCTTTCGATATTAGAACACCTTGCCAAAGCAATTGTGGGAACTTAGGAAACCTTCTTCAAGGAACAAGTTATATCGGTGGAATATCTGGAGGAGCCTTTTTGGTGATGAGTACTTTCACCAACGATTTCAAACCAGTCCATGAACTTTTATTCGATGGCAAGACTTGGAATTTTCAAGAACAGCTTCTACAAGGCATCCCCAGTTTCGATCCCGATGCTGTTAAGGAGGATATGCACATTCTGGATGTTGATGAATTAGGGTCAAACCTTGTCGATTCAGCTTCTAATAAAATGGAAAAATTGTTAGACTTTAATTGGGGCATTGCAGACACCGTTATGAGATACCTTGGATTTGGTAAAACACATGAATCCATCGCTTCCAGTAAGACAGATTCACTCATTGAGACCGCCAAGGGTCGAAGCTATCTCGAGTCTTTTATCAAGCCAATATTCTTGAAGAAAAATATAAGCAAAGATACTGCTAATGAATCCGGTGATTCTACTTTGAAGGAAGCGTTTACATTTTTTAAAGACCTCCAGATCGAGGTTAGATCTAAGAAAGAAGCTGGCTTTTATATTTCATTCACTGACTATTGGGGAAGGGCTCTAGCAAGGAAGATTTTCCAACCATCTGCTCGAATTCCTGGTGCTACTATAACGTCGGCAACCTTATCAAAATCTTTTCAAAGCTTTTTGCAACCTTTTCCAATCGTTTGTTCAGTTCAAAGATCACTTGAAGAATCAAGTCCTGAGGTGTTTCCTAATCTTTTGGAATTCTCCCCCTTTGAGTTTGGTTCATGGCTCCCAGAAGTGAATTCATTCGCAAAGATGAAGTATCTAGGAACATCTCTCTATGATGGACATTCAATACACCCAACTGAAAACCCCAATGTATCAGTTTGCACTTCAGGCTTCGATAACATTGGGTTTATCACTGGGACATCCTCAAGTTTATTCAATCATATTTTTATTGAGCTATATAAAGTCCTTTTCAAGTTGGATAAAGAATCTTCTGCAAATATATCGAAAATATTAACAAAATTGGGTTTGATAACTAAATTGAATACGAGTAAATATCCTCAACACCCAGATTACGCTTTGTATTCCCCAAATCCATTTTACGGTTACAGGGATTCATCAAATCAAGCAAATGATATCTTCAAAGAACGCCACTTGTACCTTGCAGATGGTGGTGATAGCGGAGAAAACATTCCGTTTTATCCTTTCTTGCAAGAATCGAGAAAAGTAGATATTATAATAGCTTTCGATATGACATCTGATATTGCCAATTTTCCTAACGGAACAACATTGACTGCCAGTCAAAAACGGTTTCATCAAAATTCTAAAACAACTCCTACTTTTAGTTTTGGTCGAACTCCAAGTTTAAGTAGTAGATTTGACCGTCTAAATTATAATAAAACAAATCCTGGATCAATGAGATATATCAATAAGGCAATTTACCCGTACGTTCCATCTCCACAAACAATGATTGATGAAAAATTAAATCAAAGGCCAGTCTTCTTAGGTTGTGATATTGAACGCGATTACCCAGAGTTTCCTCTATTCGGGAATACTTCTAACGCTACAAAGCCATTCAACTCTGGAACCCAAAATGAAACTCTTAAGCAATATCTTCCGCCTATCATAGTTTATAATTCAAACTATAATCATTCTTTTGACTCCAATAGATCTACATTTCAACTAAGTTATACTTCGGAAGAAGTATTAGGAATGGTAGAGAATGGTTATAATCTTGCAACCTTTAAAAACTCCACCGAATATTCAGTTTGTTTAGCATGTGCAGTTTTGAAAAGACTGTTTGACAGAATAATGTATGGTATAACACCTTATCCTGGTAATCTTACTGTTCCATCGGCTTGTCTTGAATGTTATTCTGAATTCTGCTATCATAAATAGAATGAGTTCCACATATATGTACGGATGTAAATTATTTGTTGAAAATAAAAAAAAAAAAAAAAAAGATATCGTACAAATTGCAATATCTCTCTAACTTAGTCTAATTTACAATAAAGCCTGAATATTGTCAAAGAGAACCAGTTATCATTAGCCTGAAAGGGTACTATTAGCTAAAATAAAAGTTGCCCAACCACACACAAGGAATATTTTTGGTGTTGCGTTGTACCACTTCACATTTAGCCGCAAATAATCATTGCCTGGTGTCAAAGATGTCTACAGCTGAAAATACAGATCTCGACGATCTGCTTGCTATCCATTCCTTATATATGGTTTTCTGTACTGCATTACTTCCACTTATCCTTATTGGTATTTCCTTGTTTTACTCGGGATTGACTCAAAGAAGATCGTCTTTCACGATGCTTATAATACCCACTCTTTTGTCACCTATAGTTTTCATAGATTGGTTTATCTGGGGTTATTCGCTATGTTATGCAACTGCAAGTAATCGTTTCATAGGCAGTTTAAAATTTGCTGTCCTAAGACAGCTTAGAGACCCGTCAACGCTCACTTATAAGACTACTAGAGGTGAAATACTTTCTGTGCTTCATTTTCTTTTCAATGGTCTCATGAAGCTTATATGTGTATGTTTGACGTTTCCAGGGTGTATTGCTGAAAGAGGTAGGATTCTTCCCATGCTTGTATTTTTGTTCTTTTGGTCATGCATGATTTATAATCCTGTAACATACTGGTTTTGGAATATGAATGGTTGGCTTTCAACTCAACTAGATTACATTCCAGTATTGGACTTCGCAGGTGGAAACTGTATTCACGTAATAAGTGGTTTTACTGGTCTTGCTTATTCCTATTTGTTGGGTCCAAGAAATCCTAAAATTTTATATAATTACAGAAGTTCTAATAATGGACATATAGTGATTGGAACCGTATTTATAATTTGCGGTTGGTGTGGTTTTATTGGTGGCTGTGACTTCAAATTCAGCAGCTCAGCAATATATATATTTATAAATACAATTCTTTGTTGTTTTGTGAGTGCCATAGTATGGATGGGAATTGACTTTTACTTCTCTGCTATTCCACTTGGTAGTTCTGAACTCGCATCTGAATCAACCAAGAATGAAGGAAATGCTTCATTTTCCCAACATAATGGTGCTCAAACGAAGTTATCTGATGTTTCAAGAAAGAGAAAATTTTCGATGATTTCATTTTCTAGTGGAGCAATGACCGGGCTTGTTGTGATGACACCGGCTGGGGGGTTCATATCATCACCTACTGAATTTTGGAAACCCTTCGTATTTGGTGTCGCTGGGGGAGCAATTGGTAACTTGGCAACCCGTTTGAAGTATTATTTTAATATTGATGATGCTTTCGATCTATTTGCAATCCATGGGGTTTCCGGAATGGTGAGTTCTATAATGGTTGCAATTTTTGCAAATGATCAATATGGCTCCCCAGGGGGTTGGGTAAAAGGTAATTGGATACAGCTTGGACATCAACTAGCGGGAACTATTGCTACTGCAGTCTATCTGTTCGTCATGAGTTTATTCTTTCTTTATATAATTGATATTATTCCAGGTCTACATTTGAGAGTTGACAAAGATTTCAATAAAAGAGTAAGACGAGAACAGACTAAACAAAAGGATGGTGAAGATATAGAACTTCAAAGCTCACCAGGTAATCTTGATAGTCACATAACAAATAGTGATATAACATCTCCTAATAGCTCAATGAATGTTTTCGAAAAAGCAGAAATCCTTGGCTCTGACTGGTATGAGTTTAATGGAGAATATAATGCTGATTTTATGGAATTTATCAAAGTGATAAACCCTGAAGATTACCCCAATAATGAAGAATCATTTTCGATCTTTGGAGAGCATGACACTATAAGTGAACATTACCGCAGCCCTGATTACGACTTGCATTCCGGTGAACAACAGTTGATTCGGAAACGAGAATAATTTATGATTTTATTTTTGTATTATAATAATATATTTACGAGCTTCAACCTTTAATTAATATACTTAATATTATAATTAATTATTTATTATGACGTTTCAAACGTAGCTTTGCATGAGCTCTACTGGGTGCATACCTTAATTTTCAGAGTATAAATGATGATGACATGGCGAATAAATATAAATATTAACATAAAAACTATTATACAAAGACAAGATAGCACTAAGAAATAACCCTCATGGTTAATTCAAAAGCAGCAAAAGTAGCACCATTTGCTGGAGCAGCTCTCAAAATGGTTGGAATAAAACCTCTATAAAACCCTTTGATACCATTCTTTAACCAGATATCTTTGATGACGTCAAGTGAGCTTCTATAAGTTGGTTTAGTCAAAGAGTCTGTTTGTAATTTGGATTTAATCACGTCTACTGGGTAAATACTGATCCACATGGAATAACCTGATAACCCACCGTACAAACATAATTTCCAGCCGGGAATATCCAGCCTGACAATACTCTTATCTTTGGCCAATTCTTTGGCGATCAAAGCTTCATAGGTGGTGAAGTAAGTACCTAACCCAACACCTTCCCTAAACAAGGTTGGCGGTAATCCCTTGAATACACCTCTTAATCCATTATTTTGAAAAATTTTTTTAGCACAATCAATTGGACCATTGAATTGCTTGGTGGAACCTGTTTGAGTTTGAAGTCTAATACGAATATGCTCGATTGGTGAGGCCAAGAACCCATTGGCAAAACCTGCAATTGCACCACAGTTGAAGAATTGACCTAAACTTAAAGGAGCACCATTCAATTTTTCATTATAGTATCTCTTCATAAACTCATTGACAGAAAATTGAACCGATACACAAGCACCAACCCCAACTAATGGAGTCAAAGTCCCTTTATAAAAACCTTTGGGCCCCTCATTTGCTATCAATTTCTTAATAACATCCAATGCACCATTATAAGTACCTTCTGGGGCAGATTGCAACCTAACCTTAACGGTATCAAATGGTTGACCAACTAAGACTTGGGTAATACCACCAACAGTTCCCCCAAATAAATCTTTAATAACCTGCTTATTATCTTGAAGCAATGGAGGTTCTTCTAATTCAATAGTCATCGGGACACTACTCTAATATATGCTGAATTATACAAAACTTGAAGATAAAATCATAGTCTTTGACTGATTAAAGAGCCTTGCTTCTTCAAAAATTTTTTTTCGAACTGCGCTTGGACTTACCGATTTCTTGATCGCGGCTGAATTGCCGTTTTGCTTTTACAATAAATAGCACCCATACTTACAAAGTAACTGTATTTGATTCTAATACTATGTAGAAGAAACTGATACGATAAAGCAAAGACTTTTAAAAAAAAAAAAAGAAAAAAAATGGCAAAAAAAAAATTGAAAAATTAACTATGAGTTCATACTGCTTCTCTATCTTTGGCTGCTATAAGTCCATCAAATGGATTCATACCGTTCTTAGCGAAATACTGTCCAGAAGATTGTGCAGGCGCAGTCAGTAGCGATCCAACATTCAGAGTACCAGGACTTAAGATAGGAGGACTAGTGATTGTGAAATTTTGACCATTAGTATTGGTTTTAGAAACATCGTTGTTAGAAACAATTGCCTGGGCAGCTGGACCTAAAGTTGCAGCAAGTGGAGTACGAACAGGAGGTTGGCTGCTAGGACCGGATTGTAAAGTATTGCTCATGAGTGATAAATTGGCCAGCGAAAGCAGATGTGAAGGGTGCGCTGATAAAGGAGTGAACATGTTATTGATATTGGGAGGTTGATTATGGGAAGTGGGGGCAGCCAATTGGTTCGTGGCACTAGTGTCTGAAGACAGTAATGAGCTGTACGATGAAACTTCTAATAAAATAGGAACATCTTTAGTAGTCTTGGTCAAATTCAAGATAGAAGCTCTAGCTTCATTTAAAATGGGTAAATCCTTGATCATGACTTTAACTGGGCCCAAAGTGTTAACAATTGCTTTTAGGAATAAATTCACATCCGACCAGAACAATTTTTTAGTGGTCTGAGAAGGATTGTTTCTAATGGTGATTAATTTTGTTCTGACTCTTTTTGTAATGTCCATTGAAGAAATGCAAATTGTAGTTAATTCCTTAACTTTGGAAGCCACTGTTGGGCTTATTGGTTGTTGACCATTTGTACTAGCAATTGCGCTTTTGTTGAGCGCTTTTGTAATTTCATTGAATACCACTTGGGCTTTATTCGTAGCAAGTTCGATAGTTTGGTAGAGTTTTTCGTCGATACCTTCAATATCTTGTCCATTTGAATTGCTTGGTTCATTATTGGCTAATGTAGTGTTGACAGATAATCCTTTTGTTGCTTTTGGATCCGTTCCAGGTAATGTTATCGAAGAATTGTTGGCAGTTGGAATATTATTTGGTTTAGACGTTGGAACCAAAATTCTATAGGCATTCAATAATTCATTGAAAGAGCCATAAATGGTGAGATAAAGCATTCTAATAAAACAAACATCAATTTTAGCTACAAAGTTTGAAAAATTCTCACTAAGTAGAGTCATGATTGATTTGAATGAGCCAATGGATGCATGTAAGGAGTTGGTGATTTGATCAAGGTTATCACCACTTTCTTCCATAATTTCTAAATTTTCAACCAAGTTATCTATATTTGACTTTGTAGTATAAAGTAAAGAAACCATTCTAATTGTAATTTTCTTATCATTACAGAAACCAGTGAACCTTCTAACTGATGAATGCAATTCACTGAAGGAAAACAAAACCTTTCTGCTTAATTTTATAATTGTTGAGGGACTATGGCCAATGGATCTTTTTGAAGGTTGAAGTTTCGATGGAGATCCTTCAGATTGACCAAGGAAACGAGGGCCAGTACCAGGAGGTGACTTTATTCCGCCACTTCTTGCTGATTCCAAGCTTTCGATATTATCTTTAGCTTGTCTTGATAATGAGCCTTGTCTTGAAGAAGGATTAGAGTTGGGATTTGAACCAGGGATTGGTGGAACACCGAAAAATTGGCCATTTGAGTTTTCATCATTAGGAGATTCTTGTAAAGTAGATAATCTTCTGAAATAAGCACCTGATTTATGTTCTGCATCAACGTTATCGTTCTTCTCCAAGATACTATCAATTTCTTTTAAAGTATTTGATCTCGATCGATTATTTCTGCTTGAAGGTCTACTCAAAGTGGTGGTAGCAGTAGTGGTGGAAGTTGAATTAAAATTGATGGAAGAAATACTTGCGTTAGCATTTGTATTAACCACCGTCCCGTTTGAAGTATGCACGGGGGTTAAGGAAGGGGAATTCGACAGTGAATTTGGTACGGTTGAAGCAGTATTGGTAGTCATATTTGATAAAGGAGGAGATGATATTTTGAAAGAAGTTTCAGTGGCAGAAGCCGAATGAGGAACTTGGCCCATGATGAAATCATTATTAAGGATACTATTAGTGAAGATATTTTCATTGAGAAGATCATTTTTCCCTTTATTAGTATCATCAGAAGTAAGAATTGAGGTATTTGCACTTGAGCCTGAAACTGTAGTGATATTAGCATTTGAAGTATTCGTCTTAGGGCTTTGATTCAAGCCGCTTTCACTGGTATTAAAACTTGAGGTTAAAGACGTTGGCGAACTTGAAGTAATAGTCGAAGTTAAAGAAGGGGGAGGATGAGTAGGTAAATCATGAGAATGAGATATCAGTTCTATTGATTGAGACTGGGAACGAGCGTGACTGTATTGAGAATCATTATTATTATTATTTGAATTTGAATTTTCTTCAGTTTTTTTGATAATCAACCCCATTCTTCTAGCCGCTTTAGAAGCCTTTGTTTTGGTTTCAGAAATCGACTTCGATCTCAATATAGAAGGCGGGGGGACACTAGGAGGATTAGGAAAAGCCGATACATTAACTGAAGAGTTTGAGTTTTGATTATTTGCAGGGTATTGAATAGGAATATCCGAAGTAGCAGCCAATTTTTGTTTATTTAATTGCAGAGAAGAATCCAATTCTGAGATTTTCAGTTCAAGAATTGTTTTATTAGCTCGAAGATATTGCTTTAATTGACCTACCCAATCAAGTTCGGCTGATTGATTTTGGAAACCTTTTATAACTTCATGAGAGGGGAAAATTAATGGATTATCTGCCACTTCGATTAAATTCATATTAGGAAGCTCTCCCAACACCGGAGGTAAGTATTTGAATCGATTCTCTTTCAACGAAATCACTCTCAAATTTTGCAATTTTGAAATTTCACTTCTAGATATATTGGATAATCGATTACTCGAGATATCTAAGATCTCTAACAAGCCACATTCACTCAAGGCACTTGGAAATATACTGATGTTATTATTATGAAGATCAAGATACCGTATATTTGATGAAATTATTGGGAAATTCGATGGTAAATGATGGATTTGGTTATTATGAAGTGACAATCGTTCAATTTCTAACGGCGGCTGATAATTATGAATAAATTCATGAATGCATTCAATCACTTCCGATATAGAGGTATCTTTAGAGTTCAAGTTATTCAATTTTAACGTCTTCTTATCCCTAACTTGATCTATCTGATCATTTAGTAGCTTTAAAACCTGGGATTTCAGTGAAAGATACGGTTGCGTCATCTTGTTTTCTAGTATCCTCTAGAAGTGTATCCCTTTGATCTATTAAGAACGATCTCGACAATCTTTAAATGGTCCTTTTCTATGCTTCTTAAAGGACTTGAATACTTTTTATAGCCTTGTCACTATACTCTTCTTTTTTTTTTTTTTTTGACCTCTTCCTTTGCCCTATTTGCCTCTTTTTCTCTCTCTTTTTTTTTTTTTAGGGGAATTCTAGGTTTGTGGGATTTTTCTGTTCACTTGGATCGATGCAAAAGAATACGAGGCTTTTTTCCAGATCTCGAGCTTCACTTCAAAATGCTGAACGGTATGAGTACCAGAAAGACTTGGGGGACTGATGTGCTGTTAAAAGAAACTGGCAGTAGGAGTATTTCTAGAAATTCCATTGAAAATTGGCTGTTGTCAAGGTATCTCGTTGCTGGGTGCCACTTATCGGGAAAGGTCGTTGACCGCGTTTTTCGTTCCACGCGTGGCTGGGCCGGGGCCCTGGGCGAATGGGTCCGCGCTGGGCGGAGCGCTGGAGCCGCTGGGCGGAGAAGCCGACCGAGCTTTGGACCGACGCGCAGCCGACCGCGCGCCACGCCACAAGAGACCGAGCCGGTCGGGCTGATAAGACTACCATAAACGGAAGTCTAAAGACCTAAGATGCAAAAGGAAGACCTGAAGGAATAGAGCCTTACAAGACCTAGAAGAGATACAGATGGAAGGAGACAGGCATGACAGAAGACTACAGACACGATAGAAGACTACAGACATGATACAAGAATACAGACATGGTACAAGACATACATATATTAAATAAATTACAGCCTAACTCCCCTATGTAAAGCATCGACTCTTTCCTGCCAAACGGTTTTACCAGAACAGCTGCAAACACTTTTGTCGTTTTCCCAAACACCAGCACTACGAGCAATGACACCACATAAAGAATCGGGAGCGGTTTCATCCTTCAAACGAGATAAAATTATACTACGGCCAATTAAATCATTAATTGATAAATTTGCCTGCAAGAAACCTTGGCCAGAATACAACGGTTCGTTTTCCCTTGGAGTAAATGCACCTAAAGAATTGATAGTTGTTGAGATATCTGCTGGAGAGTCAACTTCCACTGGAGACAATTCGTAAAAAAGACGGCCAGTGCTCAATGCTCCTTGGGATAAGTTCCCATTGGACCTAATTGAAGGATAATAGATTCCCTTGGTTAATCCATTGACGGTTAAATCTATAACCAAATCATTGTCACCCACGCTAACTATTCTTGCTAATCCTTTCACCGGATGACTAATATCGTTTGGACTAAAACTCTCCAAAATACAAACTGCTGCTGAATTTGGCTGTCCGGTCCCACGTATGATTGCATCTTTCCCAGTGCCTTGTATGGCCTTCACGATTTCTGATGGTGGAATCGATCCTTCGGTAGTCACTAAATTATTTTTCAAATCAATATCGTACTTGGATATTCCTCCAAGAGGACTCAATGCCTGCGACACCGACTCCACGCATGCCTCGCATTCCAATTGCACATTGAACACTATCTCAAAAGATTTTGTCATTTTCTTAGACAAAGGTTTGTCGAGTTTGAAAGTGTTTGAAGTAGTTAAAAAATTCAAAGTTTGGTGTGATTATTAATAAGGTTTTCATTACTGAGATTTTTCAATTGATCTTTTTTTTTTTTTGTGTTTGGCTGGGTGCACGGGTTGTGGATCAATCTTATACAATTCATACTGTTGGTATAGAGAATCAATAAAAATTTTAAATAAATACAAACTATGTTTAGATAGAAAAAAAAAAGGAAGATCACAAGTTATAAGAAATGAATAATGGTTAAGAGAACCACCAATATAAAAAATAATAATGGCTGCAAAAAACGAAAACAAGGAACAAAAGAACAAAAATTTAAATAAAGACAATAATCTAATTGAACTGAGAATTGAATCAATCAGATTCTCAAGCTACTCATACGACGACGAGTTGAAGGGTTTGCAGTATTGGAATGCTCCGGATCATCCATAACTTTAGTACAAACCCAAGTTGAAGCATACATATTAGTTCTATCGATAGACTCACCTTTATGTCTAATTGCAGCTGGTTTACATTTAAAACCTAATTTTTCAAAAGTTTTAATATACCAAGGGAATTGAGCAGCAGAACGTAACATGACTCTACCATTAGTGGCTAAGCAAGATTTAATGGCGACGATTTCATCGTGAGCATCATTTCCATTTGGATCAAACCAATCCATATGATCCATAATGATTGCAATAGTAATTGATTTTTTATTTAAACGAGCGAAAACATCATTTAAAGTATCGGTATGAATTCTAATATTATCAATTGGAGATTCACCATTTTTATTAACTGAAGTTAATCTTTGGAACCCTGTTTCAGATAAATAATTTGGACAATTTTTTTTGGAATATTTACCCATAAGAGTAAGATAATAGAAATAATTATCATTTGAAATAAGGGAACGTTTAATAATTGGGTCAAAAGTATCAATAACATATTTTAAAACAGAATCACCCATCATAGCAGCTTGATTTACTGGAACACCCAAGGCTTTCCATAAGAAAATAGGATTACCAACCATTAAAGTAGCCACAAACGGATTAAATAAAGTTGGTTTGATTTTATCATTCCAAAGTTTCAACTGTTCCAGCATCGAATTACAATTACATAATTTTTCAATTGAAGAAGAAACTCCGAAAAATTTAAATAAATACTTGGCCACTCTTAAAGCCCAACGAGTGGAACCAGTATCATAAAGACCATTACCATTTGGATTAAAAGTAGCATTACCTTTATCAAACCAAAATTGGAAAGCTTGAGAAGACATATGAGGGCTTAATTTTTCAATTAATAAATTTTTAAAGTTATCAATTTTACCATTTCCAAATAAATTCCAAATTTGATCTTTATGCAAAGATTTAAAAGCAGCTAATTTCAATTCTAATAAATGATTTTGAGCAGGATTTAAATCTACTGCATGAATTTTTTTCGGAGCTGATTCTAAACAAGCATAATCCAAAATATTATCACCGGCAGAAGTAATTGCTAAAACCGTTTCATTTTCATTGAATTTTAATATTTTATGATCTTCTCTTGGATCTTCCCAGGTGAAAGCATAAATATATTGATTATCGAATTGATTATATTTTGCACAAATTTCATCATAGTAAACTCTCCAAATTTGTTGTTGGTAATAAATTGAAGGGAAAGGTAATTTTTTAGCAAAGTTAGATAAAGCAGCTTCATGACCTTTTGAAATTGGTAAACTAGTTGAATATTCTTCTAATTGAGTCTCCTCAGAGGGAGCCAAATAAGGAGATTCAGTAGCTAAACAGTTAATTCTATGTAATAATTTGGTAGATTTAGACTTATCACATCCAATCCAAATATAATAAGGAATCTTACCTAAATAATAATTAAACTCATTCAAAGATTTAATGGTACCAAATTTATACTCTAAATAATTTCTTCTTGAACTATCTAAGAAAACTTTATCGGCTTCGAACCAAATTCTCCAAAAATTTCTTAAAATCCAAGGTAAATTTCTATTAACCAATCCACCAAGAGTATTAATTCTACCCATGGAAGTATCAGAAGATTGAATTCCAAAGTCAACACAAGCAATGATTCCGTTTTTCTTTAATAAATCAACTGCATTATCAATTGTTGAATGGAATGTTGGAATCATTGATAAACTGTAAGAAAAAGTAATCAAATCAATTTTTGAATAGTCAATTTTAAAATCAGCAGCATCAGCAACAATAACTTCAACGTTATTATATATTTTTTTATTTTCAAATCTCTTACGAGCAATTTCACATAACGATGGTGATAAATCAATCAAGTAAATTTTTTCAAATTTACTCAAATCGTATATTTCACTCATGTACTCTATGTTTTTACCGGTACCGCCACCAATATCAACCCAGACTTTACCTTTATCCTTTGATAAATGAGCAATGGCTAACTTCAAGCATTCTTTTCTACCTTTTAATAAAAATTCTCTAGTGTTATCATAAATATGAGCTTGATTTTGATAAAAGCTTTCTAATAATTGTTGTTGTTCGCCATTCTTATTCTGCTTGACTTTTCCGAAGAGTGGTTTAATAAAACATGCCCAACAGAATACTACCAACTGTTTCAATTTTTGTCCAAGTCTTGACAGAACCAACAAGGCTGCAAAAATAGTAATCGAGGTTCCAATACACACCTTGGAATAATCAATTGGTTGATCAATAATAATATCCATTCTATACCTTTACTTACCTAAATGATATCTATATATGAACCTATTCAATTATATATATATATATATATATATATATATATATACCAATACCCCAGGGAATTTCACCTAAAGCATTTGACAGATCTGGAGCACGATGTTAAAATGGCTGTAAAACAGTACGCGCAGTTACAAATAAAGCTAGCAGCACATGGGAAAGAAAACACACGTTTATTATACACGTTTACTCATCTTCCAATCTTCTTAAAAGATAGTCTACCTCGACCTTCTTAGTTAAAGGGATTACATAATCCTTATATAAGCGGGCAATTAGCTTAGGATCGACTTTACTTTGGGGGTTTTGGCTGTATTTGAGGGTTGGGTCAGTTCCGTAGCTTTCACCTTTCACCACCAATCTTTCTAAGATCTTGGATTCTACTGCCGAGTTTGTAATTGACTCTTCGATGCCCTTGATGTCTCTATTTTCAATCAATTGTTTATATAATATGGGATCGGCTTGGTATTTGGCTTCAGCAACAAATTTCCCAAAATGAATTCTTCTCAGTAATGCTTGTAAGCATTCAACGTCACAACAGGCAACGCTCCCACTGTTTTCTTCTTGTTCTGCGTCATTACAACTGACTTGAGGTACAATTTGTTGTACATAGAAATTTAAGATTTCTTGATTAACGTTAATTTCGTCCGAGTAATTGGCCAATATCTTCGGGTACTTTAATGGGGGTAAGATTGAAGGTTTTAATTGTTGGGGGAAAAATGGCGTTTCGTCGGGGGCTTCGTATCTTCTGACTTGTGAATGGGTTTGCTCTACTTGTAATAATAGCCATTCTAAAAACAGTCCTTTAAAGTCTCCCAATTGAAATTTTGATTGAGAATAGACTGATGGACTCAGAAAAAACTGCGATCTTTCAATCAAGTCAAACACGATGGTGTCTTCCATTCGAACCAACGCCTGACGGATGTTGTTCAAGTCAAGCACGGTTTCTGGTTTCATAAAATCCATTGTATATTGTATGTACTTATGAGTTATCTAGTTATCTAATTAATGGTTCAAATATCTATAGATTAACTAAAAAACTTTTTATTTTTAATGCGTTGGTTTCTTTTAAGGTGGTGGTGGTGGTGTACGGGTGCTTGTGGGTGCAAATTACATGTCAAATTATATGTCAATGCCATGGTCTACTTTCAATCTGGTCCGGGCAAAATCTTTCAATACCTGATCATCTTCTGATTTCAACTGGGTTTCCTTTTCCTTGTTCAACGACTCGTCCTTGTTGAGAATGCCCGATCTTCTCCATAGTAAGAATCGTTTCATTCGTTGTAGTCTACTATCACCTTCATCAAAATTTTCATAACTATCATTCATAGCTTTCATTGATTGTAGGTTTAAAATGGCAGTTTGGTTATGCACTTCGTTGGTCTTATCAATGGCTAACATCACTTGCAATCCCGTGGTCAATGACATCACCAATAACACTCCAATTAATATTTTATATTTATTTGCATTAATTTCTTCTTCACTAGGTGGTTTTCTGCCAAATCTCAACTCGTATAAGTCTTCCCAATTACTGGCCTGATAAAATTTATCACTCCGCTCATACATCTTATGGTGGACTTTGGTTGATTTAAAGTCCCGGTATGCATTTTGATTCATGTCATAATTATTGGGGTTCTTTAATGTTTCGTATGCTCTTTGAATACAATCAAATCGGTCTCTTTTTTCTTGTTCTGAAATTGGTTGGTTCATCTCATTCAATATAACTGTCTTTTGACTAATATCTGGATGATATATCTTAACATATTTTTGGTACGTTTGTTTTAATTTTTTAGGGTATTCACTATCCCCATATTTGGGTAAACTTTGATATAATTCATGGGGGAGTGGATTTGATTTACGAGGCCATGGTTTTAAGTTATGTCTAGCATGGTGGTCCACCCCGTATCTTCTTAAACTTATCCTGCTTATTCCTACCCTTTCAATCATTATCCTTGTTAATAAAGCATGTAGTATAGATCAGGCCCATAGCAATTTCGATAATCGGGGTTTGAATGTTTTTTTGTTTGGTGTACGGATGTTTTTTATAACTTTATATATATATATATATATTTATGTTTCTTCTTATATATTTCATTATCTATACATCTTACATCACAAAGCAGCCATTAGCTTACCAGGGTGATCCTCGTCAATTGGTTTCACTAGTTTACCCAATTTGTAGATTTTCTTAACAAAACCTTTAGTATCTAAAACCACCAAATCAGCATCACATCCAGCATTTAAAAATCCTTTACAATCTTGTTTACCAATTGATATCGAGGGGGTATTAGTAACGGTCTTAACCGCTTTGGCAAGAGGAACGTTAGCCCATTTCATTAAGTTTCTAACACATTGAGGTAAGGTGGTAGCAGCACCGGCTAAAGTTTTGGTTCCTTTTAAATAAAGAATTGGACCAGTCTTGGTAATTTCTTGTTGATCCCATTTATAAGTACCATCGGGTAAACCAATTAAATGCATTGCATCAGTGACAAGTATACATTTATCTGGATTTGAGCGATAAGCAAAAGTAACCATAGAAGGATCGACATGAACACCATCACTTATTAAACCAAAATATGGCGTTTGTTCTGTCTTAGGATTGGTGATTAGTCCAACTACTCCAACATCACGATGATGCGGTTGAGGCATGGCATTATATAAATGAGTCACCATAGTGGCACCTGATTCGACGGCTTTTAATCCAGTTTGATAATCACTAGTAGTATGACCAATTGAAAAAGTAATATTTTTCAGCTTAATTTTAGGTATCAATTCTAAAACACCATCGATTTCTGGTGCTGCAGTTAATATGCAAACATTATTAATTAAATTCTCTTCTCCATAAACTTCTTCTAATTTGCTTTTGCTTTTAGCATCGACAAAAGTCTCTGGTGGATGACATCCTTTCTTTTTGATATTTATAAATGGACCCTCTATATGAGCCCCCAATGAATCACATTGCTCTCTGGATCTTCCTTCTTGATATATTGGTAGCACTTTTTCATAAACCTCCGGGAAATTAGAAGTAACCGTTGGACACATCGAAGTAACTCCCGTTTTCAAATATTTATTCATACAATCTTTATAAAAATTCTTGAATTGTTTAACATCTTCCAAAGTTGATTCTCCGTTCAAAGATGAGAAATTTAATCCATAGATTCCGTTATTTTGAATATCAATGTACCCAGGTGCTAAAATATTTCCTTCCAAATCAACAATACTAACTTTTGCATTAGCCGGAATATCATCAACTATTATCCCCTTATCGTTATCAACATAAAGATCGGTATTAGCGTAAAGAACTCCGTTATCACAAAGATGAGTGTTTGTGAACTTAGTATATGACATTTTGCAATTATTATTCTTTGTAAAGTGGCCATTAATTGAAATGTCCGGAAATCACATTATTATATATCTCCTAAGTGAAAAGTTTAAGGCCCATACTTTCACTTGATCATCGCTTTATCTTTATGCCTTTCCTTCCGCAATGTCGCATTCTGCAACATTAACGTTGCAAAAACCCCAACCTGCAAATCCTGCAACCTGTAATTTTCCTGTTGATGTTACATTGTGGAAAATGTAACATCGATCAGGTTATATGGGGTTGCATAGATATATTAATTGTTTGACTTAAGTACTTGGTAGTTTGGCTCAAGTAATTAGTTGTTTGATCCAGGTCTTTACTAGTTTGAATTCCTATCTCGATTGTTGGTGTATAATGAAACAGGCCATCTTTAGTAGAGCAGAAGACGCTTCTGAGTATCTTGCTAATCATATCATTGATAAGATCAATGAATTTAATCCAAGTGCTTTAAAACCATTTGTATTAGGGTTACCAACTGGTTCATCTCCAGAAGGGGTCTATGCTAAGTTGATTGAGGCTAACCGTCAAGGGAAAGTTAGTTTTCAGAATGTTGTCACTTTCAATATGGATGAATATATTGGGTTATCTCCAAGTCATAATCAATCATATCATTATTTTATGTATGATAAGTTTTTCAATCATATCGATATTCCAAGACAAAATATCCATATTTTGAATGGATTGAGTAAAGACATTGAAGCCGAATGTGCAAACTACGAAGCTAAAATCAAATCATTTGGTAGAATCAATTTATTTATGGGAGGTTTAGGACCCGAAGGTCATCTTGCATTTAATGAAGCTGGTAGTAAACGAGAATCTAGAACGAGAAAAGTTGAATTGGTTAAGTCTACTATCAAAGCCAATTCAAGATTTTTCAGCAATGATGAATCAAAAGTACCAAAATATGCATTATCAGTTGGTATAAGCACTATATTGGATAATTCTGATGAAATTGTTTTGATTGTTTTAGGTGAACTGAAGAAATTTGCCTTAGATAAAACTATTTGGGGTACAAAGAATGATTCTAACTATCCATCTCTGTATTTACAAGACCATTCTAATGTTTTAATTGTTTGTGATCATTCAGCTGCTGGATTAAAAGCAAAATTATAAAAAAGTAAGGAAATTTTTATATTAAATATATATACTGTATACTTATTTATTGTAATAAGCAGCTCCAATTGCAGCTCCGACTATAGAACTATTTTCAACCCATTTGAAATCAATTTTTATATTTAAATTTTTAACGGCTTCATTTTCATTAACAAATTCCAAGATTAAGTTACGATAAGAATGGAAATATAATAATACTGAACCAACATAACCAATTTTGATCAATTTTGAATTTTCATCATTTGAAATCTCTTGATGATGGCTAAATAATTTAATAAATGCTATAATACTTGCTGCCACAATAAATGCAGCTCTTTTAATAACACAATCAATTAATTTTTTCAATTGAATAATATCATCATTAGATATATTTGACCAATTATATGTAGATTCCAATTTTAACTTAATCAAATCAAAATCATTAGTTTCTGAGATATAACACATTAATTCACCAGTGAACCCAATATATTCTTTAGAAAGTAAATTGAAATCAGATTGATTCTTAAAAATTTTCTTCAATTCGATTAATTCGCTTAGCATTAACCTTGTTAATTCTGGTAAATATCTGCCACTAGTCATCAATTCCAGGGGTTGGAATAGCGTATTTAATACTGGATCGACTGTCATATGGGGTTTAAAATGCAAATTTGATAAATTATATTTAAATCTTGAATCAATAATTTCATCATATTTATTAGAAATATCATCAAGTAATGAGCTTCCAAATAGCGAAAGTTCAGTATTTAATAAAACTGCTTTTTCATCATCAATTCTTTTAGATAAATGCATTTTATTTGTTGGTAATGAACAGCACATATTAAATCCAGTACCTAATACCATTGCTAATTTAGTATATTTATCAATGAAAGTCCCGGCTGCATAAACTGCCAAGGAATCGTTCACAATAACTTTGATATCTATTTGGATATTAAAATTTAAATTCATACAACTTTCTAAAATTTCTTTTAAATCATGATTATGAATTTCTGGTGATATAGTGTAACCTTTAGCAACAAAATTAATCCTTCCGTTATTATGAGCAGTGGTGGTTAATGGGAATGACCAAGTTATCCCAGTATTAATAACTGAATTTAAAGAAATAACTTTTTGATTATTAAGAATTTCTTCGATCTTAGAACCTATCCATTTGAAAAAATTTGAATCAATCATTTTAAATGAATCATCGATTTCCCATTTCTTCTCTATTATACAATGGATTCTATTGGATCGGTCACAAGACTCATTCTTTGGTGGTGGGTCAATGCTAATAACTGCTATTCTCAAAGTTGATCCACCAACATCAATAACCAAATAATCCCCTTGTTCATCTCCAGTAGGTTGTATATTATAATTAGGTAACATAGTAATCTTTGAATTTTCTAATAAGGCTTCATTGAAACACTCAACCAAATGACTGGAATGACTATCTAATTTGGAAGAATGGATATTCTGATTAAATAAATTGATCATTTCTTCTAGTTCCTGATGACTTTGATCCGAAGTTATCGAATCAACTGATAACGAATCAGATTCCTCAAAGCTTAAATGGTGATCATTTATACTTATCGCATTCTTGATAACGCTGGGATCCATATCAGAATCCTCTTTCTTCAATATATCAGCCCTTTGTGTAATCGAAGTATCGTTGATTGAAGTAGTAGACAGTAAAGTAGTCATTATAATATTTAATTTAAGATAAAATATTCTTTAACAAAATATTATAAAAAGACAAACAGGAATTATACTGTTTTAAATAACCTCATCTACTTATATTGTTAAGTTCTATATTATAGTAACGTAGTAATCAAGTCTAAAAAGTAACAGTAACACCAAAAAGAAAAAAAAAACATCCAAAAAAAATTGAATTTCCAAAGGAGCGACTCAACTACCACAATAACTCAAATTACTGGCTTAACTCAACATTAACAAATCGATCTCATTCCTTCTCAGCTCGAGGCAGGGGAAGTAACATTTAGATAAACGAAGGTAAAAGTGCTACAGTACTACAAAGCACGGAATATTACACCAGACTAAAAGATAGTTGAGGGTTACATTTTGTTTTGATGTTACATTTGATTCCGGTTGTATTTTTGTTACTGTCTCAAGTTATAACTTATATTGTAGTGCTCAAGTATATTAACTTATTTTGTAGTAATGTATTAGATTGTATTAACTTATATATATTGTTATATATTGTAACCATTAATTATTTAAATCGTCCAATTCGATTTCTTCAGTGGGGGATTTCTTGTTGCTGATCTTATTCAAGTTGTGACCGTGTTGTGCTGGGTCGTCAATGACAAATTCTTTTAATTTTTGTTTGGCTATATCAAGGGCTTCATCAAGCATTCTTTGGCCAACGGCCATGGCAGGCTTTAAAAGATTCAACAGGTACATCACGTAGACTGCACCTCCGAGAAGAATGAGTAAGGTGAAGAAAAGTGGGTTTCGTAAAATTGCCATGAATTCGTTCCATCCCAAGACTAGGATAATTAAGTAAATGTAGTAAGGTATTTGGGTTACATGTTGTATGATGGATCTCTTGGTTTCAACGAACTTAGCATCAACTTCTCTTTTGAACTTATTAAGAACGAGTTGTTTTTCTTCTTCATTCACGATTATACTGAATGAATCACTGCTAATTTCTTCATCTTCATCTTCACTGTCGGTATAAGAAGCTTGAACTTGTTCAGTTTCGTTAATAGTGGTGTATTTTTGTTTTAAATGTTTATTAAAAATGTCGTACTCCGGTTTGATATCTTTACCATTACTCAATTTAGCTCTGGTTAATATAGGTAAGATTTGCAAAGAGAATTTTTTAGCTTTTTCGAAACTTGATTCTAATTCAGTTGAATTTTCGTATAATTTAGGTAATCCGTTATCGTCATATCTGAATTTATCATCGAATCTATCTTGTAAAATATTGATTAACCCATCTTTCAGAATATATTTATGAATCGAATCATAAAAATTAACCCAACTTTTAAATTTAAATGATTCAATTGCTAAATTATTTAATTTATCACTTGTACCTAATCCAAAATCATATTCATCAGTAGAACTTTCATATTTACTTAAAACTTCTTTAGTTAATTGATTAAACTTATTTAAAATGGTATCCCAAGTATCATCTTTTAAATCTCCTAATTCAAAAGTAATGGCTTTAACCAAGCCATTATTAACTTTCTTAACCGATTTGTTTATAGTATTATTTAATTCAATCAATTGTTGTTTACTTATTAACTCTTCCACTTGTTTATTCAACTTATCTTCATAACCGGTGGTATCTAACTCTCCTCCTAAGGATAAGAATTTTAAAGCTTTGGAATATTCTTGAGTATATTTATTTGACAATGAAACAACTCCATCTTGGAAATTTTTACCGGGTAAATTTCTCTTACCAGAATTTAAAACATTAGTGAAAAGTTTGATAGTATTCCCAAGTAAATATTGTGCATAAGCTTCAAAAATTTCTTTAAATTTATCATTTAACTTCCCAATTAATGTAATTCTTTTTTGTTCATAAATTGATTGATTATATCTTGATGCTGATACATCAAAATTTTCCAAAACATCATTTTTCAAATCAATAAATGATAAACCTAAATCTTCATAATCAATATCATCAGTTAATTTTTCATTTAATTTTGGAATTTTAATTAAATGTTGTTCATTAAATTTTAATAAAAATTCTTCATAAACATTACTTAAAATTTCGTCACATTTAAATTTTGCAACTAATATTTGTTGAGTTGGTAAGTCCAAATCTTTATTATTATCAATTTGATCCCAACAATTTTCTGCGTATAATGTCCATCCATCAATTGGAATTTCATGATGATATTGAGGTTTAAATAAATATTCGGCATTATCCTTATTAATTACTCGATCTCCTAATAATTGAACATCATTAGCAAAATTCTCCGGTTGTAATACTTTATGACCTAATGTATGAAATGAAATATCGAAAAAATCTTCAAATTTCATATGACTCAATTCATTTGGTTTATTCAAGTTATCCCACATATTTATTAAATCTTGAGTTACAGTACTTGCTAAATTTTCTTTAGGTGTAACCCCAATATGATCTCTAATTACAAAAAGTAATAAAACTTTATGATTATTTGATTTATTCAATTTAGCTTTACCAAATAAGGTTAAGTTAACTTCAAATACAGTCTTCAATAATCCCATATTAGCACCTTGATATAACCCAATTTGGGTTTCCCAAACATTAATGATCAAAATTTCCGAGGTTGATAAAGCAAATAATGCTGCTTTTCTTTCAAAATCTTGATCTTCTCCTCTCTCTCTACCATCAGTACCTTCAACATCCATAACGAATATATTCTCATTTTGACTTTTTAAATGTTTGGTATTACTCACCGTGGGTGCATAAGCCATCCAAATCCCTTTGGTAGTTTGTTGACGTCTAGTTTCATCCATCACATCAAAGTTAGTATTAAATAACCTATTCAACAAAGTTGATTTCCCGGTAGATTGGGATCCAAACACAGAAATTACATGATACTTCTTATCATTAGATGCTGAAGGGGTTGATTTAGTTATATAGTCCAATAAATTAGGATTGAACTCTTTAGCTTCGTTAATTACTTGAATTGCATCTTGAATATGATGTTCTTCAATTGGAACAAAGGACGATGAGGATGAATGAGGTGAAATGTTTTCATTCATCTCTAAGTTTGGTGGTGGTAGTTGACTATCTGACATGTTCTCTGGTATAGTCTTTCCAATTTAAACTAAATCAACTAAACTTGTTGTTAACAACTGGGGTAGATTGATTCTCAGGCTTTTTTGTTGACCCGCGACCACAAATCATCATTGTGAATTTTCTATGGTACACGATAATTTTTCAATTTCAGACTAGCTACACGTGAATTTTGTTGACCATTAGGAAGTTTCCGTCTATTTACAAGCTTCAACCGTTGGTAAACGATCGAAAAAAGTATATACAAAGTGAAAAGAGACGATCACATGATGTTGACTTCGTTTGCAATTGCTGTTAAACGATCTCTAGCAGTCCTTCTCATCCCAAGGTAGTTCATATCGAAAACCGATCTACCTTGGGTAATTGATCTTAATCTTGATAAGTAGCCAATCATTTCTCTCAATGGGGTTTCAGCAAGAATCACCTTCTTGTTTTCAAAATCTAGCCCGTTCAATTTTGATTTTTTCAAAGTATAATCAGGAGGTAAGTAGATCCTTTCAGCTTCTTCATTAGCCCAAGTGAGGGCATCGAGATTTTCACTATTTTCATCTTCAATTGAAGTGATAACTGCTTGACATTTTTGGGTCAAGTCGTGGGTGACTTCACCCACGCTTTCTGATCCAACGTAGACTTTTGTTTCCATATACGGTTCTAATACTGTGAAGGATGTTTTATTGTTTTCGTACATTTCATTAATATGTTCTCTTAAACAACGACGTCCGAGATCAAGCAAAGTATTTGGTTGGAAATTCTTATTCTCGATTGGGAAGTCCCAAGATTTTATTCTAACCACTGTTGAATGCAATGGGAATCCTAGAATTGGACCACCCATCTGTAGAGCAGTATAACACCCTTGGATTATACTATCTTGTAATACCTCAAGAGAGTAATCGGGCTTCCATCTTCTATCTTCAATTGCTTGATACATGTGAGCTGGGGTAGCACTTGGTTCTATTATAATGATATTATTCTCTTGTTGTAATATCTCAGCACCCTCTTCTTCCGCAAATGTAGTCTCTTCTGCATTACCTTCGAAAGTATCTAATTGGATCTCAACTTTAATATTTTCATCTTCATTCGATATTAATGTATGGCTTTGCATGCTTGGTTTTGCAACTGTTTCTTTGTAACTCACTGCAACATCGGTTAATCTAACATTGACTTTCATATCTTTGACTAATCTTTCTTTCAAAATTTCTAAATGTAATTCACCCATCCCACTTATAATAGTTTGGCCCATATCTTCATCCAAGGTAACTTTCAAAGATGGGTCTTCTCTTTGAAGAATCTTTAAACATTGGTCCATATGTCTTTCATCACCAGTAGTTAAAGGTTCTAATGAAGAGTTGAATAAAGGGGGTGGTATATCAATAGGCAACATCTTTAAACTAGACTCTAATTCATTAAATAGCTTACTATTACCAGAACCGTGTGAAACTAAAGTATCTCCAGTCATTAATTCATCTTCTAATCCTAAAATAACCCCAATACTACCGGAATCAATATAATCAACTGGTTCTGGAGAATCCCCATGCATCAATAACAATTTCTTCACATTTAATTTCTTACCAGTTCTGGTGTTTATCACCGTTGAGTTTGAGTTAAGCTTCCCGCTATAAACTCTGAAAAAAGTCATAACACCTCTTGTGGCGTGGGTCATGACTTTAAACGCTAAGGCAACAGTTAGATTACGGTTCTTATTGATAATTAAGCCTCTGCTTGGATCCCAACTAGTTGGAACCGGGATTTCTTGACTAACTTGATTATCCTTACTTCTTTTTGTCTTTTTGACTCTTTTGTTGGAGGATATTTCTGGAACTTTTATTTGAAGTGGTGAAGGACTGAATTGAATAATTCCATCCATAAGAGGTTGGACCCCAATGTTTTTGAAGGATGATCCACAGAAAACTGGAGTTACAAAGTTTTCAACTGTAGCCTTTTTTATTGCCTTGATCAATAACTGACTGTTGAATTTCATAGGGTCTTCTTCACATTCTTCCAAGGCATCAATGAAAGAGTCGTCAAATTCAGATAGTGTTTCAATCATTGACATTCTACTATTGCTTATAACGTCGAATAATTCTGGGTATTTGGAAGACTCGGATTCAATATCAATAATTGTTATTTCATTTCCATTGGCATCTTTAGCTGGTTCCCATTTCAATAATTTCTTGTGAATTATATCAATCACTCCTGAAAATTCATGATCATTTTGTTCAGTTTTTTCGAAATACGGAACATTGCATAAAACCACACGGGTTTGTAGCTTCTGAACAATCTCTTTTACCGTTCTACTAAAACCTGCTCCTTCTCGATCCATCTTATTTACATAAGCAATTTTTGGTATACCCAAGGCATTAGCTTGTTTCCATACTTTTTCAGTTTGTGCCTCCACACCTGCTACCCCATCTAAAATCGTAACTGCACTATCAAGAACCCGCAAGGACCTTATAACTTCAAATGTAAAATCTGCATGACCCGGGGTATCGATTATATTAATCTTATGATTATTCCAGGGAATTGAAATAGCAGCCAGCTGAATAGTAATTCCTCTTTGTTTTTCACTTGGCAAGTAATCAGTGACAGTGTCTCCTTCGTCTACGTTACCTATGCGTTTGGTTTTACCACTGTAGTACAACATTCTTTCTGTTGTTGTTGTTTTACCGGCATCGATATGTGCTATGATCCCAATGTTCTTGGTTCTAATTGGTGGAACCTTGTTCAAGCTAGACTCGAGTCGAGTTGCTGACGAATGAAGAAACCGACCAATACTTTGGGAGATCCCCCGACTGAACAGGGGTTTCAAATTGGCCGATATAAGCATCATATACTTATAATGATTATTAGTTGTAGTATCACTCTGAAAAATATGAAAAATAGAGAAAAAAAAAATGTAACTTGAAATGCTAATAGTGCGCGAGATAAAAACAGACTGCAAAATAATTATAAGCTGATTTCTGAAATAGTTTCGAATTTCTTCTTGATTGAAGCAAGTAGGTGCTTGTGGTTCTTTGGGAATGTAGAATTGGTAAAAATCCTTGCTTTAAATTGGACGAGTTCAATTCATTTTTACCAGATTTGTAAAAAATTGAAACTAATTGGAGGAAACCATCACTAGGGTTCTTTGAAGACCCCGATTTTCCTTAAAAACTGATATTTTGTACTCCTAATTTTTAGAGCAAAGGTTTATTTGATCTGTTGTCAATCTGATCTGATCTTTTTGGCTTTGCCATAATGCTGAAAAGGTGGAGATACTTTCGAGATATGAAAATACTAAAAAAAAATCTTACTTTGTTCAAGAAAACATCTTGTAGTTGATTTCTGATAAGCTTGAGAGACTACCAGAACAGAATAGGTTTCTAATTCAAGAACTTGGATTAGAAAACATTAGAATTGATCCATCCCCAGGTATTAAAATAATTTGGGCATATCTTCAATGTTTTTCAGGTTTTTGAAGCAAGACATCCTATTTTTGCAAAACTTACATATACCTTTTGAAAAACAGTAGAAAATAGGTCTTGTTCAAAGATTTTGATTTATTATCTAGAAATTTTGTAATTGTTTTACTTGCCCTCTTAGCAGTAAAAAATCCAACAAATTGTGTTATATCCGCCATATAGCCAAGTGGAGAGTTTCCTTTCGGCAACTGTTCTTTCGGCAGAAATGGCCGCGATTTTGAGGTGCGAGGTTCGAACCTGCTCAGAGAGGGTTTGTGGTCTAGTGGTATGATTTACGCTTAGGGAGTTTTACACTGTTCTATTAAATTGCGTAAGGTCCCGGGTTCGATTCCCGGCAAACCCCACTGTTTTTTTTTTGGCACGTACTGACTCAACATACTTAGAGTTTTCCGAACTACACTAGATTCCAGTGCGTTTGGCAGCACAAGTAGCCATTCTTTTTGTTGTCTTGACATGAAAAAATGTCAAAAAACGTTTTTCGCAATTTCGTTGTACCTTCCAAAATGAGACAATAAGCCGTTAGGGTTGGTTTTTCTTGCTTAGCAAAGTAGACTTTAAAGACCGGAATGAAGAGGGTAGCTTCGGTAAATCGAATAGCACTCGCAAAGGGTATAATAAAAAACGGGGTCAAGGAACCAAACGAAACTAGAGCATAACGGTTGCATTGATTAGAAATGCGATCGGAATGCCGATTGTAATTTTTTAGCAACAATTTGAATTGGAATGATTAACTGGCAAAACCAGTGAATCTCTCACTGTGAGCTCTAACAGAGCCATTCTCATTCAGCATACTGTCTCTCAAGTTAGACTAGTGGGTATTTGGTTGTATATACTTCAGCCGTGGGGACTGCCAACCGGTTCGGAGAATCCTGTTGAGTTACCGAGATTGACAGTGCGTGTCCCGAGCTCTTCGCTGAACCCTTTATTTCCACCAACCTTGAACAGGTTCCATTCAGCGTCTGAGTCATCCGAAGGTGGTCTGAAGTATTTCACAGCCATTGAATAAAGTATATCGGAACCTCCGATTGTACCTTCGGTTATTCTGCTGTCAATATATCCTCATCGGGAAATCCCATCGGCATGCCGACTCACGACTCGCACATAAGGTTAACTAAAAAATTTTCTTTTTTTAATTTCTTCTATAAGAAACGGCTTTACTTCAATTACTCATTTCTAGAATTGTATTTAAGTAAGTCAAGATCCTATGGGTTATGAAAGCATTTTAATATAGAAGCAATAAACTAAAAACAAAAGGGCATATCATGAGTTTGCATAGTCAGAATTCACAAGAATCAAAGCCGAAACAAGAGATGGAGACTCCATTAGATCTAGAAGAAGATTTACCACGTCACAATACCAACCGTACATTAGATGCCGGGGAGTCAATGAGTAGAATGTCACAGTATGAAGAAGCCAATTCTTCAGAGGATTATGAAAAACAAGAAGCTAATGATAATAAACCATTGGAAGAAATACCCGATGGTGGTAGAGGATGGATAGTTGTTCTCGGAGTTTTTCTATTGAATTTTGGATCTTGGGGTGCTAATAGTGGGTTTGCAATTTATCTTAATTACGATTTAAGTAATCATGTCTTTAAAGGTGCAACTAAAGTAGATTATGCTTTAATTGGTGGGTTTGCGCTCGGTTTAGGTATTATATTTTGTCCTTTTATAAATTATTTACAAGGTATATTAGGTACTAGAGGACTTATTTTATTAGGTAATATCTTACAATTTGCTGGTGTTTTCATGGCAAGTTTTACTAAAAAATTATGGCAATTATATTTAACTCAAGGGGTTTTAAATAGTTTTGGTTTAGCTTGTATATCATTACCAGCTATTACTTTACTTCCTCAATGGTTTAAGAAAAGAAGAACTTTTGCCGGGGGTCTTGGTACCGGTGGTTCAGGAATTGGGGGGATTGTTTTCAATCTTGGTATGCAGAAAGTTTTGCAAGCAAGATCAGTTTGGTGGGCTTTAAGAGCTCAAAGTATTCTTTGTCTCGGTATTATTTCAATTGGGATCTTATTAGTGAAAGCAAGAACTGAGAGGAAAATCGAATTTACTGCTTTTGATAAACAAGTTGCAAAATGTGCCGGATTTTATCTTTTGGTTATATTCGTTATAACTTGTATGTTTGGTTACGCTATTTGCTTATATACAATGGTTAATTTCACTGTTTCTTTAGGTTATACACCTTATCAGGGATCTATTGCTTCTGCCATGGTTCAAGTTGGTTCATTTTTCGGTAGACCCACTGTTGGTCTCATTTCTGATAAAGTTGGTGCTTTATCAATGGGTTGTATCGTCTATATTTTAACCGCAGTTTTCACTTTGGGAATGTGGTTACCTGCAAGAAACTATGCTACCATCATTGCTTTCAGTATTATAATTGGTCTGATTATGGGTTCTATCTATGGGATCTTACCAGTGATTGTCGCTAGATTGGTTGGTCTTAAAAAATTAAATGTTACTTTCTCCATGATCTGGCTGTTTGTTGGTGGTGCAGGAATTGCTTCTCCAGTAATTGGTCTTGTTTTAACAACCAACTCAATTGGTCCTGATAAATATAGCCATTGTATCATATTTGCTGGTTGTTCATTTGCTGTTTCTGCTTTATGCTTGGTCATCCTTAGAGGTTATATCATAGCAAGAGATAAAATAGCCAATGGTGAATCCGATCCAGATATGGGTCAATTACATTACACTGTTCCCTTCCACCAACCTTTCATGAACTTTTACAAGACGACAGGCTCTACAAAGGTTTGAAATTTTTGCATCATCGATATTGTATATATTCAGTTTTTCTAATCTTTTCGCAATCATTTTTCATTTTTATTATCCTGTTCACTCATGGGTTTCAACTTGCATTATAAAACTTAAACATAGCATCTCAAATCATTTTCAATACTATATTAACTATATGATATTTAATGACATCTCTTTCGTAATTTATATCATTTGTAAAAATCCATACTTGTAGCTAAAATCGCGGAAACGAGTAGTGATTCTTTTTTCGGTACAGTGTTTTTCCTTTTTTTTTTCAGCTTCATCTCATTATCAAAACAAACTTATTACCCGTCTCACTCATAGCTTAGGATTGACAGTCATTTACAACCCTTTAAGAAGTTGCTCAAGAAGCGAGGTTGGTACGGAGCTATTGATATTATGGAAATATGAGTGAACAAAACTCTCTCGAGAATACTAGTCCATCAAAAGATGGTAGTGGTTTGAATATAGCGGCCCAAAACTCAAATCCTAATACCCATAACATTTCAAATTCTCCCCAAATGCCAGAGAATGTACATGATCTAATAGATGTTCCGGAAGGTGAAGGAAGAGAAATTGAAGGCGAGAAGCCTTTGGGTAATGGGAGCTTTGAGTTTGGTCCTTTCGATCCATTCGAGCTTAATAACGGCGATGAGCCTCCACTAAAGAAGACCAAAGTCGAGGAATCCTTCATTCCATCGAACGATAAATCTCCTGAAAACAATAAGCCAGAAGATTCAAAAAAAGGTAATGACCTGGTTGTTGATGAAGCCTCTGTCACGAAAAGTCATGAAATAAAGCCAGAATATGATTCTTCTCTACAGATTGACTCTCTAATTCCTGACGGAATGAAGGACAATAGTTCTAATAATAATCCAGAATTACAAATAGATGAAATGGTTTCTTCCAGTGACAAGACTGTTCAGTCAAAAAATAAAGATTCAGAAGCTGAAGCTAATGCTGTACTGTTCGAAAATAATGATAAGTTACAGATCGATTCCTTTATTCCTGAAAATATTAACCATCTCGATCCGAAAGCGGAAAAGTCTGTTGATACTTTCGAGCCAACCGACTCTTCAGAAGAAAGTAATGGGAAAACGGGCACAAATAATATTCAAGAGAAATCAGAAGAAGACCACATAAGTCCGGTAAAAGAAGGAAGTCAAGGTTATCCATCGACCATGCAGAGTGACCAGTCAAAAGACGGAATCACATCTCAACATGAAGAGCGGTCTCATCCTGCTACCAAGCCTGACGAGTCTGACGCTTTAATCGAATTTAATAAACAAAAAATTCTTCAACATGAACAAGCAAGTATGAACGAATCAACGTCCGAGAGTGCTGTTCCCACTGAAGCACCTCTTACTCATGATCCTGTCCAAAAATCTTCTATTATAAAGAGCGAAGAGCAGATAGGAGACCAGAATCCTCGATCAAACTCAAGCTCACTGCAAGCCACCAGCCAAGCCCAACCTTCTGGTGTCATGCCAGCCAAAATACCTCCTCACTCACCTCCCTTAAACACGAACGATCTTAGTCTGAAAATGACCGATCAAAATCGTTCAGGATCACTTTCCACCTCGGATAATAATGATAAGAATAATCTCTCCAACAATCCTAATGAACATCATAAGATCTCGCCTCAAGTCAGCAGTATATCTAGTCCCAATTTGCAAAATACTAACTCAAACACTCAAGTTCCTGTCACCTCTCATACACCTAGCTCACATTCTAATCCACTTAATTCGCATTTATCTACTTCATTACCTCCAAATACCTCTTATGAAAATGACCAAAAAAGTACATATAATCCATCTCTCCCTAACCCGCCATCAGGCTCGACATATCCACAAAACATTTCAGGAAATTCAACTTATCCGAATATTGAAACTGCTGGAAATCAAACTTTTCCTCCAAGCTATTCCCCTACTTATAATACAAATTCAAATCCGATTCCAATTCTGGGAAACACACCTTCCACCAAATACACGGCTACCAATCAACCAATTTACAATTCCTCCATTCCAAAAGCTCAACCATCAATTTATAACGCTGATTATTATAATTCTCCGAAACCTCCTAGCGCAATACTGTATTCGCCTTATCCAGCAAATACTTCCCTACCTTATAGTCCAGGAACAAGATCACTTCCTCCCACATCAGCCGCCCCACCAATACCTGCACCTCCTCCAATGCCAATAGTGAAAAGGGATAGGCTTGTAATTCTTTACGATTATCCTCGCTTTGCGCATATGAAATCTTATGTTGAAAATGTTAAAAATGTAGTCTATGAAAATACGACAGTGTTAGAAATGGGATCACTCGACAAACTAAAGGGTCCTGAATTCTCCCAGAAAAAGTTCGAAAAACTCAGCTTCGCTATTGAATATAACGATGAATTTGAAAGTAATTTAAAAGCGATTTCTGATTTCATTGAGACGAAACCAAAAGTGATTACTGATGCAGAAGAAATAGCTTACCATTTTCACTTTGATCATCGTAAAAAGTGGGTCGAATACAGAGATTATGAAAAACAAGAATATAAGAGATTTTTAGATGTTTTGAATAAAGTTGCTGGTTCAAAGGTTGTTCAATGTTCGATAATCAATAAATATGAACTTCATACCGTATATTTGACAGAACGAAACGACTTGGCCCAATTGGGTCAAGAAATTCAAGAAGATATACAAAATTGGCCCAATTTAAAAATCTTTGATTATGCTGATAATTATGTGCGTTTCTTACCAGGAGTAAGGTTCCCAAATTCGTTAGAAGTCATAAACATGGGAGGTGGATATTCATTAGAGACTTTATCTGGATTCAAAATGCCACCAAATTTAAAGACATTGAATGTTAATAGTGGATCTATTACAAGTATTGATAATATTGTTTTCCCAATTACACTTGAAAGACTAAGCTTAAGTGATAATAAAATTTATTTTTTGAATTCGGTAGACTTCCCATCAAGACTAACCCACCTTGATATTTCTCAAAACAGAATAGAAACGTTGAAGAATGTTAATTTTCCAAGGAATTTGAAATCGTTATCCGTTTCATTTAATCCAATTGAAAACATTAGAGGAGTTAAGTTTCCCGAGGGTTTAGAGTACTTGGATTTATCATGTATACCGAACGAATCGATGACTGGGGTCAAGTTCCCTGATCTGTTGATTTCATTAAATTTACAACAATCTATGGCTAATACAAGAGGTTTAAAACTACCAGCATTTGTTAAAAAAATTAATTTATCGTCTAATGGAGTAAATAGTATCAATCCATTGAAATTGCCGAATAGTATTGAAAGTTTATATTTGAGTTATAACAATATTAAGACTTTAAATAAAGTGATATTTCCAACAACTTTAAAAGAACTATACCTTGGGAATAATTTGATTACAACACTTAAAAATGTTCAATTTCCAGTTACATTAGAGGTGTTAGACCTTGAGATGGATCCCGATGTTGATGAACAAGAAAAGCATATCACAACTTTGAAAGACGTTGTGCTACCACCCAACTTGAAAACTTTAAAACTCGGATACCACTCAATAAAGTTCATCGAAACTATCGATTTTCCCGTGAACTTAGAGTATTTAAGTTTAGCATACAATGAATTAAAAGTGATAAGAAATGTTAGATTCGGTCCCAACTTGAAAACATTAGATCTTAGTGGTAATCAAGAATTAACCAGTATTGATAATTTGATGATCCCTGAATCAGTAACCGATTTGAGAATACCATCACAATTAGTCAATTATTTACCCATTTATATTGTTGAAAGAGCAAATAGTAACAAGATGGTTATTACAAAATCAGAACCATTTATATAATTTTTTTTTCTAAACCATAACTTCTTACAATGTATTATATAATTTAGATAACCATACAAAATGTATTATATTAAGAATTATTTTGAAAATGAGAAAATGACAATATGAACAAGAAGGTATATCTCAATCTTCTTTTTTTGTAATTCTTTTGTTTTTTTTTTTTTTTTTTTTTATAACTTTTTATTGATATCTATTTATAAAAATACACTAATTAAAGACTTAATCTTCTTCATCAGAAGATTCATTTTCTTCGGCTTCTTTTCTTTCCAAAAGGGCTTGTAATTCAGCATCTTCAGTGGCAGTAACAGCTTTTGGAGCCATAGTAACTTTACAAATACCACCGGCAGCTTCGATAGACTCAGTTATTTTTTCGATAGATTTTTCTAATAATTGGACCCCATGATTTTTATCTAAAGCTTGAGTAGAAATGACGTATAAAGGAGCAGCAACCAATTTAGCTTTGACTTGCATTTGTTCAGTTGATTCATCTTCAGCAGCTTTTAAAGCTTTTTTAATGGCATCAATACCTTCATAACTGAAACAAGAAACTTCGACATCAGCTCTTATTTTAATGGCTTGAGGAGTTAATCTTCTTGAAATGTATAATTTTAATTCTTCCAAAACATCTTTAGTTGGAGGTTCAACTAAATCAAAAATAGTTGGGTCCGTAATTGATAATTTAAAAGCATCGTAAGCATGACCGTATTTTCTACTTAATGGCCAACCAATTGATTGATATAAAGTTTCTAATGGAATATTGAATTTTTCAGCACAATGTCTTAAAATAGAGTGAACTGATTTAGATTTATTATATTTTTCATCACATTTAACGATATCTTCAGCTGAGACTCTTCTTTTTGATAAATCAATATACCCTTTTTCTTTATCAACTCTTAAAACAACAGCAACTTCATTTTTACCAACACGAATTAACTTTTGAATGGAACGAATACGTCTTCTTGATAATTCTGATAATAATACCATCCCTTCAATATTATCGTATTCTAATAATTTAACATAAGCACCCATTTCAGCAATTTCTTGAACATTCACCATAACAACTTCATCCACTTCGGGATACTTGTTTTCGTAAAATCTGCAGTTGGAAGAGCTCATCTTGCTTTCGTTTACTATAAGGTCGGCCTTTAAGCTTGGAGATGTTTAGATATAAAGACTAAAGACTGAATGATTCATCTTCTAAAAGAAAAAAAAAAAAAAAAAAAAAGGAACTGAAAAATTTTTGGTGGAAAAAAAAAAAAAACCGATTACGTAAGGGTATAGTGAGTGTATTATGTAATCGATTTTTTTGCAATTTTGCAATTTTGCAATTTTGCAATCATGAAATCTTATAACAACCACAAACGAATAACAAGTTGAAGAGGCTGTTTAGAAATAGAAGGCGACATGAACCAAAAGCAGTATGTCTTGTATAGAGACTGCAAATTTTCTGTGGAGTCGAGATACAAGATTGAGAAAGTACTAGGTAAAGGGTCTTACGGGACGGTGTGTTCAGCTATTGATAGTAATAGTGAAGAGAAGCTTAGGGTTGCGATTAAGAAGGTGTCTAGGATTTTTGAGAGAGACGTGCTATTGAAACGGGCGATCCGGGAGTTGAAGTTGATGAGACACTTTAAAGGGCATAAAAACGTGAGTTATACCGTACATTGAGATTTAGCGAAGAGGACTAACCGGAGCAGATTGTAAATTTGATTGATATTGATATTGTGTATACTACTCCATACGACGGGTTGTACTGTATGCAAGAGATGGCCGATTATGATTTATCTAAGGTAATTTATTCGTCCAGTCAATTTTCTGAATTTCATATTAAAAACTTCATGTATCAAATGTTATGTGGATTGAAGTACATTCATTCGGCAGATGTTATTCATCGAGACTTGAAGCCGGGGAATATTTTGGTGACGGTTCACGGGGTATTAAAGATCTGTGATTTTGGATTAGCAAGAGGAATAAATATAAATTATTATCAAAAGAAAAAATTTCCACAACCAATAACCAATTATGTGGCCACTAGATGGTATAGAGCACCCGAGTTAATGTTATCGAGTAAAAATTATGGGAAAGCGGTTGATTTATGGGCCGTAGGATGCATTTTATGTGAGTTTTACGGAAGAAAACCATTGTTTGTTGGGAAAGATCAGATGCACCAAATAAACGAAATATTGAAAGTTTTAGGAACTCCCAATCGAGAAATTATTAACAAGTATGGATGGAGATACTTAAATACCAGAACAAGGTATGAGAAAATCGAATTTGATAAAATCTACCCATTTGCAAGTGGGTATCTGATTCATATGATTGATAATCTATTATGCTGGGATCCCTATGAAAGACTAGATGTAAATGAAGCACTTAATCATCCATTTTTAAAACAAGTTAAATCTCAATTCCAAGAATCAGTTTGTTCTAAACCTTTTGATTTCAATTTTGAAAACGAAGCAATTACCCAATCTGATTTGAAAAAAGTCTTGCAACAAGAAGTTGATTCGTTTAAACTTGAAAGATTTAGAAAATAGCTTAAATACGTATTTGTCAATTGAAAGTAGTACTCCACATCCGTACCATTTCCACGTGCAATCGTCTTAGCCGTACATCAGATCTGTTTAAGCTTTGTCCACTTACCTAAAGGTATTAAGGAGAAAATTGGATAAGCATAGTTATTAGGTATTAAGAAAATAAAGTAAGTTTAGGTATTAAGTAGAGTATTCTACATTTGTAGTCTACGTACCGATTGTTTAGTGGATACACTAGTTACTGGATTATCACCTAGTGTCCACTGACTTGGTATGATAAAGTAATAAAAGAGTAGCAGAGTACTAAGCAAGTAGAGTACTAAGCAAGTAGAGTACTAAGCAAGTAGAGTACTAAGCAAGTAGAGTACTAAGCAAGTAGAGTAAGTAGAGTAAAGTAATTTTTGCCCGAGAACCCAGACACCAGGCCCGTAGCCCGACGAATCCCCACAACAATAAGCCGAGGTTTGGTCTAGAAGAGTATTTAAAGCCAGTAGGATCCAAAGCCATTAGAGATTGTTGGGTAAAACATCACATTCAAGATGCCCCAAGGAAGCCACCCCGATTTAACCATTGTCAAATTCGTCTGTTCGGTTGAAGGACAGGAAGATAAGGAGATTCAAGTTGAAGGAGTCGATGAGGTCAAAGTGAAAATTCCAGAAAACAGTAAATATACCATGACTATTTTCTTCAAAGTGAACAATAACGAATTGAAGGATCTCAAGTATGTTCAAGTGATGAAGAAACACGGATTGACTGTTAAGCAAAGAGATATGTTTATCGGGGAATCATATGCTCCTTCGGAAGAGATTTACTCCAAGACTTTTGAACAAGACGTTACTCCAGGAGGGTTTTTGGTCAGAGGTGTATATCCAGCAACTTCTACTTATTCTGCTAATGGAGAAACTTTGTTTACCAGTGACTGGTCTTTAGAAATCACCAAGAAGTGATTGTTGTACTTTACTTGATACATGGATTATTGACTATGTTGACCATTGAGTTGTACACCTTGACATTGACTCTGTATATATATATTGACTATATATATTGACTATATATATTGACATTGATGTATATATATCTATATACATATATTGAGTATTGAGTATATCTTTTAACTGCGATTGCTTAATTGTAGAATTGTCCGCACCACCTACTCCTTCTTTAGCAATGTTTGTCCGTCCAGCTACTCATGCCGGTAGTTGGTATACTAACGATGCTGGTAGATTGAAAAGCCAATTGAACAAGTACTTCAAAGAAGCTAGTGAATTGAAGGAAGGAATCAATACTAATGACGATATCTCAAAGTCAATTAAGGGGGCAAGAATCCTAATTGGCCCCCATGCCGGTTATACTTATCTGGGATCAAGATTAGCAGAAACTTTTAATGTTTGGGATACTACAAATGTTAAAAGGGTGTTTATTCTTGGTCCTTCCCATCACGTTTATTTCACTAAAACTGCTAAGTTATCAAATTACCATTATTATCAAACTCCTTTTGGTGATTTAAAAATTGATAATGAAGTGAATGATCATTTGGTTCAACTCCGTAATAAAGACGGTTTGAAAATCTTTGATTTCATGGACGAAGAAACCGATGATGATGAACACTCATTTGAAATGCATATCCCGTTTATTTATCATCGCTGTCAAGATTTACCGCAAGGACTACCCCAGATTATTCCAATAATGATTGGACAAAATGATTTGACTAAGCTATCCGAAATATCAAATGCTTTGAAACCATTTTTAGCAGATGATTCAAATACTTTTGTCATAAGCTCTGATTTCTGTCATTGGGGTAGCAGATTCCAATATACAAGGTATGTTGATCAAGATCTTTCTTCCACTGCTACCCAAGATATCCCCTTGATTAAATTGGGTCTTACCAAACCCCTGAAAGCTTTCCCTATTTATAAGTCAATCGAATCCTTGGATAAAAAGGCAATGCAAATTGCCTCCGCTGGAAATGTCAACGACTGGATCGAGTACATTGCCAAAACCCATAATACAATCTGCGGTCAAAGACCAATTAACGTTCTTTTGGGGTTGAATCTACATGAAGTTTCGGCTGGGACCAATGTCTTCAATTGGATTGGCTATTCCCAGAGCAGCCAGGTCACCTCCCCTCTGGACAGCAGTGTAAGCTACGCTTCCGGTTACGTCAAACTTAAGTAATATATATCTATTTACATCTATATATGTTCAGTATTAGGATTGGTGTACTTGTAGACGAATATTTTGATTTTTTTTTTTTTTTTTTTCGCTTTCCACTACGTAACAAAAAAATTGACATATTTCTCTTTTATCAGTGATTGATTTGGTATAGTTGTTGGTAAGATGAGTGATTGGAAGCTATTTACTAAGAGTAAGTCTGCTGAATTGAAAGCAGAACTAGAACAAGCGTTTAAGAAGTCCAAGCCCCATAATCGAGTTAAGATTGTATTGAAGAAAGTTATTGCTAATATAATATTGAATAATAATGAGTTAGTTAATTTAATGCCGGATATTATATTATTAATGAAGATTGATGATTTAGAAATCAGGAAAATGTGTTTCCAATATTTGGTTAATTATTGTCAAATGAATGTAAAGGAATCATTAAATGCAATACCATTTTTATCGAGATTTAAAGATGATAATAATAGCCAATTGAGAGCATTAACTATAAAAACGTTATCATCCATTAATATTACTGAATTTACTGATTTAGCATTTAGAAGTGTTAAAAAACTATTAAGGGATGATGATTTATACGTTAGAAGAATGTCGATTTTTGCAATTGCAAGATTATATTCAATTGATCCAAATAGATGTCTTGATTATGAATTAATTGAAGATTTAAATGAATTGTTATATGACTCAAATCAAATGATTGTTTCCAATGTTTTGGCAGCTTTAGATGATATAACTCAACATTCTAAGAATTTAACTTTAACCATTGATGAAAGAAATGTTTATACATTAATTAAATTCTTAAATAAAACAAATGAATGGAATCAAATTTATATTTTAAATTCATTAATGTCATATGCTCCAAATACCACTGAAGAAAGTTTACAGTTAATCGAAAATATAATGCCATTATTACAACATGAAAATTCGTCAGTCGTTTTAAATTCAATCAAAGTAATTATTTTTTATAGTAATTATGTTTCCAAACCAGAATTAATAATACCCACATTACCAAAAAGATTAGGATCATCTTTAGTTTCATTATTATCAAAACCATCAGAGATACAATTTTTAGTTTTGAGAAATGTTATTTTATTATTACTAGGACAAAAAAAATTAGTTAGCTTTGAAGTTGAAATGTTTTTCTGTAAATATGATGATCCAATTTATGTTAAAGATACAAAATTAGAAATCATTTATTTATTAGCTAATGAATTCAACGTTGAAATCGTTTTGAGAGAATTAGAAGAATACGCAACAGAAGTTGATGTTGCAATGGCAAGAAAAGCAATTAGAGCCTTTGGTAATTTGGCAATAAAAATTAATAACGCTGCTAATAAATGTGTTGATGTTCTATGTGATTTGATTTCAAATGGTATTGCTTATATTGTGGAAGAATCAACAATTGTTATTAAAAACATTTTAAGAAAATATCCCGGTAAATTCAATTTTGCAGTAGAAGAATTAGTTAGACACTATAAGGTTATTAATGAACCAGATGCTAAAACTGCAATGATATGGATCTTGGGTCAATATTGTCAATTAATACCAGTAACAAATATCATTTTAGAAGAATTTATTCAAAGTTTTAAAGATGATCCAGTTGAAGTTCAATATGCTACATTAACTTCAGTTATTAAATACTACCTACATGATCCAGTTAAAGGTCAACCTATTGTTATTAAAGTTTTGAAATGGGCAACTGAAGACATTGATAATCCTGATATAAGAGATCGTGGTTATTTTTATTGGAGATTAATTTCAAGTGATGAAATTTCAAATTTGGGTAATTTTCAATCAATAACAAAAGAAATCATCATTAATAATAACCCAATCATATCTGCTGATAATGATAACATCGACCCAAATATCTTAATCGAGTTAGAATTAAATATCGGTACGCTTGCTTCAATTTATCTAAAACCAGTTCAACAAGTTTTCCGTTTAGCAAAACATAAAAAATTACCGAAAACAAATGCATTACAAGAGAGATCATTACCTTCCTTAAATGATGATCCTCAATATTCAAATTCAAATTCAAATTCAAATTCAAATTCAAATTCAAATTCAAATCCAAGTTCAACTCCTACTTCAAACCATAACTCAATGTCTACATTCCATCCTCAACCTCCTAGACGACATTCGACTATGGATCGTAACTCAAGACTCATTAGTCAAGGTTCCTTCGACGATGAATTTTCGTCTAATGACGAATCAGCAGCTAGGAAAAACAGTTTTGCTAAAAGACTCTCTAGAAAAGCCTCTATAATTACTGGCCGTAAAAACTCTAAACATTAATCTTAATATCCTTAAAATAAATATACTTACCAGTAATATTTGTAAGCCGAACAAGCCCTAAGACAAGATCTTTAGGTTAACCCTAAACTACATCATTTATGGCTTTTCAACAACTCTGCAGAGTGCTTATTGCACATGATTTTATGAAGTTATACCAGATAATCGTGTAGATGATTTAGTACCCTTCGGCATAACCCGAAATCCTGCCAAACTCATCTCCGGTAGCCCTGGTGGGCCTGTCAAGCCCATGGAGTCCCTGGAGTTCCCTTGACAACATCAAGGGCGACCCATTAAGCAAAGCTGCTAGTTTCGAAACATGGGGTAAGGTATTTTTTTTGGATTTTTCCAAATCTGTTGGTTCTCATTAAATTTTCCAGTGAATTCGAGCCTTTGTTTATATAAAGTGCTCGTTAGTTCTTTACTTGTTGGGTAAGTTTTCAAAGTATATAAGGAACCTAGTGCTTTAGCCAGGGTTTGTATAAGTCCAAGGAAGGGTATCCATTATTTGAAGGAAGGGTATTGGAAGTGAAATGAGTCATTTTGATGTTAATATTCTCGAGGATGCTCTAGTACAACCTGAGATTCCGTTATCTTTCCCATTGCCTTATAAGGATGAAGAGACTATAATTAATTTGAAGGGAAATGACAAGTTGGTTAAGAATTTCAGTATTATTGGGTTATTTTTGAAGATGTTTAGTAAATATGATTATGAAGGAGTTTACAAGGATAATGAATATAAATATTCAATCAATAAGAATCTGGAAAGTTTTAATAAAGAATTTAGAAGGTATATGAATGAAAGATTGAGTAAAACCGATGAGAAGTTGGATGAGATTGTTTATTCGTTAATTGATCAAGAGTTGAGGATGAATTTGATCACTGCTAAGATGTTTCCAGAAAGATTTAAGCAAGTTAAAGAATTTATGATTGATTATTATCAAAAACAAAATGAGATTAATATGCCAAAATATCCTGACGGATTAAATTTTCTTAGAATTGCATATTATACTGTAATGAAGACCATTGGTAAGATGTTTCCTCGAGGGATTTGGGTTAATAAAGAACAATTTGAAAAACTTTACCAAAAATATTTATCTAATCCAATGTCGATAATTTTTTTACCAAATCATCAATCACATATTGATTATATTATCATTCATTTGATTACGATTAGATTTCATATGTCAATCCCAACAGTTATTGCAGGAGAAAATTTAAATGTTGCAATTTTTGGGAAATTTTTAAAAAATTTAGGAGCTATATTCATTAAAAGAAGTTTTAATAATGAGTTATATACTGAAAGGAATTTAGAAAATTTAATTGAATTTGTATTGATGAATAAAATTCATTTAGAAGTTTTCATTGAAGGTACTAGATCAAGAGATGGGAAATTATTATTACCTAAATATGGTATATTGAAAACATTGAGTAGAATTTATCTTAATCAAAGAAATAATATTAAAAATGAAGAATTTGATTTACTTTTCCAACCATTGGCCATAACTTATGAAAGAATTTATGAAGCAGATGGATATTTTGATGAGTTAATGGGTAAGGATAAAAAGCAAGAAAGTTCGTTAATGATTTTGAAGAATGGGCTTGGGAATTTAATTTATGGAGTTGATAAAGATGATGAAGAACAATTAAAGCAATTTAAAATTGCCCAAAATTATGATAATCTGACTAAAACATTACACGGAAGAATATTTGTGATGTTGGGAGACAATTTCAAGATATCCGAATTCATTGAGGAGCTGAAATTTCCAATTCAAACCAGTTTTCTTAGTGGGAATGTTGACGAAGAAGAAGATGGAAATGAAGAAGGAGGAGTTAATTTGAAGAAATTAGGGTTTAAAATATTGCATGAAGTAAATCGGGTACATTATATCCCAAGTATAGCCATTATTGGATGTTCGATTCAACTTTATCATTATTTAACCAATTTGAAGAGATTTCAAGTGGGAGAAGTGATTCCGATATTTAGGATGGTTATTAATGAATTATCCAAGGAAGAAACCAGTGAAATTAATCAAGTAGAATTCAAAGAATTGAAAAATCTAAAAGATGAAGAAATTCAAGAGGTGATTAGACAAGAAATGATGAAGTTTTTCCGATACATAAAAATCAATAAACAAGGAGAGATTATCATTAAGAATTCCATTGAGTTATTATATTATAAGAATTTAACGATTCATTTAATCATTCATAAATGTTTGGTTTGTTTTATCTTGAAGAATTGTCAAGAAACCAAATGCAATGTCAGAATGAGCCAGTTATATTATATTTTCACTGGATTTTTAAAACACGATTTTTTATTTGATTATAATTATAATCGAAGAAATGAATTAGTTAATATTTTGAACGAATTGAAAAGTTATCAAATCATCGATGAGAATTTCAAAATCATTGATGAAAGGTATATTGAATATATGATTTTATTAATCAAGCCATTTATTGAATCATACTTGAATTGTGTTAAGTTTTTGGTTATTTCAATGGAAAAATATTATCCTAGAATTGGAGATCAGGTTAGTGAAACCCAATTGATCAATGATGACTTGATGAGTGCCAATTATCCTACCACAAAGACCTTACTCAAAATGATTACCAAACAAGATGAAAACCAGCGAATCGAGTCGATTAATAAACAATATTTATTAAGTTGTTTATTCTACTTGGCTAATTTACGGTTGATTAAAATATTCAAAAATAAGCGCAAAACAAAAGCCTTTGTTATAATTGAAAATTCAAGAGACTTGAAAATCACCGAATCGTTTTTGAATACCTTGTTAAATGGTCAGGGTGATTCAATCAGTGAGGTCAAGTTAAATTACATGATTGACATTATCGATAAGCAATTCGAAAGACATTTAGATAGTAAACTTTAATACATAACTTTAATACATGTTAGACTTTCGTAATCCTAAATCCTATATCCATATATACTCTACAACATCCTACATCCAATATCCTATCTCCATATATCCTATCTATCCAATCCTGTCTTGCATGTCTTTACATCTGCACAGCTACTCCTCGTTCTACTCAAACCCTAAACAACTTCTATTCATAGATATCTATTCATATATCTATCATCTATTCATATATCTATCATCTATTCATATATCTATCATCTATTCATATATCTATCATATATTCATCTATCTATTGATATATCTATTCATAGCATCATAGCCATCTCGAGTCACTCATCTCAGTCCCCTCCATACTTTTTGCAGCCTCCGGGCTGTGGAACCTTTCACATGACCGCGCGAGCCTTGCTGCCCCTATTGGCGCGCCCGTGCACCAGGGGGCCTTTGGCCCAACGGTGATGACATAATGGCGGGCGGGCGCACGACCCCTAATTCAGTACGCCAGTCTCACCCTATGCACCCTAGAGTACCCTATAGTATAGCACCCGATAGTATAGCACCCTATAGTATGGTACCCGATAGTACGTATATGTATAGTATGTATATTGTAAGTACAGGTTGTAGAAATTATAAACACCCGTATAGGGGTTGACGGTTGCTAATCTAATGAGAATCAAAAACAAAGAATGAAATACAAACACCATTGGGATTTATTTTTGTTTGGAAAAAGAAACAAGCCGGGGGTGCGTGTACCAGGAATACTGGAAACTTTTCATATAGTACTTATAGTTATAGTTATACTTGAACTTAGTTTCAGTTGGACTCCTTGGTGCTCTAACTATTATGAGGAAGGAGCTCAAGTATATAATATGGGGCCATGTTGCTCTAATTGTGTTTTTGATCTACTATACCTTTGATCTTATTACGTTATTGAACGACGATACTTTCCAGGATGCGTTATTGGATGTTGAATTGAATCCCAACGACGGGACTTTGGAGAAGTCCAAGATTATCCCCAAGATCATTCACCAGACGTATAAGCTGAAGCAGATTCCTGAGATTTGGAAGCCGGGCCAACAAGCGTGTATTGACTTGCATCCAGATTATCAGTATATTTTATGGACCGACGATATGGCCAGAGAGTTTATCAGTGAAGAGTATCCGTGGTTTTTGCCTACGTGGGATCTGTATCCGTATCCGATTCAACGGGCTGATGCCATTCGGTACTTTGCCTTGGCCCATTACGGGGGGATCTACATTGATTTGGACGATGGTTGTGAAAGAAGATTGGATCCCTTGTTGACGGTGCCGGCGTTTGTTCGTAAGACCATCCCCACTGGTATTTCCAACGATGTGATGGGGTCAGTACCCAGACATCCGTTTTTCTTGAAAGTCATGGATTCTTTGAAGAAGTACAAAAAAAATTGGCTAGTTCCTTATATTACCATTATGTATTCTACCGGTCCGCTTTTCCTTTCAGTTATATGGAAACAGTATAAACGTTATGGGGTCCCTGAAGCAGGTAAGGTTAGAATCTTACTACCAGAAGATTATAAGACCCATTCGTATAGTTTTTTCGCCATTGCCCCCGGTTCTTCGTGGCACTTGGACGATGCTAAATTCATAAAATCTTTGGCAAATCATATTGGTCTTGCAGTGTTTGTTGGGTTTTTAATTGCCGGCTTGGTTTTTTACTTGGAGTATGTCTTTTATCAATTTTGTATTGGGAAAAAATTCAATTTTAATTTCAATTTTGTTAATCAAATTAAATTAAAATTAAATCGTAATATAAAGAGAAGATCAAGAAAAGATTCAAATTTACCTCCAAATAATGTCGAACTAGGTCTTTTGGATAATCCAGTCGAAAAAAATACCGGCTCTAAAATTGATAATATAGTTTAATTCTGCATCTTCACTTCCTTTCGTTAATTACCCTTTTTCTTCTTCTATTGACTATTGCATTTATTGTTTATTTAATATATACGTTTACCTACTATCTCCCACTTCTAATAACTTCAAATTCATCTGGCGATACATAATCTCTTCGTTCTCTCTAATCAACTTCTTGATCAACTCGGTATATTTTTCAACAACTTTAAACGAATCTTGCGATAACTTAATCAAGTACACCGCGTCGATTAATAATCCTCCGTTCTTGGATAATTGAATCAATTCCCGGTTCTTGTTCATGGTAATCACCAAACTTCCATCTCGTATCAACTCTTCTCGTTGGTTAGCATCAACTATAGATATCTCCTCGTTTAAATCTCCCTTGATATTCTCCTCTTTCCCAACCGGATTGAAAAATGAATAACTTATACAAATCGGTACGTGCAATATACTCAACGGAATCGGCTGTCTCTCCTCGTAATCATGTATTATAACGTTTTCTCCATCAATCGATATATCCGGTTTTTTAAAATGTTGTAATGCCGTCATTACTCCAATACACGATGCATCAATAACTCCTCCATCGTAATTTAAAAAATTTATATCTACTCGAATACTCCATACCTTATTCCCAGCAATTATACATAAACTCTCTAAATCCAATGCGTTCGATCTTCGGATGGCTTTTTCAATTAATCGACTGATTAATATCTCTTCATCACTATTCTTCCCATTTTCAAATTGGGCACTCGCCATAGGACTTATCTCGGTACTGATATTGAATATCCCTTCAAATGGCCGGTCCTCAAAGGGCGCCTTGATCTCGCAACTCACCCGGACATTTAACTTGGTCTTGCCCCAGCTTAATTCAACGTAGCCGTATTCTTCAGTAGATATCTTGATTTCCGGTTCTCGACTCTCATCGAGCTTTCTTCCGTCGATCCTGAAGCCTTGCTTCAAGCTTTCTAGTATATACGCTTGCTCGTTACTGGATATCTCAACCCCTTTGGCCATGTTCTGGTTGTATGTCTAGTTGTTTGCCTAGTTGTCTTCCTAGTTGTCTTCCTAGTTGTCTTCCTAGTTGTCTTCCTAGTTGTCTTCCTAGTTGTCTTCAAGTTCTTTAAATTTTCAGTGATGAGTTTTTTAGCGCACTACCATTTTCGCTCGTTTTCAATAATTTTTCAATCAACGAAAAATTACTTCAGTGGCAACCCCATAACTTCATATTACCCCCCGGGATCGATATGCTTAAACAACTCGTTGCTCCAAGTAGGAGATTGGTGCTTGCCAGAAATGGTATACGCTCATCCTCAATCAGAACGTTCGGAAACTCTCCGCCACCATCAGCGTCAACTTTGACATTTTTCCAAAGAGAAAGATTACCAACAAATACAGTAATTAGATTTGTTCCTCAACAAACCGCATGGATTGTGGAAAGAATGGGGAAATTCCACCGTATATTACCTCCAGGTATTGCATTTTTAATCCCTTTTTTAGATAAAATTACTTACGTTCAATCGTTAAAAGAATCGGCAATTGAAATTCCTCTGCAAAATGCAATCACCGCAGATAATGTTTCATTGGAATTAGATGGGATATTATATGTTAAAGTAAATGATCCTTATAAGGCTAGTTACGGTGTTGAAGATTTCAAATTTGCAATTAGTCAATTGGCCCAAACAACAATGAGATCAGAAATTGGTTCAATGACTTTAGACTCGGTTTTAAAAGAAAGACAATCTTTGAATGCAAATATTAATAAAGCAATAAATGAAGCAGCTAAAGATCATTGGGGGGTGGAATGTTTGAGATATGAAATTAGAGATATTCATCCTCCCCAAAATGTCTTGGAAGCAATGCATAGACAAGTCAGTGCTGAAAGATCAAAAAGAGCTGAAATTTTGGAATCTGAAGGTAATAGACAATCTAAAATTAATATCGCTGAAGGTGAAAAACAATCGCTTATTTTACAAGCTGAAGCAACCGCTGAAGGTTTGAAAAAAATTGCTAATGCCATTAAAGAAACCCCCGGTGGTCATGATGCTGTCACTTTACAAATTGCTCAAGATTATATTAAAGAATTTGGTAAAATTGCTAAAGATACCAATACTGTTGTCTTACCTTCAAATATTGGCGATATAAGTCAATTCATGGCAAGTGGATTATCCATTTATAAAGGTTTAAATAAATCTTTAAATGCTAATGAAAAACAAGATTGAAAAAATATATTCTAATTTTTCTTTTGTATATATTATCTATATGTATTGTACATAATGAAGTATGAATTTAGTTATATCTATGTCCTTGTAATTTTAGGCTTTTTTGAAGAACCCATCAAGTGCTCCCTTACCAACGGCTACTTTTTTAACTTCCTTCTTAGTAGTTTTTTTCTTAGTAACTGTTTTAGCAGAATTTCTACTGTTGTTAGCCTTAGTCGTGGTTTGAACTATAGAATTCATATTAGATTCAATAACTTCCAAAGACTTTTTCTTTTCTTTTAACTCTTTGCAGTAATTATCCAATTCGATGAAATTAATCTTATGGGCTTTAATGAAATCTTGTTTAATATCCTTGTTTAGATAGGATTCAAATATTAAATCGATTGAATATTTTAAAATTGATAAATTTAAAATACTAATTGGGATCTCAGTATTATTAACATCAGAATAAAGATCTTGTTTGATTTTGGTTGTGATACTAAAACTTTGGTTTTTTTTCAATGTTTCAAATAATTTATTCACCTTATCATTCAATTTTTGAAAAATCTTATTAATTGATAATTTGTAAAAAACTTCACCTCCTTCATTTATAACTTCGAATATCTCAGGCATTTTTTCCTCTATAATCTTAGTCAAGCTTGATACTATCGCATATTCTGAGCTTAATTTATCAATGAAATCATCAAACGTTATAAAACGACTCGAATATTTAGATCTATTCGAGTACGTTATTTGAATCAACCAATAGATCAAATTATACTTAGAACTAGCAATCAAGTTTGGATTCGATAAAACTTGACCTTGGATTTCGTTCTCAAATATATATGATTTGACTGACATCCCCAGTCTAGGAATTACTGGCTTTTTGGAATCTTGTATGTAAGGATTATTACCATCGATCTGTCTGAGTTCATATAATTGATCATCACTCAATAACACCTTCTTGCTATTACTTTCAAATGGTAGGCTTAGTATAGTGAAACTTTGGTGCTTTTCTGGAAGCACTATCACTTTTGTATGATCATCAACATTCATGTTTTCCACTTGAATAATTGAAGTAGTTAAGATCAAACTCTGAAATTTTTCAAAATTTCGCCAAAAAAAAGACGCGTCTATACTCAAACCAAAAATTATCTATTTTATCATAAATAACCAATGAGTATATATTTCATGATAAATGATTCGATGCTTGTAAATTTGAACTCGTTCGTGATTAACGAAGGCTAAACTTTCATTAGCTAGGTTAAGGGATGAGATAAATGTAGTAAAAAAATAAAAAATGCCTTCAGCCAGATTCGAACTGACGATCTCCTCATTACTAGTGAGGTGCCTTACCAACTTGGCCATAAAGGCAGTAATACATTCTCTGAAATTTTTGAGGTTTTCCGATCAGCTTGTATATTTTTAGCTCAAAAATTTAAAGCTAAAAAATTTCTTTTTCAAATTAATGATTTGGGCCATTTGAGGAGTTTTTATAAAGTTAGTGTCAGACCTTGAAGGTCTGCAGATGATGTACTGGCCTATCTATA